AGTCGTAAGTCAAATCGAATTTCGGCATCTTGTTCCTTGCATTTTTACGCAAATTTTAAAAAAAAATTGACCTCTTTAACTATATTGGAAACGAAGTTAGGCTTTTTTTTTTAAAAAATCACCACGCCTTTGTTTATAAACATTAAAAGCTGAAATTTGGTATACATTCGAACGNAAAAAAAAAAGCCTAACTTCGTTTCCAATATAGTTAAAGAGGTCAATTTTTTTTTAAAATTTGCGTAAAAATGCAAGGAACAAGATGCCGAAATTCGATTTGACTTACGACTTCTGGTTCGGCAGATAAGTCAATTTGTTTATAAGAATTTTCGTACACATTTATATCTGGTGTTTATTTTTCATGTCTTTATGAAAAAATTATTGTTTTTATTGTTGCAAATTGACTGGGAGGTCTCTACCTTTAATTTGCGCTGTGTCTGGTCTTCGTACGTTGAGCCAACTCAAAGTTATTTAACAATCACTAGGGGAGTGTTTTTTAATAAACAAATGCAATATCTCGATAAATAATGCACTTAGCGAGATTTTGAAAAATGCATTGGATTCTGCGTAACGAGGGCTACATTTTCTCAAGATTTCATTGCCGTAGCACGTTTTAATAAATAATTATAAACAATTGTAAAAACGGCCACTTTTAGAGGTTTTTTCGACCTAGAGAATAAACAAATGGACGAAAAAATATGAAAAAAATACCAGAATAAAGGTCTTGAAAATGCCTACAACTTTTGTTTGAAACATTTTATCGTAAAACTTATACTTTACGAGTTAAAAAATATAATATGCTTTTTTGCATTTTTAAAGGCTTATAAACAAAAACGCAGGAACAAAAAACAGTGGCATTTTATGAAAATTAGTTGTTTAGGGTACCCATAATAAGAATCCGTCGTAAAATTCTGGTTGCGAATTTTTTTTTTTTTAACATAGGGACAGATTTTCATTGATTGGACTATACGGCTGCAGTTATATTCCCATCGGTTTTTCCGCAAGCTCCGCAGCTGCTGCGATTTCGTTGCGAGAGCCGAGCGAGAGAAATGCGAAGAAAAGAAAAACGAGCGCGATAAGGTATTATCTTGTAACGAATCGTTCGTTTTGCATTTGTTCTTTTCCGCGTCTGCGATAGAGACGACGACGACGGGCTTTCTCGGTGTCGTTGCACTTTTCTGGCTTATATCTCTCCCTCTCTCTTTCGCGTGACTTGTACGCATATAATATACGCTTGTTTTTTTAGCTATATAGACCGCCGACCGCCGTGCTCGGAGATAACGTATAAGTAAGTGCATAGCGAGTGGCGAACGCAAGCACATACACCGCACCTGTTAGTCTTGAGATTGTGTTTCTCCTTTTTCTTTACGCGCTCAACGTGCAATAACCTATATTATCTCCGCAAGTTTACTGTTTATATACGCGAAGGATGTTTTGTTTGCTTGTCGCACTCTTGAGAAAATATGTATACATAATAGATGATACACATGCGGACAATTTGGTTTATTATCTCTTGAGTCGCACTTTGGATTATGTTTGCTTTTACAAGTGCGATTATCAAAGCGAACGGAATCAAGAGCGAAGGAGAGAAAACAATCGCTTCGCTGTTCGCCGGCATGCTTATATTGCAGCTCTTCGACGATTTAGTGCGAAAAGTCCATAAATTCGAGGGGTGCCGCGCCGCGCCCGTGTATGTATTGTATACGAGACGCGTATAGTGCGCCATCCGAGTAAATTCGCGCCGGCCCGTTTGATGTCTCAAAATAAATTCACGAAATCCGCGAAAAAGATGAGACAGACTCGAGGACGAGTGTGTTTTACCGATTTGTCTCGGGGATTAAACGATCGAGAGGCGCGCGTGGAAATTCGAGATGCGATATTCAATAGCTTACTCTGAAAATAAGCTAAATATTACTTGGGAACGAAGACTGCTCTAGTTGTCGGGTAGTTTTTCAGTTATCGCAGTGATGGAGCTTTGAAAAGGCCTGCATACATCTATCGCTCTATTAGACTCATCAAGCTAACTCGGCATCTAGCACTCCATCCTCATTACGTAACAATACATCAACGTCGTCGTCTGCGCCATTCGTCTTTTTTTTCTTCCTCTGTTTGTGCCAAGAAGCAAGGCATGTATACTTAACATTTCCGACGGTCGACGCTTCACTCTTTCTCTTTTTGTCTTTCTCTCTCTCTCTTACGTCTCCTTTGAATTGGCAGATATTAAGCACACTCGATCGAACATAATTATTCAGATGGCTGTGTTGCGTGTCGTATATTCCCCGAAGCTTTGCCTACAACGACTACTTTGTCTCTCTGGGCTTGTATTATTTGCTCGCCACGAGTGGGAGAGCACGCGAAGTTTAACCCGAATTGCTCATTTTTTTGCTCGCTTACGATCGTCCATTATACTCACACACACAAATATTGATCGATTATGTTTTACTTTTTAAGCGGAATCGCGCGAATCGCGTGCCGAGCTTGCGAGCTTTGATTCGTGATTATTATTTCGTGCCGGTCGGCCGGCCTCTCGTCGATTGTCGAAACGATTTTGTTGATCGAGTACACAATAACCATCGAGCCTCGATCAATTCAATTCAGCAGCTCTCGGCCATTCGTCGCGAGATCTAGGTTACTGAACTTTCAGGTCAGCGACTGCGAGCACCGATTGTCAATAATATTCTCGTTCAATTTTGGGAATTCACTTCAAGTTGTATTTAAGAAGAATTTTAATGCATGAAAAATTATTTACGTTCGCCTTCGGCCGGTTTTTAATTTATTCTTAAAAATCTCGTATGGCTCGTTCTATTATCTACGGCAAGAATCTCGGACGCTAGCGCATAAGGAGATTACTTAATGCAAGCTTAATAAGCAGATCTGCAGCATTTAATGTGGAAGCATATGGTATTATAAGTACTCAGGAGCTAGGCATTACGCACACTTGTCTATTGTATTCAAAGGAAAAGAAAAAAGTAGCAGTCGCTTAATGGGCCTTGAGAGATAAGTCGGAAGCGCATCGGTTGCGAGCCGCGCGTCACCTAATTTGTCACCTCGATTATATGCAACGCACATTACAAAAAGATATCATTATATTAGCGAATTATTTATCGGCCAATTGTGCATATTAAAAATTCAGCAGCCGCAAGCCATTAATTTATCGGGGCATATTAACGACGTACCACATCTCTCGCTTTGTGTGTTAACGTTTGTGCGCACGTTTATAAGGTTACGGACACCATATAACGCGCTGCCGTGTTATATATATCGCACGACTCGGCATAATTGGGTGTGTCAGAAGAGCTGTACGCACAAATGAAACATTAGACATATTCGATATTGTTCCATCGGCTACTTATGAGCACGCGACGCTCGCCAGAGTCCCGGCGGTTCTCGTAAACTTTGTTTTATTTATTTATTTTCTCAATGCGCACATACGTTGAATTCGATTAGCGATAATCCAAAGCAATATGCAGCTGCGGCGACGCGATCGCAGTCTGTCTCTCTCTCTCTCTTTGCAATTGCGTGCTGCAACCCACGCACGTCCTTATTATACCGTGCACAGCACGTACGCACGTGTTCGCGGCGGCGATCATACTCGGTCGAGACTCCGAAATCGCATGCCAATTATACCTATATAGGTATGCCGCTGCACAATATATCGCCATCTACTATGTACAGGGGCGGCGGAAAACCTCCTTGGCATATGGACTCTCTCGAGTCAATGCGATGCGAAAATAAATAAAAGACCCGTAGCCTACGCAGAGGTAGAGCTATGCTGCATTTTTAACGAGATAGCATCTCTTCTCTCGCTCGCGCGTATGAAATTCCAGCAGCGGTGTTTTGCCGCCACGGCTCGCTTTGCTTGTAACGATCTCTGCGCTACCGAGACGGGCGTCGACGTCGCTGCCAGACTACTATACGGCCTTTTCCGCGCGTGAGTTTCCAGCTCGAGGCGGCTCGAGCGCTCCACGATGTGCGACCGACGTTTCCTCCCGCGCCGCCCGAGCCACTAACTATTTGAGCGTATATATACGCACATTGCGTATGTATACAAATGAGTTGCACCATTATCCCCCGGCGTGTCCCAGAGCACGAGGAATTCGCGCTTACCTACTAATAGCCGCGTAGATTCTCTACTCAACGAAGCGTACTTTTGCGTACGGGTTCGTTTGTTATTGCGATATATCTCGTGTATCCGTCGCGATTTCGTCGACCTCATGAGCTCCAAGGCAGTTTGCTTTTTTCACAACGATTCGACGTCACGAAAATCGGTACCATAAGCAAATATGCAATCGATCTTGTAATTTTCAGAATTTTTTTAAGCTCGGAAAATTCGTCGTGACTAAAGCTGTTTGTTATCGATGCTTTGTGTCGTAAGTGCTAAAACGTGATGGAAAGTCACACGCGATCGTTCCTATTTGCCATTCTTCCGCCACGAGATTGGTAGGCCACTCGGGACGAAAAGAAAAACGACCAGAAATAATTAAAAAAATTTTATTTGATAGGCTGCTTTTGCACGGGCCATTTGGAGATAATCGAATCGAGTTTTTCGATCGAGAACAAGCGTGGCTCGAATCGCGTCACAAAATGCATTCTGCCGGCATATGCGTAAAAGCCATCCCGCTCGATCGATTTATACAGACTTGCGGTATTTGTACACGTTGATATCAACACTGCAGTATATTATGCGCGCGCCTATATACTCGCACAATGTGTAAAAAAGAATCGACAAAATATTTTCAAGTCGTTACACGTGCGAAGCATCACGTATGGACAGGAAAAAAAGAAGAAAGAGAGAAAGCAGTTGCATATATCTTTATACGTGCCGTTATCAGCTATAACATTAATTTGCGGCATTGCACGTGCTTTGCCTTTGTCAACCACGTAACTTACCCACTGAATTGTCCGTTGATTACGTTAGCTTAAAAACCGTCGGAAAATTAATTGACTTTCACAATGATGGGACTGTGGAAAATTATTTATTCTTTGTTATTTGTCTTTTGCAGAACGGAGGAACAGAGAGCAGGATACCTGTGGCCGCGCGCCATCAGCAGCGTCCGTCTCTACTGCCAAAGTTACGCTCGAGCCAGGGCGGAGTCGGCCCAGCAGCCAACAACCGGCCGCGCTCTCAGCTAATTGTACCGACGAGCCACGACAGGCAGCACCTTCACCTCAAGCTCAACAGCTCCGAATCGAAATCGTCCAAGCCACCGAGTAGACTCATTACGCCCGAAAGCGACAAAGGTAAAATTAATTTGTCACTCTTAATTTTAGGTAAAAACTCCGATGCCTTTTCGGTGAAATATATTCGATTATATCGAGTCTACTTCGTTAAGCTCTACGAGTAATCGATCGTTTTCACGCCCACTTTGGAGCTTACGCGGCTCATGGATGTCTTGTGAACGCGCACGTACATATACCTTTTGTAAACACTCGGGGCAGCTCCTACGTATACGTAGTAGCTCCAGCTAAGCATAAACTGCCGAGTAATCGTTGCAATATTCATCTCGATGTGCTCTAGTTATGCTCTCGTTGCGCAGTGCAACGATTTACGATACACATTATACGATACGCTTTACGCGTGCGGTGTACATTATACGCAACACATCGCGGCGCGTTAAAGCGTTGATTTAAAAATCAATTTCGCCTTATCTTATTGCGCGGCTTACATATATACAAACCGCGAGGCTCTCCGCTATCGAACCAATTCACTGATTGTTCTTTTATCCTCTTTTACAGAGCATCATCTGCTGGGAAATCATACAGACTACTCGCTAATATGGCACGTAAGCGATAACAGAGACGCTGAAAATATTCTGCGCATGAATGACGATAATCACGCCGGATTGCTTTGGTAAAGTACAATAATATTCTTCTTTTTTTGCGCCTCGTTCGCACGTTTCCATAATTTCTTTCTCTTCTTTCTTGTTGTTGGCTTCCTGAACAACGTATGCAGTTCTCAAGAGGACTTGTCGTCGTCATCCGGCGGATATGCCGGCAAAAAGTCACGCGAGGACATCATCGACGATCTCGTCGTCGGTAGCGGCACGGGCGATGCCACGGCCAATTTGGCATCGCCTACCTCTCAGCCGCAGCAAACGCCAGCTTGCTTCATGCTGACCAAGCAGAATTCGTTCGAACACGACGAGAGCAGTTTGGGCATACTCACGCCCGATCAGATGACCGACTTTACCGTCGCGCTTGACTCTTCGAGAACACCATCCTGCGAAAATCTCAACGCTCAAAGTGAGCCCTCGATGACGAATTATTTCAATTTGCAATTTATACTCTGCACGATTTGGCTCACTCGAATCGAATTCTTGCTCCAGGTAAATTTCACCAGAGTCATAAGAGTAGCGCTATCGTCGCCGCTGCCGCTCGACACCTCGACATAGCTTTACGAAGCTCAACCTCGGAAACAGCACAGCAACGACTACGTACCAGTGACCGCAGCCCTTCGGTCGAAGACCTACCTCTAGACCCAAAACCTGTCCTCGTGATCGAGGAAGACGTCCAACTGCTCGAATCTACACTGCGAAGCGGTAACGAGCACTGCCTCATTTTAAAGATTTTACCCATCGATGCGCGTTATCACTTACTGACGGCTTTGTCGTATTGTTAACAGCGGAAGCCTTGGCAGCCGCGTCGCAGCACCTACGAGCGTTGGATCTGCTCTCGGACTTGTCCTCGAAAACCTTGACGACCTGTACCCTGACCGACTCGGCCGAGACTAGCGAGCACACGACGAGCGGCGCCTGCGGAGAGGAAACGACGACGCGCTGTAGCGCCGCCAGCAGTGCTACAGGGGCCAGCAACAACAGCAGCAGTGGAAGTGCGGGCGTCGGTGGCTGTATCATACCCGTCGGCCAGACGCTGCCGACGAGCTTCGTCACCTCGGTCACGAGCATCACGAGCCTCGAGGCCGGCTACCAAGGGGATGGCGAGAATTCCCGACCGGCCAGTCGTGGTCCCGAAGTCGTTGCGTGCTGCGTCGCGCCGGTCGCCAGTCTCGCTGTTGCTGCGTCGCTTCCGCCTGCAGTGAACAGGTCCGCACTAATGATCCAACGCTTTTTTATGTACACCAAAGTTCCAACTGCACAGTGACAATCGACAGTCAAAACAGATGAAAATCTCCCGTAATCTTGATCATACCTTCTACGCAATATCATATCGATTGTCATTCGCCTTTGAAAACGATATCTTTACTGTAATAATATTGCCTCACTACCTACTCCTAGTTTCTCTTCCGATTTAAACAGCTGATTGACACTAGTCAAATTCAATTGTCTTCTGTTTTCGTGTAAACATACATTTAAGTAAACACTAATCTCTGCGCGTGTGTGCGCATGTATGTATATAAAATACGCACACCTGTTAAATTCGCGAGGCATCAGTTGTGTTGCCATAACACACGTATCAAGCGATAGCGCGATTTTCTGCTGTAGCGATAACTTATACCTCCGTGAGCATGTGTAATATAGTGTGAATTTCTAATTACAATTACGATGTGTACAAACCTAACCAAAGTGTTTTTTAATCAGGCAAGATCCAATGACGGATTCGGACTTTTTTACGGAAAGTGACGCCGACGCCCACGACGGCGACATTGTACGCGGAGACCGCCGTGCCCAAGTGATCGACGGACGCCTGTTCTGCGCTCCGAACGCGACGTCGTCCATAATGGCCACATCGAACGAGCATGTTCGCTGCCTCGAGCCTGCCGAAGAGATGGAATCTTCTGGCGTATACTCGGACCTCGAAAAGAGGGATGTACGCGACGTCGAGCAGGAGGCCGAGCACACGACCACCGACACCGGCGACACGGAAGTTTCTGTCAAGAGTCAGCCTTCGCCAATGGACTGCAATCCTGCTCCAGCTCTAGTCACCAATATTTTCTTGGTAATTTTTTCCAGTACCAGAATATCAGTGCTTTTAAAAACTCTTCATGTTCAATCAAAACAAACATAAAGTCTTTTAATCGTTTTTTACAGTCGCCATCAGGAATTCCACTGAATAAGAATATCAACGAATCGAATTCGACTGCATCCTCCGCTGAAGTGACTGTGATTAAGTGCCAAAAGAATGAACAAAACACTGCGATGAAAAGTAAATCAACCAGCTCGAGTAACAAAGAAAATTCGGCGCCTGTTATGAAGAAGTTTAAAATGCCAAAGAGAAATGTAAATTCTAAAGTTAAAACGATGATCGAATCGAACCAAAACAATGGTAGGGTTTCAGTAAAATTAATTTTCTGAATTAAGTTCAACTGTAAATCATCATTTTATATTTATTGCTTCTTTTAATTGTTTATAGTAGTCAGCGAAACCTCAGCACCGGCGTTGGCACGTCGGGTAGCGAGGAAGAATGGACGATGGGATGCTGTGATGGACAAGATCGATGCAAGCAAACAACGCGGTAGATCCTTAAAAAAGGAAGTCAAATCGCGAGTGCTGCAAGGACTTGGGACATCTGCGGGTAGTAGTTCTACAGCATCAACATCATCGTCCGTAAGACGAACTGTCGTTGATCTAAATTACACTGGCAGTAATAATAAAGATAAAAGGTGTGTTATTGGTTTTAAATATAATATATTTTGATTTTATTGAACAATTTTTTCAATTAAACCATTTCGATATTCAAAAGTTGAAATTTTATATATTAAAAATTAGACGTTAGAAATATAAAGGTTCAAATGTATTTCAAATCATATTGAGTTTATAATATTATTACAGGCGAGTCCGAAACCGTCCAGAGACCAATCTACCGAATCAAAATACGGGACGCAGTGGCTCGGTACAAAGTTCAGCGAGTGACCTCAGCAGTGTCAATAGCAAAGAAGCTTTGAGTAAGTTTATTATTAGAACATTGTTTTTAACTTTTTTCGATGTCTTCGAGTGATCATTACAATTTTTTTTGTTTCGAAAAAGTAGGTAAATATGTTCAATGAGTTTATGTTTGTCATTCTTAATAATTCAAATCTACAAGAGATTGGATGCATTCATAAAGACAAGTATAACTTGTTTGTACCCGTGAAAATACCCATGAAAACATTATTCTGGCCTTGAAAACGTGCGAAAATGATATCCAAACCTCCAAGTGTCTTCATAAACCATTATACCCGAGGATGTGTGATAAAAAGCATACAAAAATTGATGAGATCATGGAATGGAAATTATAGTAATGAGCCAATCATAATAGGTGACTGACAATATATCGATAACATCATTTCAACTTTTTCAAATTGCCCACAATTCGGTTAGTCGATCAGAACGAATCGAAGAAAGTGAATCGATATAATCGAAGCGCTAAATGTTGATGCAACGCATACGATGAAGCAATCGCTCACCATAACATCTCTCTTCATTTATTTAAGGGAGCAGCGTCGCATACGCTCCATAATACCTAAAGTATTATAATAGACAGTGACGGTAATGGCGGAAGTCGCATCGTGCTGCGCTCCTCTTGAGTGCAAAATCGTCTCTGTTTTGTGATCGTGTGCGTAATATATATACACGTATGTATAAACGAGCTTGAGCATAATACAGACTGAGGTATATACGGCTACTTTTAGTTAGCGCGAGAGCTTAGCCGCGCATATCTATTAATGCTGCGGTGAAATTCACACCGAGATGCGAATATGTTACGCTTTGCACCGTGTGCATTTCCACACGCAGTTGCGGACTGCAACTAAAAAGATCAATTGCAATAAACACATTTATAAAAGTTAAATTTTAGCTCGGCTTGATAAATTAAGTAAAATTTGAATTTACTTGATATTCGCAGAAACGCATCGCTATACACAAAACTCGAGATATTATGCACGCAACAAAATACTCATTTATATCATACGTGTGTATGTGTGTTTGCTCGTGTGGGTACGAGACGCGCAGTCTCTGTCTTTCTCTCGCACGCACATAAGAGACCGATGCAGGAGGGTCAACGGCACGCTCTAGGCAAGGGGTTATTTCCGACACCGGTTGCTCGTTCTCTCTCTTTCTCTTTCTCTCCTTCTCTCTTTCGCTCGCAGGCGCTCGCTCGTTCGCTGGTGCTTTTTTTTCAACAGAACCTGCTAGTCTAGATGTTTATAGCGTAAGCGCGAAACGTAAGAGCATATAATATTTGACAGATCTACAGCTGGACGCTCTGTAGGCGCTGTCGCGATCTCTTAGTCTCGGTCTTACCGCGACACCGGATCAACGGTGCGGAGTCTGCGAAAAGGCGACGAAGCTCGCGCGATGTAATGTATAATAAGTGAACGTGCGTGCATGTGTGATACGTGCAGCGCGTATATAGCCTGCCCGTAACCGGCTGATACGTAGGCTGCGAGTTGTCCCGCTGCTCTGACCTACTGATGGCGACGACTCGAGCCGCGGCTGCTGTTGCCGCTTCTGCCGATCTGGCTCGTCGTCTCCGGACTCGGGCCGCTGTGCTCAGTCATCGCGCGACCATCGACAAGTTCAACGTATTTTAATAACAATCACAAGCCGGATGCTACGACGTAACAGTGCCGAGTTTATTGCCGTGGTAGCAGCGACGAACGTCGTGTGCAGCGCGAATCGACGACTGCGGCCGTCCGATTTTGCAATTGAACGACTCTGAACGGTCCATGCTATTTTCATTATTACTTTATGGACTCTGTATAGTGAATATAATATATTGTACGCTTGCGGACGTAATTATGTGTGCGGCGAGTGGTGTCAATGTGTCGTGCTGTTTTATTAATTGCCTACATAATGTCACCTTACGTTGAATGTAAACAACGCTTCAAACTCGAGTTGCTGCGTTTGTTTACAAGCCACAGCGCCTACGATAACATTCGACGATTTTGCAGCTGCACCTCTGTGTTTTTCTTTTATCGTCGATTTAACGAAATGAAAATAAATAATACGGCGAATCGCGAGTCGTAAAATGAAATGTAAGAGTATAAAGAGTGATTTCGAGATATTCGTGGCTGCGTACGCGAATAAAATGCAAGAGAAAAGCGGATTGTTACCTAGGGCACGCGAAACGCATAATAGCCATACGGAGCCATACTCCAGCCTCTCGAGTATCCCGTTCATGCATACATGTAGAAATATACCTGCGGGTACTGTGCTCGAGTGCAGCTCGTAGAATAGAAGAGAGAAAGAGAGATGGAGTGCGATGCACAACGCGTATACGTGCATGTATGTATATTACGTCGGAGCTCGCGTTACGTTTGGCCTTTTCTGATCTAACGAGACGTCCCGCATAATGTGCACGTTGAACAAAAAAGAACGAGGAGACTTGGTCGACGACTGAGTCTATGCGACACGTTTAATCGACTACTTATCGTTTTTCAATTGCTATTTCAAGTTCAACTACGAGTTGTTTAATTATGTGAATGCATATAAAGTTGCGCGGTTGGATAATCAGCTTCGTTTCTTTTGACGTGAGCGGGTTTAATGTGTATTTACGTATCGAAATATTATCTGTGATGCGTTACATCCAAGTGATAAGAAAAAATGTATTTTTCAAAGTGACAAAATAAGGTGCTTTTATTGATATTTATGCAAGCACTGTGTCGTAATTTTAATTTTTGAGCACCAATTCTGGGGATCAGGGCCTCCGTACCCCTCGATAATCAGTGACAGAATGAATGTATATCGTTGTGAATGTAAGATTAAACAACCTTGAAAAGGTCTCACGCTCTCTTTCTCTCTCGTTTTACTCCTTTCTCTTTCCTTGCCTCTCTTTTTTCGTATTACTCTTTCGCTCTTTCATCGATAAAAGCCGCAGCGACAGAATCATCGCGGCTACTGCAGTCGCTCGAATGAATACCGGTTTATCGTACGGGCTTATTTTAACCTTACTGAAAGTTGACTGCGCGCTGAATTCGCGAACGACCAAAATCTCACACGTACCTGCATGGCCAAGTTACTTTCCTTCCTTTCGAAGGACAAGTGTTTAAAGTACATTCAGCATTGGATTGCATTAAGCTGCAGCCGGTGCAGCGTTAACCTGATTTTTTCCCCCTTTGGATTGGCTTCGTGCATTATTATTACTATTGACCCTTACCGGACTTGCTGCGGTGTACATTACGCAGATCGGTTTCTCGTAATACTATAGTGAATCGCAACTTAATTTTAATAATGATAAATTGAATTTTATGATCAATTAATGTATTTTTTACTCTTCGAATAAAAATTCATCATCTATTTCTTGATTGAGACTTGAAAACACGATCACGTATTATTCATCTTATTGAATATTCCTCTGAGTATTAATTTTGTCAATAGTAAATTAAAACTTTCCGATCAACGTAATCGATCAAATAACTAACTCGTTAATCCATAAAATCCAATTACTCGCTCATTACCATCATTTTAGTCTATTATTACTCGTAATTCTATGGAGTCTCTTAAAAGAACTGTCATAACAGTCAATTCTGGCCGCATGACATAGCGTATATAAGCAACCCAAAAATGTGTTACTTAAAAATAGATACTCATGCCAGTGAATGTAGAAGCTGTTTGCCTTTTCTCTCTTTCTCCTACTCAAATTAACGAGAACAAATGTTTATATTTCATAATAACGATCGACCACTCGTTTGGTGAACGACTCGATAATGTGTCAAGCACGTCAATACGTTTCGCCTGTATACCTATTGAATTCAATTTTTTTTATAAATACGCTGAAAATAAAGCAGTCGTGTCAAGTCAGCGATATAGAAGCTGTTCAATACAATCACGCGTATAAGATTTATGCTCGTCAATTGAGTCAAGAAAGGTATAGCACCATAAAAACGCATCTGTGGGACAAAATGGCTCAATGAATTTTGACAGAGCCATGCGCGCAATTTTTGTGGTCTTCATTCGGTTCGCTTCATTCACGCACAAGCGCATTATTGTGCTCGCCTCGGCACGCTTATAATACTATACGAAAGCGGGCGCAGCATACGAGATCGTCTAGAAGCCAAGCTCGTAAAAGCTCGTGCGGTGGAATTTCGAGCGACTACGGCTTGCAGGGCGCACGCACATACGCACGCACACATGCATCCTTCGTTGCGAGCGCCTGTATCTAAAAACAGAGAAAGAAACGGACGTTCGATAAATACACACACGCGCGCACGCGTCTCTCGTAAGGCCGACACGTCTGGATAGCGTTATATTAATCGTTTTTCAAGGTGCCTCATTGGACTTTTTTAAAGTTTCGACAAAAAAGATCTCTGTGGCACTCGCGTAATGCCGTCCGTCTCACGTCTACCGCGTCCGCTTTCGAGAGCTCGACGAAAATTCACCGCCAAATACCGTTGTGCGTTGAAATATACGATACAAGAAAAACCAGAGGAGTGTGTAATTTTTCCTTATTGTTAATCACAGGCTTGTAACAAGTATCATAGTTGTATAAAGTGGAAAAAATGATGAGCGACCGAGCGAACGAAGGCAGCGCGCGTGAAAATGAAAGACGCTCGATTCGTTTCCGCTGTAGTGGCTGAAAATCGAAGGCACGGATTTGCCTGTGATTTACCCGCTCTTCGGTAAAACTCACCTTTGGTCTCAACGTGCCACGCGTGTTCGAGAAAATAACATGCAGTCGTGTGTGAAACTGTGACCACGTGCGCTCGATTACGGTCCATTATTTTTGAGGAAAATTTTGTCGAGTCATGGGCCAGCAGTCATCGAAAGGTGGGCCCACACCGGCCCAGCTTCAGCTGCAACGCCTGGCTGAACAACGCCGAGAAGCTGCAAAAGCGAGACTCAAACGTGGCGGAGGTATTGAGCCCTTATTGTACTGTAACTTACAGTTCAAGCGTCTAAAAACGAAGAGAAAATTAAATAATTTTATATTGAAAAACTAAATTATTTATCTTCTTTTGTTTGTATTTTTAATAATGACATAAGGATAATAACGAGTTTGAATTATGATTCAAAAACTAAATCAAGGTTATCTTGTTTAAATGACTTTAAAATCGAGCCTTTTTTCATAATAAGATTGAAAATAAATAAACTCATGCTCATAAAAAAATGTATATGATACACAATTAGTAAAATAAATAAACTTTGAGTTTTTGTTCTTTTAATCGACTTAATTGTTAAATGAATTTCTTAAGTGGTCATTAAATTAATCGCATACTCTGAATATTATTATAGTGGCTTTTGATTTAAGTCTTCTTTATTATGATACATCTTCTCAATTAAAATCATTGACTCGCTAACTTACTATTCGTGTGTCTATCGATCTAAAATCAATGGTCATTCCAAAATTTCTCTCCAATTAAAATACAAAACAATGTCTCTGTAATAATTCGATCGATCGATTAATTTTTACTAAATTAAGCTGGTAGTAGCTAGAATGTTGAAATTAATTTTTAGTAATCTATTATTTAAAATAAAATGGTTTACAAACCAGCCTTGTTTGGCATATTTCAACCGAATTTATGAATTTATTGCGTAATTTTTGTGTTACAGAAAGGCCGAGAAAAAATTATTCAGAACTACATCAAAAACAAACGAACAACAAATTAATAAAGAACAACTCTAGTACGAACTGTAAGTCACTTTTATTTGCATTGATGCTTGAAAATTTAACCTCATATTTTAAAGTAAAATGAAATAAACTAGCGTAATTTTTATTTGTACGAATGATCTCTTTCGTAATAAAAAGGCTAACGTAAATCGTTACTTTTTTTCGTCCGGAATTAGAACCTTTATTTTGGAACTTGACGTTGACGACTCGAAAAGTGTAAGAAAAAAGAGGAAACTCAGAAATTAAAGTTCAAGTTGACGCGCGTAGACCGTACATCATTTGTACTTTCTCTTTGCAGTACATGTGGGTGCACACGGTAATTATTTCATAGCACATCTGATTTATGGATGTCAAACAAACTTGTTTTCTTCTATAAGTACTGCACAGGCTCGTGTAATCTCTCCGGTACGAGTTTTTATTCGCTTCAAACGAGTCTTTTGTCGCATCTACATGGTTACCGTTAAACCCGTATCATCAAATTAACATATTCCTTTCACAGCTGAATGGAAAAACCGTGTCATCGACAGTCCATGATCTTTCATCTTTTTCACACATCTGTCTCTTCTCACACTCTCGATTAATTTCTTACAAACATCGGCTGTCTCTATTTGTCACACCTGGAAAATCGAATCCTCGATAGACGGTGTAATCGCCCCACTTTTCGTTCTTGCATTTTTTTTCTCTGCTTGAAATGCCACTTACATTTTTCTATGATCAGTCGTGTTTCGGAAGGCGAGTCGAGATTATTTCGGAGGATTGAAAATTTTAGTACAGTGACTTGTTACTTAGTGTGTTTCGAGCCCCCTTGGATTCACTTATTTCTTTACAAGAGCCTTAATTGAGGCTATTTTTTACTCAAAATACTCACAGTGATAAATTTTCGATTGTTTTAATTGTGGTATTTTTACAAACAATTAACAAAATGACTCGAAAATTTATATTTCTTCGCAATACGTGTTCACATTCATGTCACTTGCATCGTCGTTTTATAAAGAGGAAACTTTGTATGTATCAACAGTTAATTAAATTAATACTTTTAAATCATTATATGAATGCATGACAATCATCAGCTATTCTACGATTTATGGTTTTTTTAGTATAAAAGAAATAGTTCCCTATTGACTATACAATGCTTTTTTTAAAGGGCAAAGACATTTCTTAAATTTAAGTGATGCTGAAAAAACGTCAGAGCGCGTGTTTGAAGCTTACAATTTTATATCATAGATGTCGTTTTGGTTAGAGCGGGTATTTTCAATTATTTTTTAAACATCGAGCTAATTATAATTATTGCATTCAATTACAAACATTTTTGGATATTTTATAGATTTTTCACACAGAAACATTGTAAAATCGATATAAACGATCGTTATTTAATTTTCTTTTTACAGGCACTACAAACAGCATCAAAACACAAAATGGCTCAGCTACAATTGGTAAGAAACTGTTTATTAGTTTTCATTAATTCACAAGTAGACAGTAATTTAGGATAAACTTTTTAATATCGATTCGTTGAAGCGTTGCGTCGTTTATGTATGCGTTGAATATACAAACACGCACTTGCGTATACATTATGTCCGCGTATGAATATGCAGCATAGAAAATTTTATGCAGTGATTTATTGGCTTCCCGTCCTCATTTTCTTTTATATGGTACATATTGTATACATAATAACACACGTGTGCCGCTCATCCATGTGCCTATCGCGATGCGTTCCTCGGTTTCTAATCTCGGCGTCTCTTGTGCACGCCTACAAAAAAAGAAATAGCAAGAAGTCGGTTCCCTAGAAATGATCAGCGGGTGAGAGAAATCGGTAGTCTTTCTCGCTTCCCTAACAGAGTTTTTACCATACAACATATCCGAAAGAAACATATCACCGTCTAATGCGTCGTGGTACCTACGTACTAGTTCGTGAATAATTCATTAATTTCGTGTAGATGCGCGCGTACACACAGATTATAGATTTGTATTTAGAGGACTGCGCATTCGCAGCATTAATAGTAAACATCTCTAAAACGTGCGTATTATATGCTAAATGGATAAATGCGCTAACATATAGATAATTGCGAGAAAGTTGGCAATCTATCGATGTAATTATATGGGACTTTGTAGTTGTAAATGTGCACTCGTGTTAAAGCTTTTATTTGATGTTCGCCGTTATTGGACGCGCTCGTGTAGTTTCGATGATAACTCACAAACGTGTTGATTGTCAAGTCACTGACTGTTGGAGGAGAGGGATTGTTCCAAGAGTTGATTAAAATTTGAAGAAAAAAACTCGTACTTTTTATTGGCATACCGTAGCGTTAATGCGGAACGTCTTATTGTTTACTATTATGCGATTCGAAAAGTTGAGTTCATAATACGCGCTAGATTCGAGCCAATGGCCGCTTACATAAATATGACAAATTTTGCTCCAATTTCCCGTTGGCACGATTCTTAATTCTTAAAGTCTAACAGTCTAAAAGAGTCGATTAAGCAAAGCAAGGCATATGCATACACGCGCGCATGTGATATATAACGTATGAGCTATATAGGCCGATGCGCGCAACATACATGTTCACCGCTGCGAGCCAAATATTCACTGTGTGCGCTTATATGTGTGTGTGTGTGTGTCGCACCGGCGATTCGCTATCTCTCTTTCCAGCGAGAATAAGCTCACGGAGCACACCGCAAGAAAATATTTATAAAGTTCGGGCTGCACGCAGCAACAGCAGCATGGTAGCAGAGAGAGAGAGAGAGAGAGAGAGAGCCAGGACTGCGTAACGATCGCGTGTATACGATTCAGTGATTTGCGCGTTGCTAATTGACGCCTTCGAATCTAGTATTATTATATAGGCGCGTGCAGCTTTTATACATAGCGTTGCGTTGTATGTGCTTACGGTCTGCAAGTCCAATGAACGGCCAACGAGGCGGCGGCAGGTGTCCATGCCGGCTTACGAAGCTTTCGATCCGCGTCCGAGCGACGCAAGAAAGCCATGCTTGGCTTTCACTTTTGCGAAAAAAAAGAATACGTCTGCGAAAAATAATTGCCTCGATGCATCGGTCATTGTGCGTGAGAAGTCGTTCGTTGCTCCGACGATAACAAAAAAAATCCTCTCGCGATCGATTTTACGGCTTTTTTCGCCGCATAAAACTCGAGGCGCGCAAAGTCGCGCGTACAGACGAAATTACCGAGTTGGCCAAATCTCTGTGTCCCGTTGGCATAATTTTTAATACCGGCTTGGTCGATTTGTCCTCTACGTATTATATGTATGTATATGCTACAGGGCCCAATAAAAGCACTGCATATCCTACATACGGGACACGTAATCGTTTTATTGCCTCGAAAGATCGGACTTGTTAATAATCGCATTCGCTCTTCGCGCGCATATATGTACGTGTGTATATACGCATAAGTATAGTGAAGGGAAGGCGCGCGCGAAGATAAGAAGAGGTTTAGAAAGCCGTCCTGCGGGTCTTTCTCTTTTTATAATGTGTCACTGCCGTGAAATTATGAACCGATATTTCTGTACCTGTAATCTATGTGTGCGCAAAAGAGTAATAGCTTGGCCTACGAGCACTGGACTATATGCACTTATGCTACATAGTATAAGAATCAGCTACCAAACTAACAACTCTTCTGCTTCTGCGCGCACTTGTAAAAAAGGTAAAGACAGTCGAATGCCTCTACTGCTCGTCAATTATACGAATTATTAAATTCCTACGACCACAAAAGATAAATATTTTTTATCGAGTAATTATGAATGTACATATTAAATTTTGCTCACTCGGCCGATGCAAATTTACTGTAATGCCAAAGTTGAAAGCTGCATGCCGAGACACGAGTCGAGCACAGTACGGCTATTGGGTATTCGTGCTTGTACGATGGTCAACGCGTCAAAAGTCAAACGTCGCCTTCTTAACATCGATACTGGCCTTGGGTTCGATCGACAACATGCCTATACGCGCGTTGTGCACGCGAGATGATTTTCTTGCCCTCCAAATAAGGCAATTTTACCGTGTACACAGGCCGCGTGCGGCGAGTAATCAGCATCCGCGAGTAGACCGGCAATGACGGCTTTATCGATTTAATGGCGCTCGTCCCTTCCGAGCAACGAGTATCAAGACCATCGCGTCAATCTGCTTATTTTACGCTGATCCTTTCGGAAATTTAAGCGAAAAGCGAGGCTTTTCAAAAGCTGAGTCTCATTTTCAAGCCTCAGGAGAAATAATTTGAATAAATTATGGAGCCGAAGGTGAGCTTTACTCGTGAGATACATTTGCGAAACGAGTTTGTTCGCTACATACTATATACTTGAAAATTTGTTGCGTCTCTGGTCAAGAGGAAATTTTGCTTTAAAAATAATCGTTGAAATTACATCTTATTCGCTGTACTTTTGTACTTTGAGCACGACCAACTTTACACGATAAACGCATTGATATTATCTATGTATGTCGTGAACTCTGATGCGTTCATCTCTATGACTGATAAAGGCGCCCCCGCATCATAATTTCAGCAGTCGAGAACGCAAAAGTCGGAAGAAATGGAGTGACCGAATTATTTCACGGCGTTACGAGCCGCGAGGTGTCAATGCGTACAGTAAACACGGCTGCAAGATAAATTAATTTTTGAATTACGCTGCAGATATATGCGCGCCAGATGGGTAACCAAGTATATAGCACACTGGAAAGCTTGAGCGCGTGCATTGGCCGGTTCGCTTCGCGCAAACGTATGCATCTCATGCTGCGTATAAACGTAATATATATAGGAGGTGCAAACGAAACAAGGCGCGATCGGTAAACGTACAAGTGTTTATACAAAAAATGGAGTGAGAGCCTCGGCGAAGGAGGAAGGAAAGAGAGAGAGAGAGGAGGGAAGCACGAGCTTCATGGGTTACTCTGTGTTTGCTGTACAGGCTACACACATAGGTATACACCTATACCCACAACTGTACGTAAGCGTGTTTATGTCTGTGTAGTATATATTTGTTATACACTCGCACACACATAGGCAGACGTATAAAGCTAATAGCGCCAAGGTGAAGCACGAAGCTGCTGGCGCGCGGCGTGCCTCGAAACGCGCGCGCTAATTCAGTCGATTCGCTCGCACTGACCAGCGAACAGCTCGCGTACCGAGAGCCAGCGAAAAACAGTACCATACAGCCGCATTTCGCTGCATAACTGCAGTATACCGATTTACGTATTGTACATAGTAGTTGAAAGTATTCATCGAGCGATACACGAGTCGTGTATACGATCGCTGTCTTTACGCACCTCCCAAGCCAAGTGTCAGAGTGTCTGTTTTTGTGTGCGCGGCTCGTGTCATCGCTCATCGACCATCGCGTCGCACGTGTACCCATACGTACAGCACACCTGTCAACATTGTCAATGATTGTTGTGTGTGACCCATTGAAGACACGTTTCCTATATTCTCTAAAGATACGTAATACACATTGTGAACTGTGAAAAACGTTCGTTGCTGTGCTTTGTTAATAGTGCTATCTCTGTGTTTTCGGTGCGCGCGTGCCTTTTCAATAAAAACTCCTCGACATACACCGTACGCGGCTCGTTTGCTCGTTTCATTGTTTTATATAGCGTTGCCGGCTCGATCGGTGAATATCCGACCGGTCGATATACATTCACCCTATTCTACGAGCTGTTTTCGTCTTTCGTTACGATATACTAGTGCTGTGCAAGCAGAAGCCTGTATTGTAATACAACTGTTGCCAGTGACCATAACGAGAGCGCACGATGACGACCCGATTCTCCGCGTGTGCTGCATAAATATAACATTAATACAGAGAGATCGCCCTGCGCGTCCGAACATGTTGTCGGCGGCATCGTCATTGGGATCATCGTCATTATCATCATCATCGACGTCAACAACAACGACACCGGCACATTATAAACGTCATCGTGTCATGAGATATGACTTTCAGATGAGAGCTATTCTTTACCTAGGACCCACCACAGCAGCGCAAAAAAAGCAGCTGAGCCGTAGACGACAGTCATGAATCGAAAATCGAAAAGAGGACATCACAAGGCCAAATATCGCCGTAACATTAAAAACCACGCGAGAAATAGTAAGATCGAGAGAAATTGGGAAAAATCGTACTAATAGGTTTTAAAACAATTTGTCGTACAATTTACCGTATTTCATTGATATTTACTTGCATTTACATGTTGTAAATTTCGCTTTACATCGTTACCATAAAAATGTCTTATTATTGTAACAAATATCTCTATATTTTATTTTAATTAATTAACAAATTGTTTTAAAGTGCGTTGGAACATTTTTCTCTGCCTTAAGTACAACTACGAGTGTTGTTCACATGTGCTATAGGATAAGATTGCGAAAACATTGAATTGAGAAACAAGTGACTCGTGTGTGTGTAACTTATACATACGTGCGAGCCGTGAGCTTTCCCGAGGATCACTCGCGCGTGCAGTGCAGGCGGCACGAGGATCGCAGTGACCCGACGTTCGATTGTTTTCCCGTCTAGGCATGTCGTCGTGATGAGCGGGTGCGTGTGCGCGTCGAGCCGACTTTCGCTTGATAATCGTAGTGCGCCCGAGCGTAAATCGTTCGCAGAGCTCAATTTTCGAGTTTACTTGACACGAGTGTTACGTGTGTACGTGCGTGAATCGCGAGCCGCTGCAGGATACTTTGCTTTGAAAGTGCTGATGCTTGGTCAATTCGGTCGACGTCGGACGTACACCATTGCATCCTTATACGAGTCGGTGCGAAGGTTATACAGACGTATTTTCATCGCAGAAAAGTGAATCGCGAGACGAAGCTCGAATGCAGTCGTGCTCTCGGACCTTCTTGTGCGCGCTGCCTCTGTTGAAAGAAGACGTCTTAGGTACTGCTTCGCCTGTGTATCAAAACTTACGACTTGGAAAACTATTCGTTTCCCCGTAATCGGCGAATGACATTACTTTAGCGCTTGTGCCGAGTACGAGCGATGATGCGCAATCCATGCACGTAATGCTACATGGAAAAGCCCTGGCTACTGTTCATCGCTCGCTTAACCTCGTTACAATGAATATATATGCCAAATTAAATGTCCCAATGCTAAATATTAAGATCAAAGTAAAAAAGTCATTAAAGAACACGAAAATAAGTGTGTGTATGTACGACGGTTCTCGTGAAGAGGCGCGGGTGGTGGACGCACCGTCTCTGCAGCTCTGCTTTGACTTCGTGCAGCGGACAGACTCGTGTCTCATAATAATTATACAAATGCCTTCTTATAGGTCTAGGCTTATATTTATAATTTACGGATTTCTCTTGTGGCGCTACGAAGCTCGCCGTAATAAGGCAGTATGTTGCAAAAAATCGTCGAACGCGTTTCAGTATATAAATAATTGGTTTATTAAATACGACTCTTGGAGATTTTTCTTTTGGTATAAAAAATTTGGATTAATGCGACACGCGAAAGCTTTCACTCAGCCAAAGTGCAAGTCGATGGATATAGGTTTTGTGGATAATTGTTCTGCCATTGTCCACAATCGAAGGTAGGCAGGTCTCAAAATCGGTGCGATCGATTTTCAATGATCGCGCGAATTCGACGGGAGGTCGTTTTTATATGTCAAAGGACATTGATTTCGGTGACACGTGTATTCGAGAGCTTTCCAAAGAATATTTACTATTCTTTAAGAAGGCATCTGCTTTGATTTATGCAGGAAAAATAAAACTGAATTATCTTAACGTCGTAAACATTTGAAAAAAAAAAATTACACATTACTTATTCACGCTATATGTTTATTAATAGTTGATTGGTCCTTTAATTTACAGAGCTCCCGAGAGAAACAGCTACCGTTCAATCTCAGCAGCAGCAGCCTTTGCCGAAAACGACTGCAACTACAACGTCGAGCAAAAACGAACTGCCTAACTTTGCGACAGAATACGAGCGCCACACGCGCGTCAGAGACGCTTTCCTGTCGCGCTTGCAAAACAACAACAACAACAACACCAGCAGTAGCAACAACAATAACAACAACAACAATAAAATCAGCAGCCAGCTGCATCAAAGATTCGGCAATAACAACAAGAACAACCAGCATCACAATCATCAGCAGCAGTTGAGAAATCAAATCAACGGAAACGCGCTCGCTCGGTCGCATCAGCGGGCGGTCGCGGCGGTGGCAGTGGCAAAGGCCGAGACGAAAAACCAGGAGATCCAAACCGACGAGCCAAGCAACGAGGCGATCGCTGCTGCCAGAAGCAAAGATGAGCAGCAGTCGAAAGAGAACAGCGTTGCCGCGCAGGCCCTTGCCGTTACCGTCCAGTACCTCGCGCATCAGGTGCGTTCCACGTTTGCGTTTTCTCTCCGATATACACCTATGTATATATATGTACAGCCATTTATACACCACCGTGTAGTATACGCATACGTGCACATGTACACCCAGTAAAACTCGCGCGCACGAGAGCTGGCATATAATAACGGAACGTAACAGTTCGAAGGAAGTCTGTGCACGCTCGCGTGCAGCGCGATTCGCTCGACGGACCGCTGCTCTTGCCTCCTCGCGCGCACTAGCATATGTACACCTATATATAATAATGTAACGCCACTGTAACACCTTCTTTTCTCTGCCGATTCGTCTTTACTCTGTATTTAATTTATATGTGCAATCTCGACTGAATCTGCGCAAACCATATAATACGAAGACACGCAAGCACACTCGCTCTTTTTCACCTGGCTCGTGATTCTTTTACTTTTTACGTTTTTTTAATCTATCAATTAACATTATTTGATTTTTACATCAGTATAAAATATTTTCGTTGTCATAATTTATATCTCTGTCTACGTGTCTTTTTCTATGAATTTTGCTGTGATAGCATGTTGTTGAACTCGAAGATTTCGTGCGTTCCATCGTCGTCACGTTTCACTTACGATAAATCCTTGATAGCTTTCTCTAATTTTTTTCGCCACGCCTCGAATCCATTCAGACCTTACCGGCCTTCTATGGGTGTATCATCAACACTAAGCACATTCTTGAACGTCCTTTTCCATTTTGAGCACGAAAACAATTAGTATAAAATGTATGAGTATCATCAGTCCTGTCTAATCGATTGAAATTTGCTTTTTTCCACAGTTTGACAAGGCGAAAATCGACGAATGTATATCGACAGAAAGATTGGTCGAGTTGCGCACGCTTTACTTTTCGGAGCGTCGAAAACTCGAGGAAGCGCTAACTCAAAATGAAGAATCATTGAGGCACGAGCGCGAACAGTTTCGATGCGCCCTTGCTCTTTTGCGCGAGGAACGTAAGTATCCTTAAAATTAATAATCATTTTGGTATAAAAGTATGGCTCGCTTTATAAGTACTATTACTCTGAATGAGTGTGTTGAAAAAGTGTCGTAACATTTTACACGTGTTGTTATTTGTTACGACAAACCTTATTACTAAAATCGTAATCAACTCCGAACTGTAAAAAAAAAGAAAAAGAAAAGTTCGTCCATGACTTTTTTGAAACAAGGGATTATTCTAAATCTACATTTAATTGGTGCATCGAATGCTCTTAATAAGCACACAAGTGCAACAAATTCCCTCCAACGCTCGCTCGGCCGCTGCCTTGCTGGTTGGCACATGAAGCTTGAAAAAGAGAGCACGCGCGTGTATACATTGCTTCGCATTATTTATACGGAGAACGGCTCTTGAAGTGAAATACGCGTCGATCAAAATTATTATTGGCTTTTGTGCGATACAAGGTACTCGAAGCAGCATTTTTATAACGAGAAAAACACTCGAAACGGTCTGTAATGTAGTCCAGCCCACGCATAACGCACGCACACACGTGTGTATTATTGAACTAGCGCACAGTTGACCGTTTCCGTATTTTATTTAACGCTTTCACACGAGGCGCGCTCGTATGCGTATGGGCGCCTTCGCTCTAGCCTTAATACAATCATAAATTGTGCACTCGTCAATGCGCGATCGAGGCTGATTTCTAATTTTGTCTTAAATTTTATTTGCCGTTTAGAACTGCACCATAGATTCGGGTCACTAATTATTCGACACTATACGCCTCAAAACTGCCTTCAATTCTACGGAAACGATAAAATTTCCTCTTTTTAGGGAGCTTTCGGCGCGTAAACATTGGCAATAACGCGTCCGTATCCAACAATAGTTTTTGATGCGTGGCTGAGCTTTTTTTTGTCTGCATAACATATACAAACGCCGAGCACTCATTTCACGCTTATACCTCGAAATGTTGCATACGCGCACTGTTTTATAAATATCATGGAGAATTTAGAATTGATATTCGTATTGCGTGAACTTTTCAAGGATTCGTGCGCTCAAACAAAAAATTTTTGTCGCAGAAACGAGTCAGACCTATACATGAATTATGTTTTCCAATCAATTGTCAAAAATTGAATGCTTAAGCTAGTTCATCAAATGAAATCTATTTGACAGAATATTCGCAGAGAAAGAAACTTTCTGTATTAAATAATTTTGTTTTATATTATAAAAGAATCAAGTATCAGTAATAATCGCTGAAAACGCAACTTATTTTTTGTCACCGTTTCTTGATCTTTAAATTTGAGAAAAAAACGTTATTACTCATGATGTATTGTTTAAATCATGACTTGCGATATTAGAGTACAATAGAATACAAATTAATAATGATTGTTAATTTTCTCGAACACTTACAATAAATTTAGTTTAAGAAAATATTTGGAGTTTTTACAAATTTATTTTTTGGTAACAATTGGTGGATATGCAAGTCACGCGCGGCTTCAAAAAAAAATATGTCCGTACTTTTGTCATACTTAAAAATCAGAGAACTTTCTTAGCTTTAAAATTGAAATAAGTCTCAAGTGTCAAATGATCTTATAATATTCAATGTTGCATCAAATAATCTCATCGATACGTCGTAAAGAACGACGCAAATGTATTCGAAACTAATGTAAGTACTTCTTTGCTTTACAGTGGAACGCGAACAAAATAAGCGTTCGTTTTTGGAGAATTCGGTATGCGAGGAACGTCAACGAGCCGAAGATTTGCAAAATTCCCTTCAAAAAAATGAGCAACAACAACGCGAAGCTCTTGAGCGAATTGAGCACGAGTATAAAAAGGAGCTGGAAAAAGCTCTCGAAGCTCAGCAGGTGGCCTCAGTCCCTCGAAGTCGAAACCAGCTCGTCGCGGAAGTTGAGTCGCTGCAAACAGTAGTGGACATTCGCAGCCAAGAAAACGCCCAGCTCAGGCTGGAAGTTGATCGGCTTAGAAGAGAACTCGACGAAAGAGAAAAGCTGCAGATGCGCTACGAGCAGATGGAGGCCAGGTGCGAGGACCTAAAAGCTCAACTGCAGAGCAAAGAGACGAATGAGAGGCAGCTGATGCACGAGAACGAAGTCCTTCAAGCCTCGTCGTATGAGCTGAAAAAGCAAGCCAGGCGTCTCACGCAAAAGAACGAGGAGCTGCTTTACAAATTGCGCACCAGAAATGATAATGGAACTGCTGGGTCAGCAAATCCAGTATCACCCAGCAGCCAAGCACAATCCAAATCTCTCAATGCGGACCGCACGTGCGAAAAGCAGTCCGACCTACCCGACCAAAACTGCACTTCGAAGTCAGACGTAAGTATTTTACATTAAAACTCGGCATTGACTTTCCTTGCAAGTACTTGTGCAAATATCTCAAAATATTGATATTATCTTTTTTAGCTGCAATCTAGTTCGGTTAAGTATTTCATTGAAAAAAGCGACTCGGTTTCTTGGACTTATGATATAAGTGAGGAATCGTTTTACATGACATGTAACAAATCAACGTCCAGTCTTCCAAGTCGACAGATAAATGGCACGCTAGTCTCCCGAAAAAATCCCCCGAATCTTTCATCGCAGAAGAGAAGAAAGAATAATAATGCTACTGAACCTGCGCAAACGGATAACGTATCAAATACCGAATCGTCGACAGCGCCCAAAAACAAGCTTGCTAAAGTACCAGACGTTGAATTCGACTGGAACCCTGCTTGCAATTCTACGCCACTGCGTGGTAATCGACCGCCTCTTTCAAGCGACGAACAAGCTTGGGTAAGTCTCTAGTTTATTCTCTTCAAATCATAATTTATTAATGCATCTTGTATTTAATTCATCATGAACCCAATCTTAATTTTACTTTCGCTCAACCAGTCTCAAACAAAATTACCAAATACCCTATTTTATTTGTTATCTTATTACTTTGCAGAATCAAAAAATCAATGCATCGATATAACCATCAACAAACATTGATCCACACTCTTATTTCTATACTGCCCAAAAAACACAAACAATCAAAAACACAAATTATATCATGAGTGTTAATGTGGGCACCTATTGCAGTCGCTGCCATCAAACATCATTGCCGAAAGCAGCAAGGTAACGACAAAAAGCAACAACCGCAATGCCGCTGTTACTGCCACTTGTGCACCTGTTATTCCTAGGAACAAAAAAATGAGTGTTTCTAAAATTGATCGAAAGTGTGTGGATATATCGACCACCGATGAAGATGAGGACGAAAATGACTACGTAGAGGAGGAAGAAGAAAGTGGCCAGCGGCCTCAAGAAGCCGGTGGTGAAGCTATGATATCAGAAGATGCATCAGCTCCTTCGTCTAGTAGTGAGGATGAATCTTCAGCAAGCAGTAGCGACATTCCTTGACTGGCAAATCACCAGAAAATCACTAGTACGCACATTGGTCGATGGCTTAGTGCCAAGCTGAACGACAGATTTCGTGCTGGCTACAAGTATTATTATTGAAAAAAAATTACGCGCAAGAACTTGTATGTATGCTATTGTATGTATGTTTGTGAAATGAGATGTTTTTAGTTTTTTTCACGCCGTATCTCAATAACAATTATGACGATTTTTGTAAATCTCTGCATCTAATCATTGAAACAAAAACATTACTCGCTCATTTGTATTCTTTGATTAGATATGTCCTGATTTTTTAAGGATCGATTTGTTATAGTTAATATTTTGCTAATCTCAGACATGATTGGAACTATATATTTTCAAACTACTGATCAGCTACAGTCTACGAAATTGTACTGTTCGAAAAGTTTTAGTTCCTACGTCGTGTCGAATGAAAAATATAAAAACTAATCTCAGTTGATCTAAAAACGAAAAATTTATTTTCGAATTCTTTGAATGATTGTTTCAGGAGAATAACTGCAGCGTTATTATATGAATAGCTGGGAAGGTTGAATGTAGTTTAGGAAGATAGTTAATTATCTCAGTTATTTTTTGTTTTTGCTAAATAATATATGCATTTTCTGTAAATATATATCACATAATGTTAAACTAAGTAAGTTATATGTGAAGAAGTTTAGAACTTATTCTGATAGATTATAATTAGATTCTATACAATATTTCTTTTTGTACAAATTACATAAGTTTATAAAAATACTAAGTATGTTAATGGAGTAATCTTATTATAAAACAAATTTTAATTAACCAAGTTGTTTTTGTATGAGTTCAGTTGTTGGTGCTTTATTTTTTTATTACAAAATGATTTTCAAAAAGTTTTATCAATGCAAAAGTACACCCATGTTGAGATGATCATTTGCTGATAGTTGATTAATTTTGAATGTTATAGTTTTAATAATCATGAGTCTGTAAGTTAAAAGAGGAATAAGTTTTATTCGAGAAATTGGATGAAGAATGAATATGTAGTATATATTAAAATACGAAAAACCGTTTTTATAAATAAAATGAACAGGTATTGTATGTAAATTAAGTATGCTTTTGTTTGAAACAAGTGTGGAAGCAGCAATAGCCTAGAAAACGAACTACCATCAGAATCTCATGCGCTGTTTTTAATCGTCTATTATTTTACTTAATGTAAAAAATTATTTAATGTCAGACATCATCTTATAAATACGACGAGAAACAGTACAGAGATTTTGTTTACTTAAAAATATTGAGCCACTAGTGTAAAGAAAATACGCTTAGAATAAACATTTGTTGAAAAAATGTAATTCATCTACTGCTAATTGTAATCAGTAAATGTGAGTTGATAAAAAAAATTAATAATAATAGCTGAAATGCAAATCTTTGGCAAAATAAATGTGTTATATATATTATACAGATGTTTTTTTAATTAAATCCTTAATTATAATACAGTTAGAAATCCCTTTTAGAAAAAAAAATTTATTCGTTTTTTATACAACAAAAAAAAATATCTTAAATTCAAATTATTATTCAACTTTAACAAAGAACTTTTGATAATTTATTTATTTTGTAATTTTACCAATATTTGCAGTTTTTATAATTCGTTCGAGTTAGTTAAAAAAACTAAACTCATAAATTAATAAATTACAGATGTAATTTTCTGAAGTCAGTTAAATATAATTTATAATAATATAAAAAAATATATTCTATACTGTTAAATAGATATAAACACAAAGTATTTTTCAAGTTTTTCTTTCAATTAGCTTGAAACAAAAATTTTTCATCAAAAAAATTATACTATTTAACAGGTAATCACATTTACATAATGCAATTTTCGTTGACTCCGCGGGATCATTCTTATATAATAATTCATTTTCTTCTGGGATAAATGACTCTTCTGACGTTTTTAACTGGCACCGTTAGCCCTAAAAATTTTAAAATTTGTTTAAAAAAAATTTACATTGTTTATTTACCATAAACGCAGACTACTGAAACATTTACTTACTTCTTCTTTCTTCAACAAGTTCTTTACGTTTTTGGCTTTGTTCAGGTGTTAAACTGTCCAGCATTTTCTCAATGAAGTCATCTACGAATATGGAACGAGTCATAGTTACAATGGCAGCGCGACAATTAGGACAATCTCTTCGTCTTCTGACCCATGATTCAATACAGTATTTACAAAATGTGTGCATACAATTAGTAGTCATTGCACTGACAAATAGTTCTGAGCATATGCAACATGTTAAATTCTCATCCATAATACTACTAACTGTATTTATAAGAACAGTTTCTTGGGTAAGATTTCTCAAATTTCTGGTAGGATTTTCATCTCCAGTTAAATCAATCGTTTCCAAAACCGGTAGAGCTTGTATATTTTTTGGATCTCCTGTTTCCACTACTATACAATTTTGCATAGCTAACTTTTGAGCTGCTTCTAAGGCTAGAAACAAATTTAATCATGTTTTCAATGTAATAGTTATATTACCATAATTAAAATGAAAAAAATTACCTTCTTGTTCTTTTTTTTTAGCTTCTTCTGCAGCTGAAAGAGAAAAATAATTTTAAAATAAAATTATTAAAATATTGTTATGAAGCAGTAGGTGAATTACCTTCTCGTTCTTTTTTCCTAGCTTCTTCTAAAGCTATTAAAAAAAAGCATTATCAATTAAAAATGAATAAAGTATTTTTTAGTATCAAACTTATGCACTACCTTCTTGCTCTTTTTTATGAGCCAGTTCTTTTGCTATGAGATTTTCTTTCAGATCTTTTATAGTTTGTTCCATTTTTTCACGTTCTGCCAACATAAGCTCACGCATAATACTTTGCTCCATCATAATCCTTTCCTGCTCTTTAACTTTTTTCTCAAATTCTTCTGCTGCTTTTTGAACTTCATCCTTTTCTTCTTTATACTTTTCAATTTTCTCATTGACTGTGATTTCCAATTTTTCTTTTTCAGTTTTTGTTTTCTCAATAATTTCTTGGAATTTGACTCTTTCTGCTGCCATTAATTCTTCATACTTTTGTCTCTCTTCTTCCAGCTCTTTGTGTAGCTCTATATATTTTTGTTGTAAATCAAACTCATGGGCATTACTAATTTCTATTTTCTTTTGCAATTCTGCTATTCTATCATTAAGTTCTTGGTTACAAGTTTTTGTAACTTTTTGATCTTCTAATAGTTTATCAAGTTCAATTTTTAATTTTCCTTGTTCAACTTGCTGATCGTTCAACTGTTTTTCTAGAGATTGTCTTTCATTTTCCTGACACACCATGAATGATTTTTGTCGTTCCAACATATTTTGTGAGTCAGTTGTGGTATTTTGTTTTTCAAATCGTGGTTGTTTGTTCGAATTATTTACTTTAGTAACCATAGTAAATTTGTATCTAAAGAATTCATTCAAACTTAATTGAATGATATCGCCTTCTTTTATAGGTACAGTATCATTTTGTTTGATAGGAACAGAGTTGATAAAAGTATCTGTAGAACTCAAATTTTGGAAAAGCCAGTCGCCTGTTTGTTTGTCATATTTCAATGTGCAATGATATCGAGAAATCAGAACACTTAAAATGACTTCATCATTATCAGCTCGTCTGCCTATTTTGAACTGTCAAATATAATTTGCATCAAATTAATTATATTGAAAAATGTTTTAAATATTAAAATATAGAGCATAATAGTTAAAAATTGTACTAACTGGTTCTTTATTGATGAGAATCATATCATTTAATTGACTCATACAAACATCTTTATAAATTTCATTGCTAGAATCTACAGGTATTCTTTCAAGTAATGGTATAAATTCTTTATCAGCTTCACTGATATTTCTTTTACGACTTGCACTCATCCCTGAAGGTCCAGGTTCTTGAAATGCTCTTGTTGCAGATGTTAACATAGCTGACGTTTTATTGAACGATAATGATTGATGCGAAGTATTAATATTTTTTTGACCTATTGTCACATCATCAGCTTTTAAAGAAAGTAAGTTTGAAGAGTCACAGTTTTCTTTTTCAAAAATATTTTCTGAGATAGATTCTGAAGTAACTTGTTGGACATCAAGCTGAGTAATTTGAAAACTATTGAGATCATTTGAAATACTGTTATTTATTGATTTTTCACTAGATTGAGATAGCTTTGAGTCCTGCAAAAATAATGATAATTTTATTTGATCTACATTTTAAACCAATTAAAATATTTTATTTACCTTTTGAGTACTGCATTTGTTTGGTTGAGAATTTTTAGCTTCTTGTGTATCCATAACAAGACTTATATCTTGAGAATTCAATTTATCTTGATATTTTTTGTCTGAACTTTCAAAATCAGACTTACTATTTTGATTCGTTTTTAGTTGTGTCAATTGGTTGTCAAGACTTGATTTTAGTCGTAGATTAGGTTGAGATGACACAACAGTGTAATTCTCAGAATCTTGTGTACTTAATTTTAATGATAACCTCGACTCCTCTGATTCCATTCTAAGACTGTAGTCTTGCGATTTTCTACTATTCTGCGACACTTTTGAATCCTCAGATGACTCCATAACAAGACTAATATCTTGGGCACTGCTCCCCGCTCCAATCGAATCACCCGCTAGCTCCATCGGTATAACGACTTCAGATTCAACCACCAAGTTCAACTCCTGACTCGTTAACAATGTTTGGTTTAATAAACTTGAAGTTGAGCTTGAATTTGATAAGAGCGAAACATTGCGAACCATTTGCTCGTGCTCGTCATTATTTTGTTCGATCATCGGGACTGTCACTTCTGATCCCACATGTTGTGATCCGTTTTCTTCGGTCATTCTAAAGCTAAGGATACTCTTGGAACTATTCAAAAAGCTTTGAAAGAGTTCGAAAGGCATAATGAAAAATATAACTGATTTCTCGGAAGGATTAGAAAACACTTAGATATTTTTCATATTCTTCTCAATCTTCACTGCAGCCACTTTCAATAGTTTCGAGAAGCCGTAACAAAGGACGAACAATTTGATGGTGTAGATAGTTGTTACAACAAAAATTACTATCAGAAGTACGTGTTTGACTAAAAGTACCGCAATAAATAGCAAAATCAAATGCTTTTACAAAAATATTAAAATTAATAGCAAAATCAAATACTTTTACAATATTGTACAAGAAAATTTGACAATTCGTTTCGTACTGAATTGATGAAAAAAGTACGTTGAACTTTCAGATTCTACTGCACTCCGCAGCGGACGAGCACAAGGCAAAAATTTGAGCGCGTAAAGTTTCTTTGTGCGAAACAAATGCACCCGGCGCGCTGGCGTGCGAGATGCGCATTTCGTTGTAGAATGTAGATGCGATTGAACTGCGCGTCGTAGACTGCAGAATGAATTTATGAATTTACGATTGTCGCACAATAACGACGGATGAGTTCAGTTTTTGATAATTATGATTTGATTGTTTGGTACATTTTTTATAGATTTTAATTTCATTCAAAGGTACATTTTTTCAAATAAATTTATATTAAAATGTTGTCTCATTTATAACGAAGATAAGGATTTGGCGGGTGTAGATAACGGCATGAAAATGAAAAAAAGAACAGAATTAATAAAAACATATTTATATACGAAATTAATATACACCTAAACCTAAGGTACAATATTTCAATCAAGTTTTACATTATCATCGACCCTTTTTTAAGTCTCTTAAACCCCTTTGATCTTTCATAATTCTAAGCAGCTTTCCATTGATGTTGGCTAACTCGACAGCCGCATAAGTCGCCTCCCGGAAGTACTTTTGTGCGGACCTCAAACTTTGAGGCACCAAGACCCCGAACCATTTGATCGGGTCTTCGGCATCTGTTCTGAGACTAATATCAAAATTCGGCACTTGGTCATCGTAACTCGTTTCGAGCTCGAAAACCGATTTCATATCGTTGTCTTCATGCGGCACCTGCAGCATACCGATGCTCTCCTTACCGCGGATATAGCGAGCTTTTGCCATCTCTATGTTACCCTGCCGTGTCAAATTCTCCAATTTTATCGTCAATTTGATTTTTTCCTCCATCAGTTCAAGATTTTTGATCGATAAATCGTCTAGGGCCAAGCACAGATCGTGCAGAGTTTGGTCGGGGTTCTGAAATCGGTAAAATCGAATATTTTATAATGCTTAACAAATGAAATGTTTATACTGTAAGGCATCAAAAACTGTATTTAGTATAGGTACCTTTACAAGGTAATCGTACATTTTCTTCGGTAATCTCTCTTTTGCGATAAATGCTCGGGTAAGTATAATATCTAATAGATGTAAATACGCAGTTGAATTCTAACATATACTGAATAAATATTTTTTCTTAGTACATCTCTATTTTAAATATGAATAACGGAATGCATTTAAGCAGATAATAACACGAAGTATTCCACGCAGTGACCAAAAGTATTTTCAAAGAATGACGCAGGATTTTTTTATAAACATTTGAACTCTCAAACGTACATTTATCTAGTCTAACACAAAGATTCAGCAGCTTTTTCGGCTCACTGATTAACTATATTAAAATACATTTATGGACCATTAAAAGTAAATTATGATTTTTTCAAAACAAAAATTGAAAGGGCTTCTCTTTTTTATCGATAAAAATTGATTTTCAACGATATTTAAGAGATTGATCATAATTACATTTTTAAAGAATCATTAATCGAATAAATCATGAACACATAATGCCGATTTTCATCAAAATCTGATTAAATATTTATTATGGTAAAGCTAGATGTATTATTATACAATAACAATAAGATAAATTTAATTTCATAAATAATTTCTTAATTACTGGAAATTAATTTTGGAATGGTTCTATGGATCAATCACAATAAAAAGTATTATATTAAACATTCACGACATTTGATTAAAATTGTATATTATAATGCTAATGCTATTTACTCTCTGCTAACAAGCATTAATTTCAAATTTGATCACATTTAAGACTTTGTAACACCTACTTTTAAGAACAACCAATGGTATCTCATAACAATTAGAATCAATTGGTATAAATGTATTCAATATACAAAAACAGTGCGATTACATACACCTTTTAGAAAATGGAAAGTGAGTAATTTGGACAATTTTTAATATAGTTGACAATGGTCAGTACCATACTTAATGTACACATAAAAATATGTATAATGTACATACATCAATGATTGAACTCCATAAGTGCACATATTATATGTTTCTTACTGCACCAAGTCATAATGGTTTTCAAGCTTTAGGCCTGAAAACTACCACATTTGATTGGAATATTGTAGAGGACGATAACACTAAAAATTTATTTCATTCAAATCTAAAAATTTGTTCTTGAAAATTACAAAACCACTAAATTGGCCATGTTGAGAAAAATGAGTATCAGGTATGTCTATGAGTTTCACAAAATTTTTCAAAAATGGTTTTATACGCCTTATTGTTGAATCGTATAGAATTAAATGACTAGGTAATTTTGACTTTGTATCATTAGGATAATTTGCTTCTAACCATAACATAGGATTTGTAAAAAAGTGATCACTTTCATCTTTATAATCTTTTGCTCCAGATAAATTAGGTTCACAAGTTAAAAATCTCATAGAAACATTTTTGTGTAAATGACTATAATATGGAGTAGAATGACAAGTTGTCAAAAACATGATATCAACCTGTGAATTATCCCTATGTTCAATTTCATTACGAAGATAATCCATGACTTGTAAACTGCCTTGTTGATGAATAACGGAAAAATAATAAGTTGGTATTACATTGGTTACCAAAAGGGCAAGAATGAAAAGCTTTTTTTTTACAACTGATGTCATATCTTTCAGTAGGCAGTCGTGGATTACAAAGAGAAACATTGGTAGAAGAGGAAGAATGAATCTAAATTCTTTGTGAGACAATAATGAATAAATAGCTATGGACCATTGCACTGTTAAAATAACTATAATAGATTTATAGTAAGGAGCATGTTTTTCTATAATTCTCATGAGAGCAAATGCTAACAAGAAATAATTGACACCTAATAGCACAGGTAGACCTGATGTAAAATACCAAAAATGAGACATTTTTCCATATTGCTCAGATATGTTATTTAAAACATTGATTTTTAGAAATTCTAGAGGAGTAAATACAAAATAACCATAACATAACATGTCTATGGTTGTTGATAGAATCAAATAAAATAAACCTATAAAAAAATATCTAATCAAAATAGATTTTGAAAAATTCTTGTAAAAATGAGTAACACATAACGGTAACCATATTACAATAGCTGTTGGTCTAGCAAAACATAAAAATCCAACAATCCACAAAAATTTGGAACATTTTCTTGGATTAGTTTTCCATGGAAACTCTGCTAAAGCAATGATAGTTAAGCATGCTTCAAAAGTATTAATTAGTGTTCGAGTGGCACAGTAATACCAATACCAATTAATCCATAAATTAAAAAGTGCCAATTTACTACCTGTCCAAGTATAAAATTTATATTCAGCATAGGCACTTAATAGAGCTTGAAAAACTCTGGGTAAATATATGACTACAATCGCATCATCTAAGTTCAGAAAATTTACTATTCTGTATAAAATTGAAATAAGAAAGGGATACAAGTAGCTTCTGATTCCAATACGCCACTCCCAAGTTAGATAACCATAGCCAAAAGCTAACTTATGTGCAACTTCTAATGATTGCCAGTATTCATCTGGTACATGAGAAGTTTGCACTACGAAGACTGAGGCAACTCTCCACACAGCTAATAAGATAAATACTTTATTACGAATGAATCTTGGATAAGACATGATGATGAAGATGTTGGTGAAGATGATTATGGTGATCTGTACTAATCTAGAAAAAAACAAATAGTGAAAAAATTACAAAATCTCAATTTTCCCATTTAAAAACCAATGGAAAACGGGACGTACCAAGTAGCTTCTAAAATATTTCAGTTATGAACTATTGTTACATAAAAACATGTGATCTTGAAGACTCAGTCTTATGATTGTGCACTTAAGTCGCAAAAGAGAGATGCAATATATTAACATTTCATTTGACGTGTGTAATATTTATTCTGTAGTTTCGCATGTATTACGTACGTGTCCCATAATTGTGCCTTATTTCTCTTCCCTAGTACGGCTTCTCTAAAACTTGACTGATTTTGTCCTGCAAAACCATACAAAAATACGAGAAATGATAAGTTTATGGGTAATAAAATTTCAGACCCGGTTAAAGTTCTCTCACCTCTTGGTTCGCGTTGCGTCTCCCTGTCGCGAGGGACCGCGGAGAAGGGGTAAGTAAACTACCTTGTATATGTAGTACCTGTTTATATGTCAAGACACTACTGCGCGCGCAAATGTGCATTTGCAAACACGCGAACATGTGACTCACAGATTCCCATGATTCGTCAATGGTATTTAATTTTGACACGTAAGCTCGCCTAATGTATGGTTTTTATTTTATCTCTACGTGTGCCTAAACCATTGATAACGCATCATAGATTAGATATCTTTTTTAACGCTCCACCGTCGATAATTTGCTTTTCGGTTCTCCGTGATGAATCGTTTCAAAAATTAAATCCTATCTTAATAAACGTTAAGTGCAATTACTTTGAGATGATTTTTAATGTTAATACCTCTTTATCCATTTGAATTTTAAGTACTAGTCTTAGGAGCATACCTTTTTTGAATTTTGCTCTACCTAATTTAGAAAAGAATCGAACCCATTAAATGAAGAATCGATTAAGAAAGAAAATCGTTTGTGAAATACATCCTATTACTTAGATCAAACTAATTTTCCCCATTGTCAACAGCTATTTAAGCCTTTAACGATTGTGCCAGACCATTAAGATAAACTAATAGGTATTGATTAACATGCCCACCAGAAATAAAAAACTTAATCCTTATTATTATTATAACTTAAAATTTAATTTAAAATAAATTATAGCTCCTCCTCTTTAATCAGTCGAACCAATCGTACAGAATTACGACCTATGCCTGTAAAGTCACGAGTCTTAGTTTCTCTGAAGCCATCGCGCAGGCCAGATACCTATATAGGTATAATCTTTTGCGTGTCGTCTGTTCGCTTATTCTCGTCAACGTAGGCACATATACCCATAGCGACCGAAACGGAACCTTACTTTTTTGCAAGAAAATTTGAGTGAACCATCTACAATAGCTATTGTAGCATGGTGGCCATCCAGGAGGTGCCTGACGGCCAAGAATCGCCCGATTCCGGAGCCGTAGCTGTCCAAAATGACAATGCCGAAGCAGTAAGTTTTTGCAACCTCTTTAAAATTCCAACTCTCAAGGGTTATAGGCTTGCGTAAAATTATCACAATAGCTAATTTCTATCGCTTTTAAAAGTTTAATAGATGAATAAATATCGCTAAATGCAGTGATCATTATGTTTGTCTAATTGTTCATTTTAACAATGCTTGAAAGACGAAAAACAATAATGTTTTTATCTCTTCAACAACTCCCTTTTTCTTATACAAACAAGTTTCATGCACAGTCATTGTCACTTTTTATATGGTATGAAAATGAGAATGAAAGCAAAAATGCTATTTTGTACATGTTGACCACGTTATAATTGATTTAAATTAAGAAAATAAATATCTCAATTAAGTACAGTAGAATTGAAAAAAAATTAAATCATTTTGTTTTTGTAGGCAAATAACCAACCAGAAGAAGAGCAAAGACCAAACCAAGGCTCCAGGGCTCAGTCTTTCTTTTCTACAACTCAAATGCTTATTAGTCGAGCTGTGATCATCTATTTCATCAGTTCCTTTTTTAGAAAAAGTGCTCCTACTACTCAAGGTCCTGTAGAAGTTGGTGCAGCCAATATTTTCCCAAATGGAAGTATTTTTGACTTACATGTATATTTGTCAGAGTCAGAATATTTCAAAGAATTCAATGACCCCAGAGCTAAGGTATGGTCTGAATATGGACTGACTTATGGAGATTGGTATAGTGGCCCTGATAAGGATGGAAGTAGGGTATTCTTGCACAAGTTTAAACCCTCACCCAAATTACTCAACAATGGCTCTATTTATCTTCATGCTTATGTCACTGAAAATGGAAAATCACCTGACCCTTCATCTGATAAGAAGATATTTGCTGGAAATGCAATGTCTTACAGTTCCAAAATGCTCAATAAATATAGAAAGATTAGGTATCAAAAGACTCATAATTTATTAACTGGTAAAACTGAGGATGATGCAGAACGAGTCAAGGTACAAAATTAAAAATGTACTCAATTGTTTTTGATGTTTAATTCAACGTAAAAATTTAATATTTCTAGAAAGCAGAAATTATGCAGCATGAAATTGTCTCACATTGGCATCCTAATTTGACCATTAATTTAGTTACTGAACAAACCCGTTGGGTTCGAGGACAGGTTCCTGAACCTTTCGATATGTGTAAGCTATTAACATAGTATTATAAAAAACAAAATTCTAGTGTTAATTTGGAAAATTTTCTTTTAGTTATTGAGTTCACACCAAATGGTAAATTTTATAAACCACCCATTCTATTGAATGATTTTTGGAATATGAACAGAGACTATATACCATTAAATGAGACTATAGAAGAACTCGAATTGAGATTGACATTCCAACCACTGTCATTATTCAAATGGCAAGTTTATAATGCTCAAAAAATGAAGAAAAATTCTTGGATGTCAGCACTGAGAGGTAATATCATTGAAACTTTCTATTGTACAAGAATTATTTTTGATTGAAATAAAAAATTTAATTATTTCAAATTTGACAATAAACACAGGCGAAGGAGATGAAGAAGATGATTCTGATCAAGATCTTATCAAAGAAGCTTTGTTAGAAACCAATATATATTTAATTGGAGCTACAATGGTAGTATCTGTTCTTCATAGTATTTTTGAATTTTTAGCATTTAAAAATGGTAAGAATATTTTTATATCTTGTTTAGCTATTATCCAAGCTTACACTCATAATGAAATTAAATTTTACAGATATTCAATTCTGGAATAATCGGAAGTCATTGGAAGGTTTATCGATACGGTCTGTTTTCTTTAATGTTTTTCAATCCTTGATTGTGTTACTTTATGTCTTAGACAATGAAGCTAACACAATGGTGCGAATCAGTTGCTTCATTGGTTTGGGTATTGAAGTGTGGAAAATTAACAAAGTTGTAGATATCAAAAGAAATGGTCGAAAAATTTTAGGCATTTTCCCAAGTTTAGATATCAATGTTAAAGGATCTTATGTTGAATCCTCTACCAAAAATTTTGATAGACTTGCATTCAAGTATCTATCCTGGGTATTGTTTCCACTTCTTGGAGGCTATGCAGTATATTCCTTAATGTATCAAGAACATAAAGGATGGTACTCTTTTGTTTTGAATATGTTGTATGGTTTTCTTCTTACATTTGGTTTTATAATGATGACGCCTCAACTATTCATAAATTACAAACTCAAGAGTGTGGCTCACTTACCTTGGCGAATGATGACTTACAAATTCCTGAATACCTTTATTGATGATATATTTGCTTTTGTCATTAAGATGCCAACTTTATACAGATTAGGTTGCTTCAGAGATGATATTATTTTCTTTGTATACCTTTATCAAAAATGGATTTATAAGACTGATCATTCGCGAGTTAATGAGTTCGGATTTTGCGGTGAACCAGAAGAAGAACAAAAAGCTGTTGAAGATAAAAATGATTCCAAAGAAGATAAGAAAACGAAGTAAAAAAATTTACTTTTTATGTGTTATTGTGCTTGTTCAAATGTGTTAAAAAACATAAATGATTTTTTGAATTATAAAATTGTATAAATGATATGGATTAAGATTGATTCATTTGTTAGAAATCCATGTTACAAGTCTTCTTGTTTCAACGTTTTAAATTGTACTGACCATTATATACATAAATACATGTTAAAATATCACAAAATTTCACAAATAAAAAAATGTGGTATCTATAAATGTAAAATAAAAGGCACACTATTCAGGGTTGCGAAATCAATGCACTTAGAAAAATTCTGTACTCAATCTATGCATTCGGTTTCAATTATACCTTGCAATAAAGTGGTTTGAATCAGCTAGTTCCACTTCGTCCTAATGATGTTCAAAATATTTTAGCTATATCTTTAACGGCAACATATAAAAATATGTGCATTTGTGTGAATAATGATAATATCTAAGCGTTGTAAGTGGAATTGACACGTGATTAGGAAAAATTCTTGTATTAAAAATGGTTGATATAAAATAAGACGACGTGCCGTAAAATAAGAGTAATTGTAAATATATAGAAAAATATCTGCAAAAATGGGATGTATATGTTAAGCTTCCAGTTCATTTGCGTTCGATTGCAATGAATTGTTTGTCGATAACGCAACAATTTCCTTTGAATTCATTAAATTTACCAGTTAAAAATGTCATCAGCTCTGACAAAATCACTTTTCAAACTGACTTCTTTTAAAACTACACAATTTAAAATTATTGTACTTAAAGAATTTTTTTTTCTTTAGATAAATAATTCAAAATCATATCATTTATATAACAAATTTCTATGAAAAACACCACTATTATAATTGTAACTATTTTTTTTTATCATATATGTGTGAAAAATTTATTAAAAACTGCCAATCTTTCGAATTATGTAAGTGAACTTGTCAAGAATTGTAATGATATTTTAAAAAATTAGCCAATTACAAATCGATAGGAATCGATTTTTTACTGCAATCATATTTACGACACCTCCGTTTTACAATTTATAAAATAATTTAAAATGATATAACTAATTTTTTTCCAGTATAATGATTTAATAAAAATAATTTTCAATAAGTAAATCTTGGTTTTTTTTCTTTATGCGTATTATGGAGTTCTGTATGAATAAAAAAAAATTTTGCTCACAAAATATGTTTATTTTATTCAGAGCGAACGTCGTCCTGCTAATTCATCTCGGCTAGTGCCACTTTTTGTAGCAGAAATGGTACATAGTTCACAGTACAATTATGTGCATTCAAATAGTACAATTTTTGCTGTAACAAAGTATTTTCTGTCTCTCGTAACATCATTGAATCAACGTCTCACAGCGCGTATCACAATTAAGAATAAATAAGAAAAACAATTTTATAATAATAAAACATCTCTGCATACATACATACATACATACTTACATAAATACAATTACACGCACTTATACTTTCACGCAACACTTTGTTTTTGCACTACCGCATCAATTCTTTAGGCTCGATTATGGCTTGCAAATTGGCAATTTCACCAGCAGCATCGCACTCGTTGACAACCGCAGGTATAAGAGTGGCACTACCGTCATTTGATGATGCTAGACTCGTCGATAACGGTGGTGAACGTTCCTTTGGCGATCCTGACGAAGCTGAATTTGTAAACGGGCTCGTTGCTTTGTAAGTGGCTTGTTCTAATTTTCCATGCAGTTCAAGAATACGACCTTCGAGTAAAAGATTGATTTCCAGTTGTGCTTTATATTTCGATTCAACAGCTTCCAACTCGGAGGTATGTTTTTCCTTTGATTCTTGAAGTAATCTTTGTTGGTCGATTAACTGAACCTCCTTGCGCGCATCTCGATGTTCCAGTTCTACTTGTCGTGATTTCAACGATTCGAGTTGTAAACTCTGTTGGTCTAGTTGACGTCGAAGATCTAGAAAAAGTTAATACATTGAATTTAATTAAATCATTTAAGCAATGATTCTAAAAAAATTGTACTTACTGGATACTTCTTCGGACCAAGATCGCTGAAGAAGAGCTGTTTCTTGTCTAGCCATATGAGTTGGGCCATTGATTTTTTCTAAAGTTCTAGCATGAGTCTGTGTAAAAAAATATATTTCATTAATTTTAAAAGTAGATACGGAAATGTAAAGATCGGTGATGTAAAAAATAATCTATCCATTTTCAACGCACCTCGCCAAGAAGTAAGAATTTTTTTTGCGTAGCATCAAGTGCGCGTTTCAGTTCTTCACTTTGATTAGCCGCGCGTAAAGCCTCTTTTAATTGATGTGCAGCTTCAAACAGAGTCGCTTCAGCCGCCCTTGTTTGCTTTACGTTTTCCATAACACGCTTTTGTTCGTCTTTTAATTCGTCTTCTAATGATTCAATACGATTCTGTAGTTGAACATTTTTGTGCTGTTCTTCTTTACACCTGTTTTGCCAATTAGTAATAGCTTCATGAAGTTTGTTTTCCAAGGTCCGCGACTCAGTTTTTGTATGACTTAGTTCTTTTGTCAGCGAATCAATTTCGTCTTTTGCCAATTTTAAACGATTCGTCTGTCACAAGAGAAAAAAATTATTAGATTAAAGTTCATCGTCATTGCACATTAAAAAAAAAAAAAAAATGTACTTACCATAGACGAATTTAACTCTTCCAGGGCTCGTGAGTCTCTTAGTTTACCGAGTAACCTGCGATTACGTTCAGCGTGTACCTCGCGCCTCTGGCGCTCAAATTGTAATTGCATCTGCATAAGCTGCAATTGCTGGTTCAGTCGTTCAACTTTACTCTCGTCATTAGATAGCAAAGTCGTCGACGAACCATTGCTATGTTCGATCTCATCTTCTTGTCGAGAGCGACGGGAATACGTTTGCTGTTGTCGAGATTCTATAAGGTGAAAAAATAAAAAATAAGAAAAGTTTCGGTTTTAGTTAAAATATTAGTAAATAAGTTTCAAAAACATTCTCCAGTGGTTTCTACTATATATTATTTGAAAAAAAAAGATAAATACATGAAGCTGATTTGCTGATGATGGGTCACGAAGTAAATAGTTAAAAGGTAATTTTAAAAATTACTCACTATTTTTTGGTGTTCCATTGGCACTTCTGGCACACAACTCGATATATCGTTCAAGCATGGAACTTGGCGATGTTCTTTGATCACCAATTGCTGATATATTTTGTTGCACTGGTGTAGCAGTGTTGGCTTCGCTACTACGATGCGTATCCAACAAAACGTACTCGTATGGCAGAAGCCCGCATGTTTGAGTAGCGATTTCTTCCGTAGCCGTACTTGATGTCGGTACAGCTGATTTAACTGGTCTGAAGGTTCCTATTCCAATACTGCCGTTCTGTTGCTGCGCTACTCGTTCTAGTTCTCCTAAATCTGGACACGACTCTGCTCGACGAAGTTTCTAAATAATATTCAAAAAATATTTTATTTTACACTTTCATGAATTATAAGTTTATCAAAGAAAGAAATAAAATAATGAATTTTACCTCGTCAGAAATGACAGGAGGCGTGGGGTAATTGCGATAGCATTTAAGTTTTACTCGGCGCGATAAATCGCTATAAGACTGACGATCTTTGTCGAGTAGATCTTTTGGTACAAAAGCTGATACACCTTTCGAAGATACTATATCTGATACCTAAGTAAAAGAATAATTATCAAATATTGAGGACGTTAAGAAAAATTATGATAGTCATGAGTATGTTCAATCAAACCTCTTGATCTTCTAATTGAGCCTGCGAATCAACTCGTCCATTTAATACAGCCTGTACTAAATCACCTGTCGGAGGAGTGGCTGTTCTTCTAACTACCTCCTCTTCGTGTTTAACTGCCTGCCTTTCAGCAACGATTTTACCGAGCTTTCGGTCAATTATAGAGACGCCGCCATCGCCCATACCAGTAATCACTGAGGCGTGATGAAGGTGATGGTGTTGATTCAAGTAACTGTGAGGTGATGGAGTTGACGTGCGACTGGTGCCATTGCCGAAAATACCTCGGACCGCTGCCGAACCAACTGGCAGTTGACGGAATGGAGGTTGACGCAAATCCTATTAAATTTTTCGCAAAATGTGTCAGATAATAGAATTAATGTGATAACGGTTATTCATTTAAAAGATTATTTAGCATTCATTGTAAAAAAGAATACTTTTTCAATGGTCACTAAGTGATTTAATCTTAAATATAAATCTGACTATTATTAAATCTCGTACTTTCACTGGGGTTGTTTCCGGTGTTGCTTCCACTGCTGCTTCAGGAGGTGATGTCCTGCTTCTCACTCCAATCATTTGACCACTGAAGTTAGAATTATTAGAAATAATACCAGGTGTGGGAGGTGCTGATTTTGTATCCATGTGTGACATTAGCGATAAAGGTGTTACTTGAAGTGATGCTGGCATCGGTGGGCTGTGAGCTACAACTGACATACTTGGTGACCAAAAGCTTTCGTGGTTACCATTTGGTATATTACAATTGTCCATTAATTCGGAAAATGGAAATTCGGAATTGCTAACTGGAGTATAGGTATATGAGTATGTATCTGAAATACAAAGTTACATTATTATAGTACATATAAATAAAACTCCTTAATATAAATAAATAAAAATTACTCACCAGATACGGGCGTAAAACGCATGTTGGCAAGCGATACCGTTTCATCTCGACTTATTTTATCAAGTAATGAAAAACGACTACATTCAGCCACAACGTCATGGTGTTCCATTTTTTTCCATCTAAAGTAAATCAAGGAGCTCATGTAATTTTGATTATATTTTAGTTCAAAGAAATTTTGATTAGACTTTAAAAAAATACCTTAATGAAGAAGTCTCTAACTCTTTTGACATAGTTATGAGTAATGGATGCATACGCACAGAATCCAGCATTGGGCCAATTATTTTTTTAAAAATTAACATTTGATCTCGTTGTATATATTGTTGTTTTAAAAAAGACACAAAATTGCAAGGATACATAGCATAAAGTCTATGAAAGAAATTTTGTAATCCAACCTATAAATAAAAATAAATTTATTTTAATGTCATTGATAAAAAAGAATATAGTACTTTATAAAAATAAAATTTACCTGTAAATGTAGGTAATGAGGTTGTTCAGTTTCACTACAATTTGTAAAATTCAATGAACTTACAGCTGATAATGAAAATGCTGGTGTGTTTGATGCATATCGATAAAAATAAAATGATGCAAGTCGAGAAAATACTTCAAATATTTCATTCAAATGCGGTGTCAATGCTGTAGGTAACATAGGTAATAAAGTTATTAGCAGCAATAGTGCGCTTACTATCAACACTATGCTTTCTTCAACCTGTAAAATTATTCATTCATAAATAAATAAAAGGACTCAAATTTTTTAAAATGCATATGTTTATACATACTTTCAGCAGATGAAGTAACTGTTTAAAAAGTGTGTGACTAGCTAATTTATACAACCAGGTAGGTTGCCGTCGTGCCACATGTCCCAACAATGTGAGTGTTTTGACTTTTTGTTCATTGGTTGTTACTTTAGCAGCTAAGACATCAGTCAACTTATCAAATAAATGTTTATCATGAGGCTCTCTAACTCCAGAAAGTACTTCTACAGCTCTTAATGATTCAGTTGAAAGATAGTAATCAAATAATCCATGTACCAGCCAATTATCTTTAGCTATTTACAACAAAATATTCTGTATTACAAATGTTACTTGCAATATTATGAATAACAAGAATAGACTTACTTGATTGAAAGTGATCGTGTAAAACCTGTTTTGTTTCTTCAACTTCACTGAGTTTGTTAGACTCAAGTAAATGAAAAAGTTCAGCTGCTCCTCCATTGCTGCTGTAGCTTGAATTATTGTTAGTCATACCTATGCTAAATATTTAAAATTGTAATATTTATTAGCTACTGATCCTGGTCTTTTTTCTTTGCTTTGCACTGGTTAGTATAGTAATAGTTGTTTTTTCTGCTGTTTGTAGCCTTACTAAAACAACCATTACAACAGCACTTTTTTAGTCAGCAATTTATGATTTCCACTCAAAATATACTCTCATGATACCCTGAAAAAAAAAATATTCAAATTGAGTCAATTTTATAAAACTAATGAATGTTAGTAAATTAATAATAATACACAAATAATAAATTTCAAACTTTAATTAAAGTGTTTACAAATAACTTTTTATAATTGCGTTTGGTACAGAGAAGAAAGTTGAGTAGTAACACAGTGAATTTGAGTTGATGAGTTATTATTTGGGCAGACTAAAAAAGATACAGAAATGGTGCATTTATATCTATTCCGAGTAAGATATTGTTTTTAAAGGAGCGCCAAATAACCTTAAATAGCATTAAACAAGCTTAGCCAAAAGCGTTTGTGTAGGATTGAAGAGAGAAAAAATAACTACGACAATGTAACAAAACATCGTTGAGGAATGTAAGATATAGGAGAGCTGTACCGCTGTCGTTGAACAGATCCTCGTGTGTATATAGACATGTAGGTATAAGTGAATTTACAAGTGTACCAAACGCATGAGAAAGAAAGAAAAGAGTCGGAGCGCAGCATATAGGGACACAGCACAGCTGATCATCATCATAATCATCATATATAGTTATAGAGAAACAATAATACGAGTCATCGAGACACAAAGGTATATCGGTTATCGCATTCGCGTGCAGCACGGAAGACGGGATAGAAGGATAAAATGTACAATGGAAAATTAAGACCTACCTCGATTATGCTTGTGCACGTGCGAATATAAAGCAGCGAAGACTCGAGTTGATTCATTGGTGGAGGGCAGAACAGTAACGAGTCTTGAGCTGCAGGTAAAACGCTACGGTACAGATAATGACAGCAGCAGAGAGCAGCAGCAGGCAGTATAGATGAAAACAACCGGGTTGAGATTATATCCGTCGCGATGATATGTAATATGTTTACCTATCAACTGAGGCGTTCTAATGACGTTACAATCGCGATGTTGGCTGATGAGTTACATCGAGACTGCTCGAGACTAAGGAGATTTAAATCGCGCGAGGAGGACTATAGCAGCTATTAATGAGGGTGGTTAATGAATGACACACACACGACACACGCAGAGACTCGGCGCTCGCCAGCTTACGGCTGCAGCGACACGCACCGGACTGACGAGTCTCGCTCGTCGCTGCCTCGTCGAGAGTTCGCACTCGCGCAGGCAGGCTGGTTTTTTGTTGCGCCGAGGGGCACAGCAGCAGCAGCAAAGCACATCGCATACACACTCTGCACTCTGCCTATATATTGACAGTCTCAGTGTATAAGGTACATACACGCAAGTGTTGAGCGCAACAACGCGCTCCTACAGCTCTAGCTCGACCAAGGAGTAGGGATAGACGACTCCGTGTGTGTACTGCTGCTATTACTGCCTCCGATATTGCTGCTGTCACGGCAGCTCGTTTTTAAAGGTCGATCGAGTGGGGGACTGCCGAAATATCAGGCTCAAAACAACTTTTAGAATGAAACGCAAGCTTTTTTGGTAATCTTGAGCAAGTCAAATTTCTGGAAGTTCCAAATGGACAAAGCACAACACTGAAAATATTTTAGAAATAGGTTCGTTTCATTGAACAAATTTCATTGGATGATAACAAAGTTATACGATAAAGAGTAAACTTATTAGCTACGGTGATAATGATGCGACGAAATAAGATATAAAAATCAATCTATTATAAACACATATTTTATAAAAAAAATCAACCCAATCTGAAGGTATCAATTAAATTACTTCATCAGCATCATTCTTTACATTTTACCAGAAAATCTGTCATGGAATACGAGCTTTTAAAAATATAATGAAATAAATTCATTTCTAATAAAAAAAATTACGTTAAAAATATATGTATAGCATTGCGGTATCCGGATGTTATTAAAATTTAGGTATCAACCGAATTTATTAGCCGCATGGTATTATTTTGCGATCAAAACATTTGCGTATGCAAATGAAAGCGTTGGCACTGGTCCGAGACGTACAATTGGATCCGTTTCAGTTGCTAATATTTTCTCAATTTTTTGGCAGCGAGTCTTTTCAATCGCAACCGGTTGATTGGAGCCTAATCAGGCAAGTGTGTGCCGAAGAAAAAAACACTCTTGGCACTAGGCATATTTCTGTTTGGGCCGTTACAGGTTACTAGTCCAAAAGCGATACGGACGAGCGAGCGCAAGATACTTCCTGCATGAATATATATCTAAGACGAAATTGCAATTGCGAATATCGTCGTGCTGCGATTCGTGTGCGCGCGTGTGTGCGCGAATCGCGAACAAGTCCTTTATGGCCTTTTTAGTAGTCTGCTGACAGTGCTGCTCTGTTATGAGAGTAGCAGCAGCAGCGAGCTGGATAGCTTACATATAGTGTTGTGTTATTGGGGTATACCCTATATATAGCAGTGCGTACAGAATTGCTGCGACCACTGTCAAAATCAGCGTTTCGTCTCATTAGTACATCATCGATTGATCGACGCTCCGTTTTCACGCTTTCCTCGGCTGCACTTCGAGCATTAATTCGTTCGTGTATAAAACAACATGCTTCAGTTCCACCGTCGTTGCGGCGAAAGGGTTAACTTGATCAACGACAATTGCACTGCTAGTCGATCTATTTCCGAATATAATTACGGTTTGGTTTTTAGTGCCGAGCCTCTGCGCGACGATGAAGTTTTTCAAGTACAGATCGATAAAAAGGTAAGAAAAAGCCAAGCGTGCTCGTTGTCGCTTTTACTAGTTATTCATTGCAAATCACATTTTGTCATAATCAAAATTTTCTAAACATTCGAGATTTTGTAAACAATATTATGCCTATACCTTTCAAGCGGTGTTTTAGGAATTTTTGACGAGCGAAATCAACACTTATACAATTCACTTATACAATTTACAAAATTGATTATGTTGCACTTCTTGTGATTTACGTCGTACTTGAATTTTTCAATGATTTTTGTAAATGTCACTTGCTACTAGTTACTTTTCATTTTCAACACTTAAGTTATAAAGATTTTGAGTGATATTCTATTTCTCACTTGAAAGGTGTGTTCTTGCTAAAAATAGTATAATACTAAATATTTGACCTAATATTGAAAAAAGAAGTAGTACACTTTCAATATATTGACTTCATATTTTCATTTTCATTTTCATTTTCATACTCATATCAATATAGTATTGCAATAATCGTCAGGTGACAATATGGAGTGGAAGCATAGAAATTGGAGTTACAGCTTGTGATCCAGAAAATACTAATTTAGCAGCCTTAGCAACTGATTTGAGACATGGCTCTTGGATATTGACTGGTTCGCGTATTGTTCATAATGGTGCTTCAACTGTGGAATCGTATGGAACAGACTTGAGTACTTTGACTGAAGGCAGTATACTTGGTGTATCTCGAACGTCAAAAGTAAGTTTTTATACAATCTACCATTTGAAGTATGCGTTTTTATGAAAATTATCATTTTAGGGAGAATTAGTATTTTATGTCAATGGTGTACCACAAGGAATAGCTGCAACTGGTGTTCCTGCAAAAGTATTTGCAGTTATAAATATGTTTGGAAACTGCATCCAAATATCAATTGTTCAACCAGTAATTGGAATAAATGGAAATGTTGGTGAATGTCAAAGAATAGAAATTAACAATGATTATGGAATGGATGAAGCTTCTAGTTCTTCAACAACCAATTTAGTCACAAACTTAAATGTAAATCACAATGTTTTACCAAAAAATCATAGTTTAGCTGCTATTCGAGAAGATAGATTGAGGTTTCATGAAAGAGTTGGTACATTAGTAAAGTTATCAAATAATGCACGTACTGCAGAACGAAGAAATCCAACAGATGAATTTAATAATGGAGTTGTTATGACTCACAGACCATTAAAAGATAATGAATTATTTGAAGTAAGTTGATTATAATTTATAATTCATGTTAATCCAATTCCACTTAATTTCTACAAAATATTTTTGAACAGATTCGAATAGATAAAATAGTTGATAAATGGTCCGGTAGTATAGAAGTTGGTGTTACTACACATAGTCCAACTGCTTTAGAATTTCCTGCCACCATGACAAACATGCGTTCTGGAACCACCATGATGTCAGGCTGTGGTATATTAACAAATGGTAAGGGGACACAAAGAGAATATGGAGAATTCAATTTAGATGAACTTAGGGTGAGTATTTCTTTTCATTAAAACTTTAGTAGACTTTAAAAGTTTTATGATTTTAATATAATAGGAAGGAGATAGAGTGGGCATGATTAGAAAAAGCAACAGTAATTTGCATTACTATATTAATGGCCTGGATCAAGGGTGCGCAGCTAAAGTTCCTTCTACTGTTTGGGGAGTCATAGATCTGTATGGAATGACTGTAAAAGTAACCATAGTTGATCGCGATGAAAGAGAAGAACAGAATCTCATAACAAGAAGAAACACACTGCAGTTGCAAGGAATAAATGGTTTGTATTTAATCGATTGAAAATAAATTTATTAAGTGTAAATAATTATCAAGTTTATTTATCAGAAACAGGAGAACCAGAAGAAGTAGTGGATAGATTAATGTTTCATGCCTGTTGTGGTACTCGAGCTGATGTTATAAACAACGGGAGAACGGCTCATAGACCTAAGTAACTTTATTTATTTTTAAAATAATAATCTGAATAAAAATATGAAATAAACTTATAATCTATTTGTTTTTTAGTGCCATCGACGATTTTAATAATGGCGTAGTATTAACTTCACGACCGTTGCGACCAAACGAATTATTCGAAGTCAGATTAGATAAAATAGTCACCAAGTGGGCTGGATCCATAGAAATCGGGGTTACCACACATTCACCCACAGAGCTTGAGTTTCCTTTTACCATGACCAATGTCCGGTATTGAGCAGCTTCAAATATATATTTAAAATTTCACAATGAATTAGTGCATGAAAAACAATCCATACCATTATCTTTTTAGCTCTGGTACATGGATGATGACTGGAAACGGTGTAATGCACAATGGTACAACGATGATCGACCATTACGGGCAAAATCTCGACAGACTACAAGTTGGTGATAGAGTTGGAGTTATGCGCAAAGATAACTCGACTCTTCATTTTTACGTCAATGGAACCGATCAAGGCGTTGCCGCTACTGGTGTTCCGGTTAAAGTTTACGGTGTCATTGACCTTTACGGACAAGCAGCTCAGGCTACTATAGTCGATAACTCAGACTTTTGCAGTCCTACAACGATCAATTCAAGTATCAGCAATACAACTCTTTATTGGTAAACACCTATTACTGATAGAAATTCAAGGCTGTATAATTTAAATTTAATTTTAATTTGTTTAATTCAGTGATTTACGATTTCATCACGTTCATGGAAGAAATGCTCGAATTACGAACAATGGACTTACGGCCTCGCGACCTAGAGCATTGGGTGAATTTAATGATGCCATTGTCATAGCGAATCGAGCTCTGCGCGATGGTGAAATGTTTGAAGTAGTAATTGATAAGATGGTTGATCGTTGGTCGGGTGCAATTGAAGCTGGAGTCACCGCTATTAGGTATTTATTCTCCAAATGTCAAGTCATTTTTTCATGGATTAGTGCTTCGCTTGATTTGAAATTTTCGACATTTTTGAAAAATTTTCAGACCAGATGAATTGGAATTTCCATCAACCATGACAGACATTGACTACGATACTTGGATGCTGTCCGGTATGACAGTAATGCTCGACGGAGCAGCTGTGCGTAATAATTATGCATGCGATCTTGACAAGTTATGCGAAGGTAATCGTATTGGAATGATGAGGTGGCCCGATGGTAGTCTCCATTATTACTTAGACGGGGTTGATCAAGGCGCGGCTTGCACGGGTCTTCCAGCTCATGTTTATCCTGTAATCGATCTGTATGGACAGTGCGCTCAGGTATTTACCTTAATCGATTTTAACCCTCAATCATAAACATCTCGTAATAGAAAAAACGATTACAAATTTAAATATTGATACATGAGATTTAATGTTTTTTCATCTGCAGGTAACTATAGTAGTACCCGAACGACGAGATATTGGCTTACAACAATATCTGGCTTCGGAAAACAGTATAACTAGTCAGCAACCTACATCGATCTTGCAACCAGTCGGACAAGTTGATGCGACTCACAAATTCCATAAGTCAGTTGGTAACAACATTCAATTGGACAGCAGTCGAGCTGTGGCGACCAGATGTCGCAAATACAGCAACGCAGTTTTACTCAGCGAATCACCTTTAGATAATAACGAACTGTTCGAAATTTGCATTCAGGAAATTGCTAAGGAATGGAGTGGATCCCTGAGAATTGGGGTAATAAGTAACGACAGTGGCAGTTGGTTAACTTCTATGAATTTAGTGCAAAACATGACTTCCTTGCCTGTCGATACGTGGTACCTTACTGGTAAGTCATTCGAATAAATATTGTAAAATCTAATTCTTATTGTGTAAAAACAATGAAATGAATTAATGATTGAATTTACAGGAAATCAAATACGTCACAAAGACCACTGTCTCTGTTGGAATTACTGTCCGAGTCTCGATTGGTTGCGAGTAGGTGACAAAATTGGTTTGAAACGGACAAATGAGGGAAATCTCAAGTTTTACGTTAATCGTGAGGACATGGGCATAGCCGCTACAAATATTCCTGAAAACTGTTATGCTATTGTTGAGTTGTTTGGAAGTACAGTTGCCGTCTCTATAACTAGTACGAAGCAACAAAACAATAACGCAGCATCGCTGAATGTAATATCGCAAGACGCTAGTCTAAGATTGCAGGATTCATTGGAATTATTACTTGACCCTATACCAGCCGTCATTAGAAGGTATTCTTTAATATTCTAATTTTTTAAATTGTAATTTCATTATGATTAATGTTAATATTACTAAAGTGATGGAGCAATGGAGACATCGGCAGATGCTTGTATCGAAAGCAAAGTATTGGAACCTACGACGCCAACACAAGCAACACAAACACTTGCGGGAGAGTCAGATTATGCCTATGAGTTTTATGAAAATCATGGCAGAAACGTGCAATTAGATAAAAAGACCACTGCTCGAAGAGTTGCTAGCTACAATCAAGGTAAATAATTTTTACACCGTTATAAAACATTTTATTAAAAGTCGCAATAAATTTTTTTTAATATTTATATACGAAAAATCATAATTATAAAACTTTTTTTAGGAGTTGTGATGGCAAATAAGCCATTAATAAAGAACAAATTATTCCAAGTGAAAATTGACAAAATTAATGAACGCTGGGTATCGGGAATATTAGTTGGAGTGTCTGGTGTACCACCAGAAAAAGTAACTTTTCCCGTTACTGCATTGGGTTTAAAAAAACACTCTTGGGTCATTTGCAGTGACTGGATATCGCACAATGGATCAAGGGTAAATATTATTATTAACGTTATCATTTATATTGTCATAAAGTTACATAATTTATAACTGGCTACCACTATGCACTTTAGACACGTTCATCTTATGGTGCCAATTTGGAAACATTACGCGCTGGTTCAACGGTCGGCTTGTTGCTGGATGAAGATTCCAGACTACATCTTTACATTGATGGACTCGATCAGGGTATCGCTTTCTCTGATCTACCCGCTAATGTCTACGCAGTAGTCGATCTTTACGGTCAATGCGAACAAATTTCTATCAGTGGCACGTCGAATCCAACCACTGAGACGACAGACAATGAATTATTGACCAACATGGAAAATTTAGCTTTAGCCACCGAACTTGAGGATGTCGAGAATTCACGCGAAAAAGCTGACTTGGAATATCACGAAAAAGAAAGTCAATCTGCTGTAGCTGTTGAAGGGTTGTCTTTGGATAACGAAATGGTCATTCGCAATGAATATGGCACAGGTGAATTTGAAATAGATTCTGAATCAGATGCATCTGGATTCCGCTCTATAGCTGCTAAAAATAGTTAGTTTTTCGGCATAATCATAATTTCATCATAATCGATATCTATCTTCAAATATTAACAAAAATTATTTTTTACAGTCGTAAGAGCTTATGATTCAAGCAATTCAAACTGCGCTGAATCGAGTGGAACGCTATTATCGAACATCGATATTCCAGATAACGATGAGAATAACATACTCGCTGAATCTTCAGCTTGCAGCCACGTCAAGTTGAATAACGCAACTAACATAAATATACGTAATGATGCCGTCCTCAGTACAGCTAACATGAGTAGTATCAATGAAGCAATCACCTCTAGCAATGCCAATAATGCCATTAATGAAAGTATTGCTTCTAATGCATCTTTATTGCATAACAACATGAATAATGTTGGAGGATTGCAGAGTATGACCCAAAGTTCTAATACGAAATCGTGGGACGTAACTAATTTACCTGCACCTGCTGCAGTAACTGCACCCCGTGAATTGGTTCTCAACTTACATAGAAATCCATTGGTCAGTTCAATAAAAATATTAGTAATGTCATAAATAAAAAAAAAACAACAGTAATCATAATTTTTCTTTCTTTTCATCAGAGTTTTTCGCAAACGCTACCAAATAACTGCCTGACGACGAGTAGCAACGTGTTGCCGCCGCCGCCATCAGTGTCTGTCCCGTCCACGCCTCTCGCTCAGCCTTCGAAACGTTGCGAATACCTCAAAGCTTGCATGCGCCTCAAATCTTCGCTTGTATTGCCTGACGAATATTTTTCCCACGACGAGACCATTTGCTATTGCAGTTCCTGCTTTAAGGTCGATAGTGAATCAGCTATTTGTAAAAAGGGTGAGCCAGTCGCTGAGTTTGCAGTACCCGTCGGTTGGGTTCGATTTCCTTTGAAACACAGCGTAAACGCTAATCAAATACCGCAAAGTACTACGGATAAATGGCATGTGGCATTTTATGCAACAAGAATCGATGCTATAAGGTGTGTATAACAACGAGGAATTCCTTCATTTTAATACTTATTCAATTATTTATCTTCCTATTGATTGTGAACAGGTGTATTCTCGATCGAGGAGAGCTTTTGTCTCGAGAACAATTGGACCATGATTCATTAATTACTGGTACTAGCAATGAAGTTCAGAATTCTCTAGTCACTTTTTCCCCGAACGTCAAAGGCGTTAAATTTATAGATTTTACAAAACAAAATTCGTAAGAACCAGTTTTATCCTTAAAATTTATTCAACTTTTGAAATATTATTGAGAATAATTCTCATTTCAATATTTTTTTTAGGTACACGGACACGCATCTAGATCGAAATTTCAACGTGTCAATAGCGTTCCAATTATTAGCAAGGCCAGGTTCGTATACAACCGTATCTAGCAAGAAGACTGGAGAGCATGAACATGTTAAATGGGCTACTAAAGAAACAGGTGCAACCGTTATAATAGCACTTCTTGTACATCTAGATGGGTTCTAAAGTTCAACTATGAATATTATTGTTAATCATGAAATTGAGAACTAGTTTTAGTTTGAATTTAATTCCCTCTGGAATCGGAAGCTTTTGAAATCCACAATCGCACATATGTATATTTCTATGCGTAATTTATAAAATTACGATCAAGCAGAATTGTATTAAAATTTTTCACTTGAAACAGCGGTAAAATTTATCGAATCAATTTGTGCCGCAAATAATTTACCTTCGTTTTTTTCATAGTAATAAATAAGAAATAAAATCTTCAATCAAATTGTCAGATTTTGAAAAATCATTTCAATTACTAATAAATGCACAATCTCACAAGTATTAATCTTAATGAACTTTTTTGAGGGGATTGAACAAAACCTTGTTGCAATTAACGTCAAAATTTTTGATGATTTTGAAGGCACAATCTGTTTCTTGATCTTACTTAAATAATTCCAAAGTGACATTTTGTAAAACTTTTTTGAAGTAAGTCATTTACCACAATTTATTTGGTTGAAATAATGAACATAATTAATTAAGTAATAATTAATTAAGTAATGGATCAGTAATTGTATGTTAAGATATTATATGAATAACTAAAAAAGTGTTAAATGAATTTATATTTTGTGATAACATACAAAAATGAATACATCGAGACGACTGCAAATATTGCAAAATTAAGCTATTTTTTAATCTCAACGAAATCGTATTTATAACAGTGAAGAGATAAAAAACTTACAATATTGATCGATTATGTACAAATATTAACCTATGGAATGTCTAAATAATGTCAAGCTATTACAATAGTGATCTCTCAATTCTATAGAGGCATTATCAATGTTAGACCTCTTAATATTCAAAATGCCTATAGTATAAAATTATGCAGAATAATTAGGTTTTCAATGTTTATTAAAAAAATAATACGTTAATAAATGTAAGTGCAATTACACAAAATACAAAATAACTCATTTTATACTATATTTTCAAGAGTTTGCGCTCTACTTTGAACATTTCAACGCAAATTTAAGAAATTAAAATGAGTACGAATAATGAGTTTTTGAAACTATATTAAAAATTCTCATGTTTTGATAATTCGAGGTATGTTTTGTGCGTAATTTATATTCATTCCGAATGCTTGGAATCGCATTGAAAACCACTAAATAGATTATTTTTGATCATTTAAGTGCATTTTTATAAAAAAACTGGTACAATCATATTGCAATTAATGACGCAAACAAATTAAAATTATTATCTTAATATAAAAATCTCTATTGATGTTGATAATTACCTGATTAAGCGTAAAAAAGTAAGTAAAAAATTTCGCTAACACCAACAGTGACGATTAAATACAAAAGAGATTGAAAGTATTCAAACGAACAAATCGAATTTTACATCAACTTATTTATTTAGTAACAAATTGTATAACAACTGTATCTGATTCTATTATATTTAGTAACAAATTGTATAACAACTGTATCTGATTCTATTATGAAATAATCGAAATCGGAAATCATCAAACCTCACATGAACATGTATACTTTTTACATGACTTGCATTAGAGGAACGTTTGATTTGCACGTTATTCGTTCACATAAATAATAATAAAATGAAAAGCGTCGTTTGTTGAACATAAATGAAGTTAAGGGTAAATGTCTACATATGAGTATCCAAAAAAGCTCATTACTGAGATTTTATTTTATATTGTCAAAATAATGATTTTTAATCAAATAAATAAACTAATTGTAAATTGTAATTTTTACACGCATAAGTTACGATATATATTGTGGAAGGTGGATAAATGATCAAATCAACTTCAATCGAAATAATTATTTTTATTTATTGATTGATCACAAATTATTACTGGTGTACAATGTAATGCTCGAGAATATTAGTTTTATTATGCCACACGATAACATATTAATCTATTGTATTATATTTCAGCTAGCAAAGAGAACAGAAATACGTTTACCTTATTTCTCTTTTCGATTAATAAAAATGTACATACTTCGGAATTCAGGGCTTATTTTTTTCATCATCCTATGACTGTCCTCTAAAATTATTTAGCATAAACTTATAGCCATTGCTCTTACTAAAATAAAAAGAATTTGAGAATTAACGCACCTTTTACGTTGTGAAAAAGCGAAGCTAATATTTAAAAAGTATTTTATGTTTTCGTAATCGCACACATCTTGTAAATAATAATGTACACAAAGATTTTTAGTAAATAAAATGAAACTCGTTGATTATTTTCGTTATATAAATTATTATAATCGATAATCAACATAAATATGACTTGTGAGCATCTTGACTCGTCGTGAAGTTGTTAAAGCGATACAATTGAAGATTTACACCCAAACGCGTACGTTCTGGTCCCAGGAGCAGCTCACCATTGCCATACCGTTGCCGGAAACGCTCAACGATGTCACGCGATTTTCATGGCCTTGTAAAACGCCTGCAAATAAATAAACGTGCATTTGACTCGGTGTATTGGCATAAAGTTTCATAATGGTTTTTCATTTATCGAGTTCTATGATTGAAAAAAAATGACATCAAATTCTTTTAGGCTAGCTTAATAATAAAAAGCTATAGTAATAGCGTACAATTGTGTGCGATCTTGAGAGTATCGAAAATGTGGATGTTGTTGTCGTCAGTGCCACAAAAGATGAAGCGGCCACTGAGCGACAGACCGCTGCAAGTGAAGCCCGGATTGCCATTGGGTGGTTTGAAGCTCGCTATCTGCTGGTCGGCTCGAATGTCCCAGAGTCGAGCGGTTTTGTCCTCCGATGCTGTGACGAATGCGTTTCCGGATGGATGGAACTGCAGATCGTCGTTGCAAAAATGTAAATGATTTTTAATCAAATAATGAGTATATCGGCGCGTCTGACCAGCCATTGACTCAGTCTACTAAATGTCAAAACGAGCTCGCAGCGTGCCATTAAATTACAATTTTAATGTTTTCAAGATGAATTAAAAAAATAATAAAATGATGAAATTAAACGATTTAGACTCGTCGAGTGATAAATCATCCGAAAAATCTATTTTAAATATTTATAAAAATAAACGGATCCAAAGAGCAACGTAACAACTCACGCAGACGGAGTTGACGTCGGCCTCGTGACCAAAGAAAGTCTGATGAGCGACTTCCTCTCGAAGATCCCAGAGTTTGCAGGTTTTATCGACGGATCCGGTCAAATAGCTATTGCCATCTGGTCCAAGGCTAATGCTGACGACGTCGCCGGCGTGACCCGAGAAATCCGTCGTCTTCTTGTTGGCTTCCAAATCCCAAATGCAGCTGCAAACATGTAAAATTCACGCGTTCAAGCGAAATTTGTGAAAAACGTCGGAATCGACGGACATTTTCATGTCACCGGATCCGGTGATGAGGTGTCCGTCGTCGAGAAATCGGCAAGACGAGAGGAAGCCCTCGTAGCCGAGCAGCTCGCGGGTGATCTTGGCCGAGCCGGTGGCGTCGCGATTGTTGACGTCGTAGACCGTGCACATGTTGTCCATGCCGCCGCACGCGACGAAGTTGCCCGACGGGGCGAAGGCCACCGACATGACCCAGGCCGAGCGCAGCGGGATGATCTGCACCTTGTTGCCGGTCCACGTGTCCCAGATGATGAGCTTGCCGTCGAGCGAGCCCGTCACGCAATGCCTACGGATGCAAGGTGAGCCAATCAACTTTTCGATTCTGACTGGTGTATGCGCGCGACACGAACCTGCTGTCTCCGCTGAAGTGGACCGAGTTTACTTTGTTGATGTGGCCTTTGAGCATCTTTTTCGTTACCATTTTGACCTTCGGAGCGTCGCCGACGCTGCCGCACGCATCCTCGATCGTCGTATCTTGCATCTTTTTTTGATCATCCTTTATCGACACACAATTATAATGAGTATGTGTTTCAGCTATTTCGAGCAAAAACAAATAAACTGAGACAATCGTAAGATCGGATGAGTCACAGCAAAGCTTCCGGTTTTTTAATTTAAAATCGGTTATAAAAAACGATGTGGTTGATAGCAGTAGGTGATGTAAATTTTAGCATAAATTGCTAGTATTTCAGATTCCTTTTCGATTAAAAAAACGAACAAAGAAAAAGAAATACCGTTAGAATAGGAATTAAATGAAGCAGCGCACATCCGTTTAAAGCTTCTATCGATCGCGTCGCTAGTTACAGCGCAAACAATCGGAGACGTAGAAGCAGCCGCGAGTAAATAAAGTTACGGATAAAATCGAGGCAGTTCGCAATGAAACAAAAGCTCTCAAGAGAGCGCAAAGCTTGCATAAAGATTACCTTGCACTTGGTGATGAGCTCGTTAAGCTCATTTTTGAGCGCAGTCGTCTCGGCGTCGTCCTTTCCCATTGTATCGGCTGGTACGGCTACGCGATCGGCCCGTCACTCAACGAAAACAATTCCAACGTCGACGGAACAATGGACAAAGGCGTCGATTTTGGGGCGCGCTCTCTCGGGGGGTTCCCTGGGACAACTGCACCACTCGGATCTCGCACGCACTCGGATGAGCTGGGGAAACGCGCGCGCACACACACACGCACGAATAAAACTCGCTGCTCGGTGCGGAGAAAAAAACGAGCGACTCGGCCGCTGACAAAGCTGATAGGGGCGAGAGCTGCAGCAGCTCGAGTATAAACCTGCAAAATAAGAGAGCGAGAGGGAAAGAGAGAAAAAAAACAGTGGCTGCAGAGTGTATAACTAGAAGACAGAGAGGAAGCCTTGCGCGTTGTCCACTACTGACCCAGTAATCGCATTAAGCCGCCACGCACAAATCCCATTTGCTAAGTCGATTACGAGAGAGCTGCCGTCTATATCTATGTATGCAGCAGCGGAGCGACGTGCTCCAATATATACGTATATATTTTTTATATGTATATATATGAGGGTAGATATTGTGCTGCGATTTTTCGACGCTACATAGCTCGCGACAAGCGAAGCTTAATTTTTCGGATATGTCGAACGACGTGTCTGACGATCGCTGCCTATTTATTAGCGAGTTCCGAGTTTTGCTGCGTGCCATTGCTTTATATTGCTTCGTTTACAAGATGTAAAACACGAGAAACACAAAATTATTTCTTCGTTGATTTTTTACAATTGCTTATGTAAAATTGCCTACTCTATCTGAATTTGCGAGTTGACAGGGCTAAAAGTGTATCAAGAATCAACAATTTTTTTACAACTTGTGAAAATGTACATTTTTAGTCTGACGACATACCTTTAAGACTAACTAGACTATTTGTAAGGAAAAGGTTTTATTACCTTTTTTCTAAAATTGACAGATTTCAAGATATTCAATATTTTATTTTCAAAAAACTCGAAAATAGATAGCTTTGATGACAGAAAGCTAAATGTACAATAGAAAATTGTCATGTGTGATGACATATTCTATCACTTGGAACATCTCTTGAAAAATTTCACTGAGTTTTTAATAATATAACGCAACTGAGAGGCACTTCTTCTTGCACATTCAAAGATAAACATCAAGAAGTTTGACCAAATCTATTCATATTATTTTTTAATTACAATGAAATCTGCGGTAGGTGGACGGGACGGGGCTGCTGGTCTATGTTCGTGGGTAAAGTCGATAGACGATCTTCAATGTGTTCAAATATTTTTACTGCCAGTCAAATAATGTTGATAGCTTCTAGTAATACATCAGAATGCATATAAAGTTTAACCAATTCCAATGACCCAAGAGATACCTTTCTGCGCTGGGCTGTGAAGGGCTTTGAAGTAAAACTTTCAGAACGGATATAAAAATCAATTAATCAATTAATTAACGTATTGTAATAGATTAAATTGAGTTAACAATATGCACGATCAAAATGATGAATTATTTTATCGAAACGAACTTCTACAGCGTATCACCGCTAACGGTGCTATTGAGATTAGTTATAAAGTTCACGTTGAAAGAATCATCACTAAAACGTGGCGTCTGCGAGCGCTCAAAATCAAGAAGCAAATCCAATAAGCCGCTATGTTTTACAAAAAAAAAGTTTATAAAACTACGTCGAAAGCGGAAAAATCGAATGGTATTTTCTATTCGTTCAGTGTACGATTTAATTTTGACAGTCATCTTTATTGTCAAGCACAAATATCGCGCAGACAGACAGGGAAAGTACATGACCTTTTTTTAAACGCTATTCGCCGAGCATAAAAAGTTTCGTGCATCCAATGAAGCGTAACGATCGGCCAGTCACGATTAACGCTTTCTTTTCATTTTGCGCGTTTATGAAAAATGACGTTGCCGTATAAGTATCAAATTTAAGCGTTAATAGCTTTCAGTCGATCTGCATTCGTTGCTTAACCATCACGTCGATTTATAGCATTTTGAACATTGAAAATGCCCCGCTCAGTGTTGATTTTTACATCGCTGGCACTGCTGCTCTGTTTGGTCGAGGCCAGATACGGAAACTCAATTCAAGATGATCTGAGTCGCCGAAGTTGCAGTAGAAATTTACAATACGACAAGTACATTAGCCGAAATAATCAAAACTCTTCTTGCGAAGGTCATCGGGGAAGACCAAAGATTCTGCAATGGTCTGAAAAATCATTTGAGCACTGTAGGAAAGATTACGCAGATGCCCAAGGTAAACTTTTTTTTTATTTATAATTTAAAATAATACGGGTTAAATTAATTTCAATAGATAATGCCACTAATTAAGTTTTAATAATCAAAGGCATTTTTTCACATTTTTTAAAATTATTAGCTTACCAATCTTTTGTATATCTCCATAATTATTCAATAATTCAATTGCATTTTATTTATTATTATTTAAAGGTAATCAAAAAATTCGAAAAATTATACAATATATTTTGAAAATGATTGAATTTTAATTTATTATAAAAATATTTACACTTTACTTATGATTATTAAAAGTACAGAATTTACAACATTATGTAAAAAATATACATTATTGAAATTAAAGTCAAATTTATATTCAACAATCATTGAATCATACTGTCACTATGTAAAACTAATATATCACTTTGCTTATAATTTATTTAGAAACAATTATTCTTATTATAAGTCTCTTTGTACGTTCAGTCATTTATAAACATGTAGTAAGTAACCACTTAAAATATTCTGATAAAACGTCTTCTGTAAAATTGTTCTTCATGAATAATTGGTCGTCCTGTTAACATTGCTACCTTACTATCAATAATTTCTCCAACAAAAGTATAACAGTACAAACAACCAACTAAAATTCCACCCAAATGTCCAATAAAAGATGAATTTGGAACCAACATGTGAATAAGAACTAATTCAGCCCAAACAGCATATTTACTAGGAACTCTGAATCCCCCAACATCATGTGGTCTATCGTGCTCTTCACATACCACTATTACCTTTAGAGCAAATAATACTGCTGAAAATCCAATGGCACAAGCCGTAGAATATGAAAAATCGTCTGTTATAAGTGTTAATACATGCCCCAAGCCTACGTACATCATCCCACAACCAAGAGATAAGAGACCTATTAGTATAGCAAAATTAGCTGTTCCATACATTGGTTCTAAAAATGAACCTTTGAGAAGAAATGACACCATATTGTAATAGAGATGCATATCTGAACCATGTTCAAAATTTGATAAAAATATTGTTCTCCATTCCTTGTACTTCAATACTTTGAATGTAGATATACAAACATCTTCAGGGTTCCAAGGTACTTGTATAAGTCCTGCATATAGTAAGCTCTGTACTGCCATTCCAATAAGTGTTGTTGGTGGTATTTTGTCTATTCCATAATTCATGGCTTGTGATGCTAATAAAACTAAACCATACTGTAAACCAGGTTGCCTTCTTCCCCTCATGTTGAGTCAATGTTTTCAAAATATTATCAACAATTCTCGAAGTAAAAAAAGTTTTAACTATCACTCTCTGTGTCCACGAGGTATATAGAAAACGAAACTTTTCAATGAAAACACTAAATGACGATAGTAACTTCGTTTTACATGCAACGATTGTCGAACGTTTTTCACGTCTGCGATATTCAGATGAAGTGACGCTTCGAGAAAATGCTTAACGAATTAGTTTTACACGAAACTGACGTGTCTCTCTGAGATTGCGTTTGGCTTTGAATTGTATCTGTCAGAAGAATCGCATTGGCCGTCTGCTAGCAAGAGCAATAACCTGAGGCTCAGTTTCCAAATCATCCAAATATTCGACTACAACGCAACTTAGATAAATTATGATTTATATCCGTCAAATGGATATTTACAGATTTATATGATTTTATAATTGTACAAAAATCAAATCAAGATAATTTATGAAAAAAACTCATTTTTCTGAATTGAATAACGAGAAAATGGCTTAAAATAATCTCGAAGTGAATAGTGAATGAGCGAATTGTAACGGTGGCTTAAATGGTCAAATCCTCATTCCTCAGTCGCGCGTGCGCTTTTTACGCTCTAACGATTGTCAGTTGTCGGTGTTTTGTGTGTGATATGTATTATGTTGTGTATATGCTACCGTAAAGTTTTAATATTAATCGCAGTGTCGTAAACAAACTAAGCAAAACCGATTACTATTTATTTTCAAAATTTTTTCTGAATTAAAGTATAGTTATAAAGTTTGATGTTGAAAAGTTCGGCTGGTATTTTTGATCAACGAGTTATATTTGTTTCTAAAAAAATGTTTGTTACTCGCGCTTTCGCACTTCGACAATATGAAACTGTAGCGCGATGAAAAGTCACTATTTACTTTTTCAAGATACTTGATGCTGTAAGATTTGGATTTTTCTTTAATGCAATTTGGATGTTTTTGCATTTCATGCATTTAAATGCTTTTTGTTATTCTTTTAAGTAAATTCACAAAGATGTGATGTGATCAGTAATTTTACTTAACCTGTATTAATTTTTAGAAGTGTTAGAAGCATTCATTGATAGTCAATTTTATTAGAAAAAAAGTCATTAAATGAAATTAAGATTCAGATATACATTTAAATAGTAAAGTTCTCAAAATGTCTTTACTGGCAAAGTATGATCCAAGCAACACTAGTGCTTACAATGCAGCTGCAAACGAAAGTTATCTTAGCTCTGGATGTGAGAATTTGGATAAATTTCTCAATGGCGGTTTTATAAAATCTGGTGTAACTCAAATATATGGAGAAGCTGGTGTAGGTAAAACTCAGTTAGCACTTCAATTATGTCTCACAGCTCAAGCTCCAATAGGAAGTATTGAAAATCCAAGAGTGAAAAGTGTAGCAGCATACATATGCACCGAAGCTAGTTTTCCAGCCAATCGTTTAAAACAAATGATTACAAAATCACCTATTGTTAATCGGTATCCTGTAATATCAGACAAGAATATATTCATAGATCATGTATCAAGTACAGAAGATTTAGAAAATTGTATATTCAATCCTTTTAGGCTTCCTCAGCTGTTAAAACGTCATAGAGTCAATGTACTTGTCATAGATTCGATTGCTGCCACATATAGAACAGAATATGAATCTACTTTATTAAGAAATAGAGCCAAAAGCTTAAGAAAAATTGGATATGGCCTTCATAAAATAGCGAAAGAACATCAAGTTTCAGTAGTATGCTTGAATCAAGTATCAGCTGTAATTGGTAATACATTTGATAGGGTTTCTAGGAAAGAACAACCATCGCTTGGCATTACTTGGGCCAGCATGGTAACCAATTCTTTGTATATGTTTAAAAGAGGTAACTCTCGTTATGTTTATGTTGCTGGATCATCCTTTTTGCCACGCAAGTTTATAGAATTTGAAATTTTAGAATCGGGTGTAAGAGCCAAATCTAGCTGAAGAGTAGATATTATTTTTGTTCATTTGAAAAGTTGGTTTTAATTGAGTAAATAAATGTAAATGTATTTCTTTTGTAATGACAATGTTCTAATATAATTATTATTTTTTTCTAAAAATTTGTTGAGTTTTTTTTGAAACTGCATGACACTAGATACATTTTTTTACTTGCTAAAAAGAAATCCAAATTTTAGCATCATCAATGTTCTTGCAATGAAAATAAAGCACCCGACACATTTTTCAAGCTCAGAGCATGGAGAGTCAGCGCGCAGTCTAAGATTGGTGGGGTCATCGTCATCTCGATACTAGAGCGAGTAAGAAAAAAAAAAACATCGTATAGCGGCACAGGCACACGAGGCGCTGAGCGAGCTGCTGCGCTCACTCTCTCGCTCTCTCTGATATATTTCTGCTCCGTATTATAATATTGTGGCGCGCGTAGTAATATGCACGAGCCCAAGACTCGACTGTGCAGCATCGACATCAGTCGGAGCCGCGTGTTGCTGTAGGCGCGTTACATTACGACTCGGCCCAGAACGACGGATTTTTGTCGTCTTCGTTTGAGAGGCGACGTGGTGCTTCGTGAGTGCAAGCATAATTGACATTCGTGAAAAAAGCCAGAGACAGCGGTCGAGATGAGGCCGTTCGAACTGTGTCTAATTGTGCTGTTCTTGTTTGATGGACTGTACAGCGTTGCATCGGCCGACAACGAGCATAACAATGGTGAGTTTACACCTTCTGTCCATAATAAAGCGTGCGAGAAAATATAAATTTGACGAGCCTCGAGTCGGCAATTCTCGAGACTTGATGCAGTGGACAATATTGTCCGTCTTATATTTCTCGATATCGTCCATCGATCCTCATTCAATTTAGAAAAATATTTTTTAGAAATTTTGCTCCAATTTGTATCTCGATTGTCGTAAAATTCAAACGATCGCTCGAGTTAAGATTGCATGAGCGCATACATAACAGTGGGCAATGACATTGAACGAGCTGCGACGAAGGGACAGTCGAGGAGCAGCGCATCGTCGTTCTTGTTGACGCGTTGTCCGCTTGTTGATGCAGGCTTGCAAACAGGATGCGCCAATAAATCGACGTAATTAAGCAGATAACGCGATATCGCCCCATGCCTATTCGTCCGCTGGTATTTGTCAGTTGCAAAAAAACATGCCAAGAGCCATGTTATTTGTGATGATTTATAGATCGATCCATTTTCATTTCCATTGGTACATGGAATTTTCTATAGTAAATAAAATTGGCATTGATATGTATCTAAAATTTTATCAACGGAAGTGCCTACGTGACTAGATGAACGTTTAAAAATCGTGATCCCAGCGCAAAAAATATCTCCTCAAACAGGGAGTCAAGATATATTTTAGACCTACGATAATAAGATGGGACTTGAATATCAATTGTAAAGCTTCGAATTTCATCAATCAAATTAATTTTTTAATACTTGTCATACTTTCATAACGGATGCTAAATTTTTGCACTCGAAAGTTTTGGAAACACTAAAATATTTACTTTGGATAATCAAATATACCATATAAATGTTCAATGGCGAACAAGAGACGGCGCAGCAAAAAGCATTAAGAGCTCGTGTTGCACGATAGGATGACTCGTATTTACATCTGATCTCATTCAATGAATAATGAATGCCGGGGATTATGTGCGCGTTAATGAATCTCCGCTCCTAGAGAGCGCAACATTGATACAGACGCGACAGGCAGACAATAGATCGATTCCGTAAGTGAATAATTTCATGGACAGAAGTGCAATCGAGTACGCAGTCGGCTGACTACGACTCGTGATGTCAGTTAACATAAATATCATCACGATCATAGGCAGGATTTTTTTTCATTTGTCAAACGAAAAAGAGGCTAATATTCGCTGTACGACGAAATGTATACACGTTATTATAACGTTTGCCACGCGTCGTGTCACCGCTTAAAAGGGCCTACGCGACCGGCCGACGAACCGCCAGCGAACGCGCCGCGACGATCGGATCTGCTACGGCTTGCGGCGCGCACTGCTTTTTCTGCCTCTGTTTTATATGTATGTATACAGTGGAATGGGTCGGCTATACAAGCCAAGCTCTGCTCTGCCATTCTCATATCTACATCTATATATACATTGTATCGTGCTGCGCTACTACAATTAAGTTTAACGCCTTCGTGTGCGTGTGTGTGTATGTATTAATGCAGCGCAAGCACGCAGATGCTTTTGCATCGCTCTTGATTTGATGCTCGACCGATGTATTTTCAGAGCAACTGGTCAGGCCGACCGATTGAGCTAAAAAATCGATTCTATTCAATCAATACAATTGTATATATTCTTATTCAAGGCTCAAAACCATGCGCAGCTTAACTTGATCGAAATTTCATTATTTACATGACGATATAATAATTTGCTTGTTGCAATTAGTACAATTTTTCATGTCAAAAATACCGAATAGAAGCTCGTTAGCCAGTGTCTTGTATACCGACCAGAAAATTCTTACGGTTTCTCGAAAATTCACGCCACTGAAACACGAGTCCTATTGCTCGTGCAGTGTGAAGCGTTATCATTGTTTCACTGTTAAAATTGCGCTTCTTGCACAATTACCTCGCGCGTCTTAATTTGAAGACGGCTCTCTTTGTTTTCATTTTTCAAAACTGCACTCCGTTACGTGTCACACGAACAAACGGTTTGCTGTCCATTGATATACGTAGAAGCTCCATTACCAGAAGCAGTAGCATCAATCCACCTAAAGATTAACTTGTATTCTTATAAGTATAATTCTGAAAAATTTGCAGATGCGATCGTGTTCACCGTGGCGACAAACGCGACGGACGGATTTCAACGTTACATACGCTCCACGGAGGTCAATGGTTTTCGCAAACAAGTTCGAGTTTTGGGCATGGGCCAAGCTTGGCGAGGCGGAGACGTCCAACGTTACGCCGGCGGCGGACACAAAGTTAATCTGCTCAAAGAAGCTCTCGAGCCTTACAAGGACGATCTCGATAGAGTCGTTCTCTTTACCGATAGGTTACTTATTCATATTTCACTACTTATTTATCTTTGAATGATGACAGTAACGTTTATCAATTTTTCCTTATCCTTCAACAGCTACGACGTAATATTTCTGAAAAATCTCGAAGTTATCATTGCCAAATTCAAAGAATGGAAGGACGAGCCTCGAGTAATTTTTTCCGCCGAGGAATACTGCTGGCCCGACAAAAAATTAGCCGCTCAGTATCCGGAAGTGGCGAGGGGCAAGCGCTACCTGAACAGCGGCGGCTTTATCGGTTACGCGTCCGACATTTACAGCATGATCAGCAGCGTCGACATCGACGACGGCGGCGACGATCAGCTCTTCTTCACGAAGATGTATCTCGACCAAGACACGAGGAGCAAACACAATATCAAGCTGGATCACAAGAGCGAAATTTTCCAGAACCTTAACGGGGCCTCGTGTAAGTACTAACGCGAACCCTAAGAAAGCTCTCATTTTTCGACTCAGTTTGTTGATTTTCGCTGCAATTTAAATTACAGACGATATCGAGCTACGTTTCAAGGGAGAGGAGGCTTACGTGCAAAACACTGCCTACAACACCGTGCCCATGATTCTTCACGGTAACGGTTACAGTAAGCTGCTGCTCAATTCGCTTGGCAACTACGTGGCTCAATCTTGGAACTCGGAAGAAGGCTGCATCAGCTGCTGGGACAACACCGTCGAACTCGAGGGAGAAGATCCGAACTCCTTCCCGACGATCCTCGTAGCGCTGTTTATCGAAAAGCCGACCCCCTTCCTCGAGGAATTTTTTGAAAAGATATCCAAACAAAAGTACCCCAAGGAAAAACTCCATCTTCTTGTGCATAATAAGGTCGATTATCATAATGAACTGATACAGGCCTTTATTGAAGAACACGAAGGAAAGTACAAGAGTATAAAACAAATAAGACCAGAAGACGAAGTTAGCGAAGCCATAGCCCGTGATTTAGCTGTGTAAGTTTAGAATACATTCCGTTTTTTCATATGATTACAAAAAATTTGCTCTGCTCTGTAATGTTAAAATTTTAATTATCAGTGATCGCTGTTTGATGTTGAAATGCTCGGGTTACTTTTCCGTGGATTCGGAAGCTCATCTTGACAACGAAAATACTTTGAGATTGCTGGTCGAGCAGCAGAGAGGTATCGTAGCACCATTGCTGGTGAGACCATTCAAGGCTTGGAGCAATTTCTGGGGTGCCATCACCGACGATGGCTTTTATGCCCGAAGCACTGATTACATGGACATCATTCACAACGAGCGCAGGTAAGCTTTTTTCCATTACTTTTAATCAACAAGTCAGTTGTATCTATGATCAGTATATGATCAGTAGGTATGGAAAATAACTAAATTAATAATTGTTCAAAGCATACACAAATACAGTCCCGAATATCTTTTTTAAAACCAGTCATTGAGTGGTTACGTTCACTTATCGACATATTTTTACTAAAAAAATGGTAGTTACTTTTTCATGGTCTTATGAAAAAGTTCCAAAACTTTTGGTATCAAATTTCATTTATTTTATTATGACTAATTTAACGCTTCTAGATAAAATTAGTAGTATTGACCATATTATATTTTTATTACATAATTTTTATTACATTTTCATAATTTGAGTATAAAAATAGGTTACAATTGAAACATAGTATAATGCTGGCTTAAATCTTACGATCACAGAGAAGTTTTTTTTAATTAAGAAAACAATTCGAAAATTCATCTATCTAAATTTTTACATCATCCTACTCTAAGATGAATACATTTAAAATTTCATAAAACTGGTATATTTTAACAAGTCATTTCTAGATGAATGATAGATGATGAAAAAAAGTTTTGATTCTAGCAAAAGTTTATCCGTGCGGGTAATAGTTTATAATTGTCTGAAGATTGGAGCCATTGAGCTGTACAAACATAGCAATATCTCAACCTTTAATATAGTTTGATAAATTCTATCCTTAGCTTCGTTCAACAAAATATTATTTTGGTTTCAAGTTTTGAAACATTAAATTTTAGTAATTGAACATTTTTTTATTTAATGTTCAACTGCTGGAATTTCATTTTTATTACAATTACAATGTATTTTCTCCGATTATTTAAAGATCATTTCTTAGCATAGGCACCAAAATAGATTTTATAGCGTCATTCTGCAAGTAGATGTGTTTTTCACTGGCTTTGGAATAGCTTTTTATCTGTTACTATCTTTAGCATTTATGAATAGGAACCGTTTATATAAAAAATGTTGTGCTACTCCTGTAAAAAGTGGTACTTTCAGGGCTGCAGTCCCAAAAAATGCCATTTTTGCTACAAGGAACATGAAAACTAAATTATAATTGAAGTATGAGATTAATTAAAATGTCTTAAAATAATAATTTATCAAGTTTAGTTGCAATTCGATTACTAATAAATGTACAATAAGACATTTTTTCGTTCATTAAAAATTGAAAAATTTAATAATTGTTCATGTTTTGTGTCGAGAAAAACTCGAGCGGGGTAAAAAGTTCCCTTGGAAGACTTACATTTCGAATGAGTAAAGTTAATTTTAGCGTATAAAATGATATTTTATTATTGTATTAACCTAAAATACGAGATAGCATAAGGGTCTGTCCGTAGTAAGCGAATCATAGATAATACGAAAGTTCGAAATTAATCGAAAGCGATGGAGAAATCAGTCTTGAATGATCTCCGATCGATAGCATACATGTTATCAGCCGTGCATTCGTATACTCCTGCATCCATTTGAGTGGCTGGATCGATTTCGAGCTTCGATTTAACTTTGTCTTTGCCCATTTGCCATTCGTGTACCTGAAGCATCGCATATGAAGTTATTTAATAAAATACGTTCATTACTCTCTTATTATTTATCCGTTGCAATTAGAAACGTTGCAAAGTATTACTTACGTGCAGGTAGAGGTGCGTGTATATTTCGCTTCCATCTTTGTACCATGTTATATGTGGTCTTGGATTGCCTCTAGCGACGCACAAAAAAGCAATCTTATGCCCGAGCACATAATCGAGATCAAAGTGCGATGCTAGCAAAATTTTTGCTCCCTTTGTAATGATGCATTGTTTTTAATAAAAAAATTCAAGCGAAGAGATACGAAGAAAGAATGTATCAAGTTCTCAAAAACTCACATTGTCGTTATTGTAGTACTTGTCACTTTCTGGATCGCGATATTTACCAGTGATCGGCAGACCTATTTGTACTCGGGATTTGCTTCTGCTCCTGGCTCGACCTCGTCTTGCCAAAACTTCTTGCGAACCGAGCAAAAGAAGACAGAGTATAAGTAACCAGATGGCACATCTTTGATCTGACATTTTTATCTGAAATATGGATTTTTTTCACTTGAGTCGTGTGTTCAAATGATGAATGAAAATCGGATTACACATTTAATCGGTTAATCTTGAAAAAAGGGGAAAATCAAAAATAGAACTTAAGTTTCAATTGACATTTTCACGAACTCGTTGCACTCTACTTGGAAACTTCAAGTTGAATTTTAAGTATTTTTTATCGATATTATTGTTAATGAACAATTGAAAGAAGAAGTAAAAACTGAAAAATCACTCGATTTGACTATATCGGTCAAAGCTTGACCTACTTAAAGTATTCGTTTTACTGCTTCCCTTTGGATGGCAGTTTAATCTAGATAGCTTGTAACCGGTTTAATATACATCGGCTGTATGCGAGCGATATATATCCGTTGAAGGGCTCGATTATGTTCTTATTATTGAGAATAAAAGTGCGCACGTAACACAATTTTACAAAACGACGCACGATCGCGAAACGATTTATGACAAAGAAACGAAATAATTTCACACAGCCAGGTGGGTAATACGTACTAAAGAACAACAGAGTCGCAGGCGAGACAAAAGAAAAGGAAAAAGCGCGCGCGTCTCTGCGTAGCGATACAGAAAGAAACGTCGGCGAACGAATCGGTCCGCCGGGCTTAACTGATGGGCCTGAGCTTTAAAGCTCCCCTAGAAGTGTAGACTGGCATCGCGCGCAGAGATAGCCGTTCGACCTATCCATTACCTCGCTATAAACCAATAGAGACGAGCACGACCCACTGACTGCGAGAGATTTTACACACGTATCATTTTACGCTTGCCTATAGTTACATGCACGTACGTGTCGCGCTAAAGGCATATCGTAATAGGTGTACGCTATGATGCATATGCGTGTGCACATGTGGCGCGTATACCTATACTCGTGTTAAAATCAACGCGCTGACCCCAGTTCTGCGCTGAAAAAGCTCTCCTGTGCATCGAACAATGGGCGTGACGAGTGTGCGTACACGTACTTGGCCGCAAGCTCTCGAGGTTTTTCTAAAAATACTCAGTTTTTGATTTCGTTATCGCCAGTACCGCCGCCGCCGACCCCACTCGGATCCGCGCCATCGGCAGAGCTTTCGATTGGACAAGCTGTTAAGCAGCGAGAGATAGCGCTCTGGACGAGCTGGAGTAGCGATCGCGTAATAGTAATTGCGGCCCGGCAATGGTAAATTTAATTCTGCCGCGTGACTGCGGCACACACGCTTATTGCCTCCGAGCCGAATGTGTGAAATGGAACGCTGTACAAGCGCCAATTGGCGCAATGAAAGTTGCTCTCTCTCTATCCTGCACGAGTGCAGCGAATTTCGGTGTTTTGCTTGTTGATCGTGCGCTCACTTGCAGACAATTGCGACCGGTAAGAATGAATGTACGAGTGTAAGCGGCCTCGAATCAAAACGCGGCGCAATATTCATAGCAACGCTCAATCAACCTCATTGATTGGAATGCCCTTTTGTATTTTCATAAAATTGCAAGATATATGTTTCAAAGTTTGCTAGCGTAAATGTTATGTTTGGATGAAAATTATTGTTAGACCGATGAACTTTCGTCTTACCAAACTAAACATTTAAATCCGTGTAAGAATGTTCAACTAATTTAAAAATTATTTTGATACTTTTTTTTAAATTAAAAATACGATATCGTGAAAAACGATCATTGGAAAAAATAAAAGCTCGCCAATGAAATTTTTGATATTCAATTTTTATTTCCATACTGTTATATTCTAAAATCCATAAATCATAAACCTCTCTTCGAGAGTTTACTATACATTTTGACATACGTGTGAAATTGGAAATCTAATAGTCAGCTCCTTTTCAATTTAAAAACTTGCGATAAAACATTTCAATTTGAATACATAACAATGAATTACGGCTGAATTGAGTAGTTAAAATATTGAATGCTTAACAATCGCGTATTTCATGCACTGTTTTCATTTGCCGATCAACGTAGGGGTATTAACAACGAAAGATACACATATATCACATTTTTACTTCAAGTTCAAAAGGTTACTGCTTATAAACTCGACAATGATTGCCTAACGCATGGGTACAAGGGAGAAACAAGTAAAGTGCTTATATACCTGTATGATACCTTCATATATACACGTCAATTTCTAGAATTACTCGTCACGAAGGCAAGTTTTGCATAATACAATTATTGTACCCTATATCTTGCCATTTGAAATCACGCGGTTTCACGTGACTTAAATGTTGTTCTAACAAAGCTGATCACTTGATGAAATTATTAATATACGGTAAAAAAATTCCTATTTTACAATGAACTAATATAGATTCTCTAAACAACTTTTTATGATAATGACAATTCATAAAGAAATGATCAAAAATAAACTGTTATTATTTTATCAGGTAGATGTCTTAATGATTTGATAATTCTATTACTACGTTACCTACAAATATTAACAAACGAAAAAACTATAATTTTACTTATTACTTATTAAATGTTTATACTATTTATATGTCATTCTATGATTTTGATTGAGTGAACGTAACGTTACAAAAAATAGAAACATTATAAATAATGTAGATTTTTTTGGTAGAATAGAAATATTTCTTGATATTAGTATACCAATGTTAAAAAGACTACTTTTTTATTCAAAAGTAATTTTAAAAACATCTGATGCTCATTTTTTAACAAATTAAAAGGACGTTGCAAAGATGCATCGGATGTGTTGTGCATTATGAATCGGTATAAGTGACTGCACACGCGATAATGTAGACGACTGCGGCGGACGGATCGATCTCAATACGATATCATGACATAATCCGTTCGGAAACCTCGACGATCGACCGCGTACTGATTGTCCGCTTGACACTCGTAATATCCGGCGTCTTTCTGCGTCGCCGGATCAATTTCCATTTTCGACTTCATGGTGTCGTTGCCCATCGGCCACTCGTGCACCTATGCACAAGAAGTAAAAGTCAATACATTTTTTGTCTGCTAAAGATATTTTTACCGTACATGTGACACGAGAAGTACCTGGAAAAATTTGTGATGATACAGTTCAACGCCATCCTTGAACCAAGTTATCTCGGGTCTGGGTATGCCTGTTGCCATGCAAAAGAACGTTATCTTGCGCCCGAGCATGTAGTCGAATTCAAAGTGCGACGCTTTGACTATTTTGGCGGCCTACGAAAATACCCCATAATTAATCGTTGTCACATGATTAAATGCGAAAGGACAAAGAGTTAGTGCGTGCGTAAATTGTACGGACGTCGGGATTTTCGTAGTATCCAGCGGCGCCGGGCGATCGATGCGGAATGATGATTGGCATCCTCGATCCGAAGAGTCGGCCACCTCGACCTCTGCCACGACCACCGCCTCTGCCTCCGCCCTTAGCCGGAGCCGCGGCGCCTTGGTGAAAAATCAGGACCAATGCCATTACCATTAGCAGCAGCGTCATGGTCAATGATTGATGGCATCGTCGTCGCGTTGCTGTCGCGCGGCAGCGGCTCGTCGCCATACCTCCTCTCTTCAGCTCCGATTTGAAGACCCTTAATGCCGACCTTGACCGCAATGATGACTAATGATACTTTCGGAGTGATCTTGTCGCGCCGCCGAATTTCAATTGAAATTACCTTCCTTTGAATAGAAAAAGAATGAGCAACTATACTCATGGACGTTTCCACGTCGACATAAAGAACTTTTTTACTTAATATATTTTGGCTTTTAAAAATTGTGATACTACAGTGAACAATTAATTATAATTGAAACAACTGTTGAGGAATTATTTGAGCGAGTTTTTTTTTTTAAACAAAATATAGTTATCGTACTCTTATATCGTGAATGAGTTTTCAACTCGAGACTTACTTTACACGTTGATGAACATGAATCGAAAAGTCAGAACGAAAATAGAAAACTTACCTGACGAAAGAGATGCGCGAAAGCTCAAAGAAGAAGCTTTGGGAAGGATTTGGGTGCACTCGCAGGTACGCGTGTACTACGCGTAGGCGTCGATTTGCATATGTGTTACGACGATGCGATTGCGAGTAGTCGTTGAAACGTATAAACGGTCAGGATAAAGGCTCTGCGGCGGGAGCTTAGCCTCGTCACGAGCCCAGAGATGCAATAACACTAATAGCGGCTAGAGCACATAGAGCCCGTGTGTCGCGTCGCTGCCACGTACAATAATAAATGAGAAAAAATCATCCGGAGGATGATTTGCCGTTGCACTACCGCTGCGATAGTGCGGCACTGTAAACTGGTGCTATATAGTAGTGAGTTACAACCTCGTGCTTGCACGGATGGCTCGCGATCGCACGAAAAGCCGGTAGTGCCTCGCTGCGTAGTGCGTACCGATCTGTACTATACTCGTTTACGCGCGCGCCTGACATATGGGCATGAGTGTCGCTGCACCACTGCAGCAGCCAGCCCGACGCTGCACGCCACGCATGAATCTCAATTGAATGATTGTAATAACGCGCGCGCGTGCATGCATATGTGTACGCGCTGTCCGACGCACAACATATGCATATATAGCACGAGCTGCTTCGGAAGCTGCTGCTTTTGCGCGCTAACCGGAGGAACGATTTTCTTCGATACCCGTCATGACGGGCCTCCCGCTGCGTGTCCAACGATGCCAAATTTCTCGGCCGGGCGATTTTATTTTTTATCGCGCTTATTACAACTATTGCTTACAAAGTACTCACCAGATCGTTGCTTAATTCCGCGACATGTCGCGTATAATTGCAGAGGACTGTGGAACGTGCCGTTCATCAGCAACTGTTACCTCGTCAACGCGACTCTGCTGGCCCACGAGGACACGAGGCCGGTTTACGAGGACCCCGAGCTCGACCCGGACATGTCCTTCGCCAGCGCCTACCGACGCCGCAACGTCTTCATGTACGTGAGCAATCGACTGGACTTTGGTCACCTCGTCAATCCCGACTCGTACAACGTTTCGCTCACCCATCCGGACATGTATCAGCTGTTTGACAATAAACTCGACTGGGAGAAGAGGTACATTCACGAGAACTATTCCAAAAACTTCGAGGCCGATCGTGCGCCACTTCAGGTAATTTCATCAGCCCTTCTTTGAGCCGTGTACAATATCGTAATCGAGCTTGTGAGAACAACTTAATATTCTTCTATAACGTTCCATTAGCCCTGCCCGGACGTATTCTGGTTTCCTATTTTGACTCGCCGTTTCACCAAAGAATGGATCAACATCATGGAAAATTATGGAAAATGGTCCGATGGTTCCAATTACGTAAGTATACAGCGCAAACTTTATTCAAACGATATGATCAGAAACCAATGAATGATTATTTTCATGGATAAATAATATACCGAGAAATTATATTGAGTACCAAAAAAATATCTAAAATCTAGCTCATCTGCAATCAATCCAAATATTGCAAAAAGTAATCGAGTTATAAATGTAAAGCAAAAAAAAAAATAATCAAATGAATCGCCAGGATCCAAGACTGTCGGACGGTTATGAGAACGTACCGACTCGTGATATACACATGAACCAAGTTGGCCTGGAAGCCCAGTGGTTGTACTTTCTGCAGAACTACGTTCGGCCGCTCCAAGAGCTCGTCTACCTTGGCTATTATCACTTTGTAAGCTGAAAATTTGTGCACTAATCATGACATCTCCAAACCTTTTTCTAGGATTCGCGACTCGAAAATGGTTACGAGGCGGTGCCCACGCGCGATATACACATGACCCAAGTGGGTCTCGATCCTCTCTGGCTCGAATTTCTGCGCGTCTATGTGAGCCCATTGCAGCAAAGGGCTTTCACCGGATATCTTGATTATGTAAGACGTTCAGTTTTTCTTTTTAATTGATTAATAAGCGTCGCTGGAAATAATCGGTAAGATGGGCTGCTTTATAAATACCGCCAATGCTTGGGACAAATATAACAATTCACCATTGATTATTAATAGATGAAAAACACAATTAATACTTTGCACTTGCAAAAATTGCACAACTCTGTAAGTTTGTTTGTTAGTAAATGAAATATATTAAAGTTGATAATAATAATTACAAAAATGTTCATTTTCTTTCCGAACAATGGCGACGTTCTTATATTGCATTGAGTGAAAATTTTGTCCATCGTTGACTATTTTCGAGTCCGATCTCTACGTTTCAAAATGCTGTAAATAAATAATGTTTCATTCCGTACATTGTTGATTGTGATATTTTGAACCAAATTAATTTTTTTTGTCTATCGTTCTAGAACATTTTTATCAGTATTAGTCGTTAGTTATCTATTTATTCGTATTTATTATCTTGATAACGCGTATGGCTTTAAATGGTACAACAAACTTTGTAAATAATTTACACCAAAGATAATGCTCTAGCATTCGCTAGTCAATCAGTTTAGGCAATAAGGACAACACTTTTTGTGTGTCATTCGACAAGAAATTTGTCGATCGTCAAACTGATTGACTAGCGAATGCGAGAGCATTATCTTTGTACATTAAAAATACGTCGAATCGTGAACACGATGAAACAACGTAATTTACACCAAGTTTTTTTCTGAAACAATTCTGTAAATTGTACCTGTAATAATTTAATTTTATAGTCAAGTAAGATTGCTTTAAATTAAAAAAAGAGAGAAAGAATGAATAATGTATTATTGACTAAGCATATTTAGTTGTAATCTCACCGCAAAATATCGCAATCTTAATAATAAAAACTCATACGCACGTAGTAATTAATAAATGCCTTCATTTGTTTGGAATCAAGTGACGATGACAAAAAATTAAATTATTTTTTTTTTCGTTTAGCCACCACGTTCGTTGATGAACTTCGTCGTTCGTTATCGTCCGGACGAGCAGCCCAGTCTCAAGCCTCATCACGACAGCTCGACGTACACCATCAACGTGGCCCTGAACGAGGTAGGAGTCGATTACGAGGGTGGTGGCTGTCGTTTCATTCGTTACAATTGCTCGGTCACGGACACCAAACCCGGTTGGATGCTCATGCACCCGGGAAGACTTACCCATTATCACGAGGGTCTCAGAGTTACCAAGGGAACGAGATACATCATGATATCGTTCGTCGATCCGTGAAATTGAAAGAATTATGATTCCCACGGACAATAGCTCGTCTAACGTAAATTTGTATTTGAAGACTTTAAATTTTAATTTATCGTATCTTTTTTATTCGTCGCCGTTTCATTGTAATCCATTTTCTGATTCATGTAGCTTGTAGCTTTATGATAGATATCGTTATACACTTTAAAACTTGAAGCATATAAAACTGCCGAGAATACTTAATGTCGTGTAATTTGTTTTAGAGACTGAGAATTTAATATAAATAAAGATACCAGAATCAGAAATTTAAGTAAATGAGAACAAGTAATTGAAAGGTTTGTAAGATAGTCTAATATCATAAGTGATACTTTTTGTTGTAAGTTTTGTTACTAACTTATAAAAAAACTTTTTAATTTTAATTTCTTAGTTCATTCTATAGATAAAAGTTTTTTTATCAATTTTGTATTTTAGCACAAGAAATTATAAAGATATTCAATCAAATGAACAATAACAATGAACAAAAGAAAGATTTCAAAGAACAAGTGGATCAATGCATTAAAAATATTTCCTGACAATTTTTAATATTATAATAGGAAAATATTGTTCATGTGCTTTAGATTTTAGCTAAAAGAGTCGTTAAGTAATTTACTTTAAAAAGTAAATCGTTATGTGCATTTTTGTCTTGATGCTTTTTTGAGTTTTTTTTTAAATGATGAAAAGATTACACTATTTTATCTATAATTAAAATATCTGTCGACATTTGTAAATAATGTTTGTAAAAAACCAATATGACTAATAAAAAATATTTAAAAGAAAAGAGTTTACAAGGGTATTGATTATAAATATGAATCTTATATTTTTTAAAAAACGCTCGAAACTACATTTTTCATGACCGCAAATTTATACATAGGTTGCAATTAATTGCAGGAAATTGTTTACACTCAAGTTTCTCATCAATGAATGAATAAGTTTCAATCAAGATTAGTTTTAGGAACATACATCAACAAAAGTATTTTTACAGTATACATTCAACTTATAAATCAATATTGCATTTTGTGTAATAAATAATATCCACCATGACTCTCTTAAACAACTGCAAAATGATTTGCATTTTTTTATTAATTCAAAACTCTATAATCATACACACATAAATGTATATTTTAGCTTTTTTCATAGGTATTTAAATATATGGGTCAAAATAATACTTTTTTACAAAACCGTGCGCACGTATGTCACCGATCTTGACGCGCTTTTGGTATGTTATAGTACATGGTAAAAAGGTCCCAAAAAAAAATTTTTAGACCCCCTCCCCCCTCCTACCCCCCACTTCCGGTATAAACGTCCATTTTCGATCTATATTTTTTCTGAGGACATGAAGCAAGTAAAAAATCTGAAAAAATTCATAAAAATACTTTTCCACAATCCAAACAACCTTGAATTTTTTCAGATTTTTTGAGTGCTTCAGGCCTTCAGATAAAATCATTGAAAATTTCAAAAATCGAGATACGGCGGTATGAGCCGATGTAGTACTCGGAAATTTTTTCAGTTATTTTTCGCATTAAAAAACATAACCTCAATTTTTTTCAGATTTTTTCAGATTACCTAACGCACCTTTTGAAGCCAAAAACCGATTTTTTTGACGAAAATAATTTTTTTAGGACAGTACGGAGCCTCGAAAAATCTGAAAAAAATTTTTTCTTGTTTTTTTCATCAAAATACGTAATCTCAAATTTTTTCAGATTTTTTAATTGAAGGCGATAGCTTCTAGGGCCGAAAAATGCTATTTTTAACAAAAAATGGTTCCTAGAACCCGATGGTTCCGGTGAAAAAATTTGAAAATATTTTTTTTGAATTCCTTGTCAAATTTTAATAAATTTTGACCGTTTCAAAAGTTCGATTGAAGCTTCCTAGCTCATTTTAGAGCAGGACAAAGATTAGTGCAAAATATCTGAAGACGTTTCTGAAGACATTAAGGAATGATAAAACTCGTTTGATGCTCTAAAATGAGCTAGGAAGCTTCAATCGAACTTTTGAAACGGTCAAAATTTATTAAAATTTGACAAGGAATTCAAAAAAAATATTTTCAAATTTTTTCACCGGAACCATCGGGTTCTAGGAACCATTTTTTGTTAAAAATAGCATTTTTCGGCCCTAGAAGCTATCGCCTTCAATTAAAAAATCTGAAAAAATTTGAGATTACGTATTTTGATGAAAAAAACAAGAAAAAATTTTTTTCAGATTTTTCGAGGCTCCGTACTGTCCTAAAAAAATTATTTTCGTCAAAAAAATCGGTTTTTGGCTTCAAAAGGTGCGTTAGGTAATCTGAAAAAATCTGAAAAAAATTGAGGTTATGTTTTTTAATGCGAAAAATAACTGAAAAAATTTCCGAGTACTACATCGGCTCATACCGCCGTATCTCGATTTTTGAAATTTTCAATGATTTTATCTGAAGGCCTGAAGCACTCAAAAAATCTGAAAAAATTCAAGGTTGTTTGGATTGTGGAAAAGTATTTTTATGAATTTTTTCAGATTTTTTACTTGCTTCATGTCCTCAGAAAAAATATAGATCGAAAATGGACGTTTATACCCGAAGTGGGGGGTAGGAGGGGGGAGGGGGTCTAAAATTTCGTTTTTGGGACCTTTTTACCATGTACTATAACATACCAAAAGCGCGTCAAGATCGGTGACATACGTGCGCACGGTTTTGTAAAAAAGTATTATTTTGACCCATATATTTACACCATTATAATAGTAAAAAAGTGTTTCCTCCGAAGAGTACTGTTGAATTAAAATCAAACTCTACATTTATCATCGCATTTGAATATAATAATTAAACTAGTTGTAATGAACGAAACACTAGTAAAGTGTTTGTGTTATGGCTCATAATTATTCTGAGGATATTATTGTTCTTCATTTTAACATTCAGGCTTGGAATGTACGCAGTGCAAAAAATTAATATTGTGAAAAATAACATATATTTTTTTTGTTTGTTTTTAAATTTGTTCGCCGACTTATTGTCTAACTACGCGTATTTCTTTCAGAATTAAAATGATAGTTACGGTAAAACGCTGTCCAGTTATTTTATACTTTCAGAATTCTTCAAAATAAAGTTTTCAATTAATAATTGCAATTTTTGTTCGCTGCAAGCCATTGAACTGCATTTTTTACAAGTTATTACATTTGTATACATAGTATCTTTAAATCAGTACTGAAAATATTTCAAGGATTATGCAGATTATTTTTCGATTTCAATGAAATTTAACGTGCGTACAAAGTATAAGATTTTACATGATAATTTTATGTGCTGACTTATCATTTGAGTAATTTAAACTGAATAAAAAAGTCACCATCAAGCCAGCGATGGATTATTTAATCTTTAATGTACACATTCATTGCTATTTCGTTCATGAAGCAACATACAAAAGTTAGTTGAATAATGTGAAAAGTCTAGCTATTAGGTAAAATTATCTCATCAAATAAACGTAGAGTAGAATTAAAAAATATATTTTTTCAAAAATACAGTCCTTTAACCAGCAAAAAACACTGTTTCTTAAAAATTCTTCCACGTTACCCATGCAGTACGAAATCACAGGAAATAAGCACGCACCTTTGTCGTACATACAAAAGCGTATATTATTGTACGTAAAACGCGAACACAGTTTTTTCAACGACGTTGTGTTCGTTTGATTTCATTTAACTGATGTGTGAGTTTTTCTTCTTTAGTTCTGCGTGCTTGTCCAAGTTTACGACATTCTATATAGGTACTCAGAAAGCGTTCAACATCGATTTTTTGATTGAGAAAATCTTGAGCTATCACTTCACTTTGCTCCTGACTTTCATCAGCAGCTTCACGTAAGCGATCTCGAATGTTCTCGGGTGCAAATACTTCAGACAATTTTTTATACCGCTGTGACAATTCGTCGTAGCGAGTGCGCGAGGATTCAAAAGTTTCAACCTTGGAGGCTATATCTTCTTGCAACGCTACAAGCTCTTGCTCGCGGTTTAGATTTGAGTCTGTAAATAAATTATCATTAAAAATATCTGTTGAATTATTTGATTATATAAAGTCAGTAAATTTAAAACTTACTAGCTAATTTTTCTACCCAGTCAATAGCACAATTTACAGATGAATCCATTTCTTTTATTTTAGAATGTTTTTCTAAAAATTCATCCATTAAATCAGTATCATTGCCTAATTTTCTCAGTTCCTCATTGGACATATTATCCAATTCGGGGAAATCTGGACATGTTGGCAGTTTCATGATGGGGCACTGCACTTTATTTTGTACAGGAGGAGTTTGTATACTGGTAGTAGCATAAAGTGGCATGCTTGGAGTAAAAGGAGAATTGGTTGTGTAAGGTTGTTGAAGCTGAGGTTGAAGCTGGGGTTGAAGATGTGACTGCAGTTGTGACTGAAGCTGTGGTTGCAGTTGTGTTTGAAGCTGTGACTGGGGCTGAGGTTGAAGCTGGGACTGAAGCTGTGACTGAAGCTGTGACTGAAGCTGTGACTGGGGCTGAGGTTGAAGCTGGGATTGAAGCTGTGTTTGAGGCTGAGATTGAAGCTGTGACTGAAGTTGTGACTGAGGTTGAGGTTGTAGCTGAGGCTGAAGCTGTGACTGAGATTGAGGCTGGAGCTGAGACTGAGGCTGTGTTTGTTGCTGTACAAGTCCATTGTAAGAAAATTGTTGTTTTGTCTGTGCTTCAACATTATATACATTGCTAGCATTTGTGTAATTAAAATTGTAGGTGCCCGGAGTTGTATTAGACGAAGATGCAAATTGCTGATAAGCTGAATTGTAATATGGACTATATGCATTTGCAACTAGTTCTTGCGAGTTCCATGTATTATAACAAGGTGATGCTCTTCCTGCTATATCTAAAATTTTAACATGATAGAATATTAAGCATTGCTATGAAAATTTGTTTTTTCATTAGTTAGAAATAATTAATATAATAATGTATTACCTGTAAGGTTTATATTAGCTACTGGCGAATTATCTCCTATAAACTTTGGTGGGTTTTTACTGAATTCTCTGATTATTGCTTGAACAACCCGCCCTAGATCACTGTGAACTGTGAACTTTAAACAGAGTATTATTAGTAAATGTAATACTTATTAATTATTTATCTGAACAAAAAATAGAGAAAAATTCTTACATTCAATAATCCAGGTGCACTGACAATTTCACTGTGTTCATTGCACCACTTATGGGCTATCGGAGGTGATACTCTAAGTACTGGTTTTTCCAATGGAAATTCAGGAGATAACGAGACCATAATGGCCATTCGTTTGTCTCCGGCATCAAATTGCACTTGATATTCGACATCTTCTTTGAGTTCCAAAACACTAGAAACGATTAAAATTGTACAATTAGTAATTATAATCATAACATAAACAATATAAAATTAATTTTAAAGCTTGAATGTATGACATATTTATGTTTGTGCATAATATAAGGATTTGTCAAAACTTTTTACTAAATACTGGCTTGTTTTCTTACAAAAATGTAGTAAAACTTTATAAACTTGTACAACAATAATAGGTTCAAGTAATGCAGAATAGGTAAACGTCAAAGATTACATTGTAGATCGAAAGATAAGATTTCATTTTATTAGTAGAAACTACATAGAGCAGATCTCGTGATCGAAAATTTAATCAAGACGGTATTGCATCACAGTATCAAAGCAGCGAAGCAGATTAACACGATATAATCGACAGTGAGTAATAAAAGCAAAGCCGCGAAACGAGGTAGACGGCATAAAAAACGTCAGCTTTAATTAAAAAAAAAAGTGAATCATCGCTGGTATATGTGACATTACGACGAGGGAGTACATAAGCCCCTAACCTCGAAAGACCTCAACTTACTTGTCATTGAATATCTTGAGAGTGTCGATTTGCCTGCGCCTCTTGACCGCGGCGTTATCGTTCTCGCCGCGGAAGATTCGCGAGAGCATTTAGCTTGTGCAGTGCTGATTGTTCAATGGACGCACTGACAATTGCGTCCTTCATTCGCGTCCGATGCTAAAGTCTACGAGCATTTCACATACAAACGAAACACAACACACTGGCTCTTTCTCTTCCACAACGCTTTCCACGCAACAACAATGAACACTGATCACTACTCATATATCGAGACTAGAAAAGTACCTTACAACTATTGCTATTGATGCTGTGACAGATTCGGCAGCACTGAATCCTGCACACATAAAAACACTGGCAGCACAGAACGTATTATTACGCGACTTACTCGCTCGGCGAAGACAATTTTTAATCTGAACGTGAGTGACGGACGACTGATGAACTGCACTTGGCACTATGTTGAGTGCGGGAGTGGAAATAACAGAGAGAGAGAGAGACAAAGATAGAACTACACAGACAGACAGAGAGAGAGCGTCTGGTTTTTAAACAGCTGTTTTGGTATTCTGCGCATAGGTTCAGAGAGCTGATTTCGATTCTACGCTGCTGCTGTCAGGCTTGAGTCTTTGTCAGGCGCATCGATTACTCACAACTTCGCATGTAAATAAACCGGTGCTTACAAGATTCAATTGAGACTTGATAGTGCACCGATGTAAAATATTCACCTTCACTAGTCTTTACAAAATGTATAACATAATATTGTACATTGCATATAATTAAAAAATTGATTACATCTTTTAGAAGTAGGCTTACAACTAAAATTAAACTTTTTTGTAGAAATTATTTTTAAAATTGAATAAAAATGCCAGTTTTTTTAGAACCAGTGACAGAGGTTTGTACTTTGAGTAGAGTGTTTTTTGCAAGTCCTTGAAATTTATTTTTCTTAAAATTAATTTGCAGCAAATACCAGCCCAATCAATAATTATTATACACCCAGGATCAAAAAACCTACGTATAGGTAAAGCTTCTGATTTAAATCCAAAAGTCATTCTTAATGCAGTAGCAAGAAAAAGAAAACCCAATGGAATGATCTACAAAGATTCATTCTTACCTCCTATGGTACCACGTTCAAAAGAGCTTACACAAATAATGGAAGAATCAAGATTACAAGTCTCTCATACACTGCAGTCTAGTTTACAATCAGATGGAAGAAGAAGATATGCTACACCACCCCAACAAATAGCAGCATTTAATCGTAGATCTACTTCTGAAACTCAGTCAGTAAAAGAAGCTGATTGGATAAAAAGAGAAGATGACTACATAGTAGGTGATGAAATCCTTGCTCTAAAAGATGATGATACATATAATATTCACTTTCCTTACAAAAGGGGAGAATTAAATGTGCATAGTGGTCCTGGAGGTAGTTTAAAATCTATTTTAGCTGATTTAAAAGTGATTTGGGAGTATGCATTAGAAGAAAAAATGGGTATACCTCTGAAAGACATGAAACTTTATAAAGTAGTTTTGATTATACCAGATATTTATAATAGATTATATTTAAAAGAGCTTACAACACTTCTGCTATGTGAAATAGGTTTTGGTGGCTGTTTTCTATTACAGGTTTGTACAACTAAATTTTAATATTTATTTTAAATTTCATCATACAAAATGAATGTTGAGAGTTTAATTTAAATCTCAGGATCATGTTGCTGCAACGTTTGGGGCTGGACTTGGTTTTGCATGTGTTGTTGATGTGGGTGCTGAAAAGACTTCAGTTTCCTGCGTAGAGGATGGTATATCTCACCGTGATACTAGAGTTCGAATAGACTATGGAGGTTCTGATATTACTCAAACCCTCTTTTGGCTACTACAAAAATGTGCTTTTCCGTATAAAAACTGTGATGCTACTGATAAATTAGATGCTATGCTATTAGATCAATTAAAAAAAGATATTTGCCACGTAGATTTAAATATTTGTGGTTCACAAGAAAAGACTTTTACTGTCAAAAAACCAGGAATGCCAATTGAAGCGTATACTATTCAGGTTAGTTAAATTTAATTAAAATTTTTACATAACTAAACATCATTAAAAACAAATTATATTGTAGGTAGGAGATGAGTGCCTGATAGCACCATTGAGTTTGTTTCAACCAGAGCTATTCAAAGTCACAGGAGTGCATAGTTTTCATACTCAAAAAAGATTCATTGGAGATTCTGAAGATCCACACGATGAGAATTATCTTCGAGAAACTAGTGTTAGTTACTCTTAATTATAAGATGTTACATATGCTTCCAAAAAATCGCGTTTTTTAAGTATAAATAATTTTTTACAGCGAAAGTATACAAAAGATAACTCTGAACATAGCGCAGAAATGCAAGAAGAAGCTGCTATGCATACAAATGCTGGTGATGACGAAGTAGTAGTTGATAACGTAGACTCTGCGCCAATTTCTATCAACAATAAGGAACCTGATGCTCCGAGAGATTTCATCGTAGGACCTCAACAATCGCTCAGTCTTGATCATGCTATTTTGCAAAGTATTGATCGTTGTAGTAAGTTCTACTATCAATGAATAATTAAAATTTGAAATAATAAATAGAAAAATTTATGCCATAACTAATAATTAATACTTCAGCTACAGAAGATTTGAAACGAAAAATGTATAGTTGTATATTAGTCGTTGGATCAGGTATGAAATTTCAAGGTATTGGTATGTGGTTACACAATAGAATATCTTTGCAAATTCCATATATGTTTCGTGCAGGTAATATTTCATTTTTGATCTTTAATATATATAATATAAAAAAGAAATTAATTTATTTCATCATCTTTAGAGCAAATGGATATAATAACTTTGCCAAAAGAAATTGATCCAGGTATGACAACCTGGAAAGGAGCTTCAATTTTAAGTTGTTTAGAATCAGCTCAAGAATTGTGGATTAATCGTCAAGAATGGGAACAAATTGGTGTGCGCCTTTTGCGAGAGCGAGCTCCATTTATGTGGTGATAAAAATCTAAAGATAATTGACTTAAAATCAATTATCTAATAACTCAATCTTATACAAAAAATAGTTATAAATTTTTATTAATATACTTATTTTAATATGACTCACACATTGAATCTGCTTAAGAATTTCTTACAGCTATTGTATATATACATTTTACATAAATTGATTGTTCTTAAAGTTAAATGTAAATTTAAACCTAAGTGATATATTTACACATTTTAATTATAAATCTCTAAGCTTACACATATTTTTTTGATTTGGATGAAATTGAACAATATCAGCTTCATCTAAGAAATGAGCAAATTCCAAATATTTTGGTTTAACTTTTATGTATAAATCATCACCTCCTTTAGTTCTAGCTCTTGTAAGAATCTGTAATAATTATTGATTTTATAATAAGAAATATGTAATATAAGTAAAGTATTGTTATTACTTACACTTAAAAAATCTTGAAAATTTTCATTATCAGGAAAAAGGGTATCGACAACTGCAATCTGAAAAATTGTGAATAGCTGTCAAATAAATGCCTAGTTGTTATTTAAAATATTTTCCATTAAGTTCACTCACTAAATCACTTTTGGTTTCTTGAAAAATTTGCTTTACAGTTAACATTTCAGCTTCATAATTTGATGTTGTTTCACTATCGACAGCATTCAAAGATGCTTCTTTAATTTGTTCAAAAGCCAACTTCTTTTTTTCTAATCTATTGAAGTTTAATGCACAAGAATAAAATAATTTTTAATATTTTTTGTACTAATATATTAAAAACATGGTCTTTAAATATTCATATCTTACTCTGCAAGTTTTTTTTTCAACTCTTCATTTTCTTGTTTGGCTACTTGATTGAGTTCCTCGACTTTTTCCACTTCCTTTTCCAAAACAGTCAAAGCATCAATGTACATATCACTGGTACTTGGTAAAGGCAAATCCTTGGGTTGTTCTTGAGAAACAATTTTAGTCATAGATTGTACGAATTTCAATCTTTTCCGTCGAATTTCTGCTGGTGTTACATTAGACTCAATTGGTTTCGCTTCATTATTTTTGATGATTTCCATCAATTTTTTAACTTGAGTGATTCTCTCTTGTCTTTCTTCCATTAAATGCTCAAAAGTGTCTTTTAGCGTAAACTCCACATCATCCATATCAACATCTTCAATTGTTGAACTGTTAGATGTCATTATTAAAATTTAAATTAATTTTTTTTTATGTTAACGAATGCTATGTGTGTTTTGACAGAAAACGTTATGATGCTTTGAAAATCTTCTGCTAGGAATTTACGCGGTCTCGAACAAAATATTTTTGATAGTGGGAGCGCTGAAAGCAGAGTAGCCGACAGCAGACGGCTCAAGTGCGGCTGCGAATAACGCCAGGCCAGCTTGTTTATTTAGATTAATAAGATTTAATCAAAATATTTTTAATCATGTTGTCACGCAACTTGAGTGCATTGGTGCGATTCTCCGTGCGAAAGTTGACTACTCAGGCGGCAGCATCAAATGCTGCGGAATATTCTATCCCAACACCGGGTAAGTTATATTCACATGCATTTACTTGCATTATTAAGGTTAGACTTTTAAAAATGGAACAAATTTAATGGACAAAGAATATGACATATTTCAGAATCAGTTTATAAAACAGATCCAGCTCCTTATTTTTTTAATGAAGAAGTCCAACAACTTCTTTTAAAAGTAACTCGTCCAGATCCGAGTAAAGTTTTCAGAAGACAATTGGATGGACGCAGTCTTGAAGCTCCAGAGTATAAATTTATGACTGATGAAGATTTGGCCAAAGCTAGGGAAGAAGCTCATAAAAAAATGATTGATTTACTTCAAATGCCCCCAATTGTGAAAGTTAGAGAAGATAATGTAAAAATTTTAAAGCGTGATGAAGAACTCGAAGGATATAGCACTCATAAATTTGTTTTTACTGACACTACTTTTGGTGTAAGTAACAAAAAAAGGATAATTGTTGTTAGAGAACCAAATGGGGATTTGAGAACTGCCAATTATGAGGAAAGAGATCGTTTGAATCAAATCTACTTTCCTATAGCTGGTCGAGAAGTTTACCCACCAAAAATGTTTCAGCCAGAACATCTAGAGGTACTAATATTATTTTGTATTAATAATATTAACATTAACTTTTTTCATAATCATCTTGTTTGTTTTACAGCCAATATTAGACAGAGAAGACTATGATTTTATATTAAATAGAGTTTGTGTACAATTTGATCCAGACCACCCAGAATTCCATAGAGTTTCTCAACTTACATATGATAGAATTTATGAAAAAGGACATTATGAAAAGTTGAGATCCACCAGACATTATGGTCCCATGGTATTTTACTTAACTTGGTGCAAGAAAATAGATAATCTATTGATTGAAAATATTGCTCAAGAATTTATAGAAGATGCAGCTTTGACGATAAAACTTTATTATATTTTACATCCAAGTGATAATGTCCCTAAGGGAGTAGATAATATCAAACTCATTCAACATTACTTAGATAATGACTGCAATTCTCAATGTAAAAGAAGATTAGACAATACACTTAAAATGCATCTAGAATTAGAATCTGAGAGGAAAAAAGTTAATGAAGACTTAGATTAGGTAATTTAACAATCCACACTCAAAGTTTGTACATGTAAATAATAAATTTTTACTAACAGAAAACTGAATATTTGCTTTCCTCTGTTCATAATTTTGTGTATGTGGTTATAGTTTCAAAATAATGCTGAGAAAAATGATATTATTAAAATATAATATTTATAATTAAAAGTAATAATAATGCACACTTTTCGATTAATGGTAAAATAAACATTTCATTTTAATTAGACTTCTTAAAAGCGGTATTTTCCTCTAAGAAATACATAATTAAGTGAATCTCTAATTTCAAAATTGCCTGAGAGGATAATGATGTAGAAAATGTACTCTTTGTCCATCAGATGAAAGTATTTTGTTTCGTCGATCCATATAATCTATAAAAATAGAGAATGCATTACGTTTATTTGTTTCGACAATTGCGAGCGAAGACGTTAGGTAGTCAGGTAATTTTATTAATGCACTAGTTTTCATACTTTGTAAACTATAAAATTGTATTACAAATATGATTCGTTTAGCTGACACATCGAACAAACTATTAATGTATTTCTAATTTGTTGGAAACTTTTACGGTATAACATGGTATCGCATTAATGAAGATATCTTTATAATTGTATTCATTTTTTTAATAATTTTGATCGGTATACAAAAATAAACTCAGTACTCGAATCTAATTACATGTAACAGCTGTTCCATCGCTTAAAAAATGCCCTCCACTATCCGTATTAAATGTACTGTAAATACACTAAGTTAATTAATTCGGAAACTATTGTACACAAGGGTTTATTCAAATAACATAATAATTTATTGAAATTTTTGGGCAGCTGTGTCGGCTTACTAAATTTGATGGTTTGTAACTGGATACGCTTATTAACTTCGTAAAATCACCTGAAACGTAAACGATGACATATCCATAATCCATCAGTTAAATTCTATTGTTTAAGCAATAATTTCAATTACTTGTGTCAACATAATATTCCGTTTATTACACATAATATACAAAATAATTATTATACACTATAGCTTAACTGACAAAATTTCAAGTTCAATAATCTTTGTAAATTCGAACCTAATAATAGCATTGAAATTAAAAAAAAAGTTATATTTTAATCGATAAATGATAAATTTTATTTAAAATTATATTATAGAAAAATATTTTAAAAATAAGAAGGAATCTTTGAAATAATTTATTAAAATTATTTGTGTGTAGTTTCTTCAAATTTGAAATTCGATCATTGTCATTTCGACGCAATCTGATTGGTTATCGAAGTGAAATGATAATATTTTATTTGACGTAAGTATAATAAAACCTCTTGGGAAATTTTTTTCCGTCCTAAAGTAAAAGTTAAAATTTGTATTGAATTTGAGTGTTTCTGACGAATTTAATTGCCAAAATATTGATATTTGTAGTGAAGTTTGTAACTGTTTATTAACAACAGAGAAATTTTCAAAAAAGTTCCAAAAGAAATGAAAAATGCAACGCCCGATAAAAAAATGAAAATCGGAATATTGATTTTTACAATATACTCGTATCAATTATTTCTTACTTATGTGGCGCAAATTTAAGGTCTTCCCCGGCAAAAAATGAAAATAAAGGAAAATTGGTATATTCTTATTTCACGTCCGTAAAATTGCGTGATAAAATTTAAATAAAGTTTCAATAAATATTTCATCGAATTATTTTAACGAGAATTCATACGTTTCATTCATGATATGATTTTCATTAGTACGAGTAGAAATATGTGTGACAAAGCAGGTTTATATCAAACGTTGAAAGTAACAAACATGAAAATCGCCATGATATGTTAATGATCATTTTTTTGCTATCTAGATCTTTCGTAATTGTTTAAAATATCAATGTTCATTAAATTTTATTTTTATTCTAATACGTTTTTAGATACTTCAGCATAGTTTTCTATTGGTTTGTAAGCACATGCGTGACTATTACCAATAACGTAGAGTCGTTTAAAGAGACGCTTTCTTAAAAAAAAATCTCCTGACGTTGCAAGTGCGATAACGAAAAAAAGTGAGAAAAAAAAACGAACGAGCGCGCCATTTATTTCTCAAATGTTTTATTGAACGATAAGCGATACACGATCGAGTGGGCTTGTTTACGAACAATTCGACGAAGAGTCGATTAACGTACAGAAAACATCCATGCTTACTAACCCTAAGAGCACACGAGCGCAGTGCAGCATCATCAAATGCATAATTGATGTTTTTAGCATTAGATAATGATAGCAACGTGCATTATCTAATGTACGAGCTAAACAGCAGCGAGATTTCCGAGGCTCTCTTGGTGGAGAGCTGTTTTTACTGTGATCGTCATCGTCGTCTTATTCGTCCGCACGGACTGACTATATCGTTTAAATTCGCAGCTTTCACAATTGTGTCCTCAAGTGGCCCCCATATATGAATATATCAAGCTCTCGATCTCCGAATGGCCCATCAGTGCGCGCAGTTCGAGAAGACTAGACTGCCTGCGGACGGCTGCTCGTTGGCGAGCGCATAAAAGTCGACAATCAATACGTTTACGGCCGTCTCGCGTATGTAGCCCAAGCATAAATATGCATAGACCCACGTCAGATAACAAGAATGAAACGCTGATGATTTCCTGCACAGATTGTATGCATTAGGCCAATTGCGCAAACAAGTCTGAAAGCTCCAGAGATTGTAATCTAGATATTTGTAGCTTTTCTCGGGCTTCACATTTTATTTTACGCTGATGAAATTGTTGATTTTGCCCAAGTTATATGTTTTTCATGCCTCTGTGATCTTTTAATTAATAAAATTCAAATGATAAATTATCATTTGGTGTGTGTAAAACCAAAAAATATGTAAAAAATTGGATTTGTCCCTCCAGCTGCTTCGTAGACTCGCAGTACAAATTGACTTTTAGTTTTATCATTTTTATAATGAGCATTATCAATTAGTAATGAATACAATTAACATTGAATATCAACGACTCATTAATTTCTATTTAACGTAGAGTTTTTTTCTTTATTCGTACATTGTGATATTTGATCATATATAATTGAAAAAAATCATTTCTCGGTAATATTGAATAAGGCACACGATGAAAACGTGCTTTATTATGCTCCAATTTCACTCTTTGCTCTGATTAAAATAAAATCAATCGTGAATTCACCATTAATTTCGTAATTTAAAATTAATATTCCGAATGAAAATTTCCACGAGTTGGCGAACTTGTAAAAAAAATAATCTCTTTATCTTGACCATAAGTTAATACTGAAACGGATCTCGAACGAAAGTGGAATGATGATGATTTACGCTTGTGTGCGGAAAAATGTACAGGAAATAAATTACTCGCGAGATTTCCCAGCACGAATCCTAAAGGACTTTTAATGGTTGAATTTCACGTCGGAGGATGGAAAACGGAATAGAATTGCCGATGCTTGAATATATAACTAGAATCGCATCGATGGAAAAGTATCTCCCTCTCTCTCTCGGTGGTATTTAGAACATGAAAATCTAGCTCTTGTCATGGAAATGCGGGTAAGTTTTCTCATTGTAGGACGTTTTCGGAGCGTAGCGGAAAAATCTCGTTATTCATATGCATGCGGGGTAGCGCGTAAAAGAAAAGAGGAGGAGGGAAAAATTGCGAGTCTTCCAAAAAGTTTCGCTCGCGCTCGTGCGTGCAAGCTTCGCCCGTACAACAAGTAACCCAATTATCAGCGAGCAAAGTGAATCGTTACTTTTAATAGCGGCTCCCGGCGTTCGGGCCTCGACTCCGCTCCAACTATAGTAAATTTGATCAATATCTATAGTTTTATGGAGGAAAATGGGCAATCAGTAGTAGTCCGTTGAAAGTCACAAGTACGCAGCTATCGCGCAATAAGTACCATGAAAATTTATTCCCATATACAGCTCGTTCCTGTTTGTACACATTACGGGCGGGTATATAGAAGTCTGATATATGGAAGCAACAAGTTGATGGGTATTGCATATACGTGAGGCTCGCCTGCATACACCTATAGGACGCAGCGCAAAGCAAAGTACATACACTACACACGTATACCCCGTACGATACTCGAGAGCTCAGCTCAGCTCGTGCAAGAGAGAGTGAGAGAGGTAGCTCGGAGCGAGAGAGGGTAGGGGGAGAACTTGCGCGCGTGGATATAGCGCCGGTCTGGTTGGGCAGACAGATACTGCCTCGCTGCTCGTCGCAGTCGACGACGATCCATGCATTTTCAGTTGCACTTAAACTACCCAGTTCGCCGGTCCTCTCCTTTGTAATATCAATTTTACCTTTGTCGCGTGTATAGAGCTGCCGATTCATTTGTTGTCATTGTTTAAATAGACTATGCGAGTAATCAGTGAGACATGTCAGCGAGTTAATAATTAATTGAATAAAAGAAAAAAAAATACAAACAAACAAGGCGATTTTTTAATTCGACCAACTAAAATCGACCTATCGTTTAAGTATACACACTTTAGCTTTTTATTCAGCTTATATAGAGAGCTTATAGAGCTTCGAAGCGAGTCAGTCTCTCGAACGCTCTCGAGTCGAAGGCTCTTCAGCTATTAAGCTCTGTGCTTTTGTGAAAGCTCCGTGCACGCGCTTTGACGGCCGACAGAAGCGCGGGACGAAAAAAATATGCATCAGTGAGAGAGCGACAATGCATCGTCGTTTTTCAGCACGGCCGAGTCACCAGCTCGACGACTGTTTTTTCACCAGCTGCAACAGTGAGATCGCTAAATATTTATTTTCGCACCCATGCGCTCGGAAACGATCGACGCGTGATAATGCTTGCGAAGATATGAATGACGATCCAGCTCGTTTAAGTGTATCGCGTTTATTGAATATATCAAAGTAGTGTGCCGAGATTAAAAAAAAAGCGCGTAAGAGCGACGCGTCGTCGGCGAGGCACAGCTGCGCGTGTTTGACTGCCTGCTTGCGAATTTCAGATGTGTATTGTTATTCGACGAGACGCGACAGCGACGATCATCGGTGCGACGCGTTAGACTGTGTGTGCGAGTGACATGGAAGGGGCAACATGTATGTACCTTTGTATTAAGAGCGACGATCATCTTCTGAATATCGAAGCCAATAAGTTTAACGAGAAAATTAGTTTCTGCTCCGTGCTCGAAGGCGTTTCGCGCGAAACGAGAAAAACCGATCGGTCGCCGCCGAGTTTGCCTCGCGGTTCCTAAGTACACTGGATAAACGACCGCCGAGGCTCGAAATAATCGACGACGGCCCGGGAATATAAAGTGCTACTGGGAGAGAGTGGAGATCGCTATCAGTGACAGCGGCATAGAGAGAGAGAGGCATTATCGTCACCGTCGCCGGAGAGCCAAACGACAAAATTAATTATTATCGATCGATACAAGACTTTTATCGCGCGACGACTTTTTCCTCTCGGCGACTGATCTGCGCCTCCACGTCCAAGATTGATCGCTTTTGCCTCTGATCTTCGCCCCCGAAGAAAAAACCGACAAAATGGTGAGTTACCATATGTACCTTTTTGTTCTATTCTCGTTTACTTGAAGAAAAATCTCTCCCAAGAATGAAATGTTAGACTTAAGATGCTGTCACCGAGTATTAACGTCATAGTTTACGACGCACCCTGCGGGGTGTTTTTTAACTGTCCGTCATTCATGGGATCGCTTGCGCTATTTTTTATAAAATATTTTTTATTTGCAAAACCCGTGCTGTTATAATACGCAAGCAATGTGCAGGTCACGTACGTGCTGGATGAAAATTGATTGGCACATGCCAAGGATTATACCATTCATAATTTTTCATTAGAAAAGATAAGCAGCAGAGGCTTGCATCAAACGCAAACTTTTTCGGATTATAATTATTATTTTATAGCAGTTTGCACAATCGTTAACGAATAATATTAGTTTCTGCAGGGACGTATTCCCAGCTCAACTTATTTTGTCAAAATTGACTTTGGGAAGGAAAAAATAATAATACTAAATGTATAAACAACTGCAATTCTACTAAATGTACAACCGAATATTTCAATTGATTTAACATTCATCGCTTCGAAGTAAAGGGGAAAAAAACAATAATTATATTAATGTTTCCGGACATCGCATGAGGTCCCTTGCGTGTACATATATAATTCAAGGATCCCAGACATCGCCGAGACATCGCGAGTCCTCTAAGTGATTCTTACATATATACTTGGGACGAATGTATAATAAACACGTATACTAATTAATTTGTATGCGTAAATAAAAACAACTTTCGCGCTCTATAATTTGCCGTGCGTCAATGTGATTGATTAATTGTAAGCCCCCGTACGCGTGCACCGCAGGCGAAACGAGCCGCGCATTAATACAGCATGGCGAGTCAATATTTAACTCGTAAAAGTTCAAGAGAGACTTACTCGTGCCAAGAAAAATGTGTACGTGCGTGTGTACCGCGTCAGTAGCTTCAATTACCTAATGATTGCTCTTAGATTGATTCGATATATATATTTTTTTTGTTATCCCATTCCGTTCGTCAAAACACTTTCATCATTGCGAAATCGTCTCGCTTTTCTATGAACCATCGGCTGGATTTTATTTTAAATCATTTGCTGGACTGTTAAAGTGATCAATTTTTCAGATGCAAAATAAAGGATTCCGTATATTGTAATTCTACCTCTGTGCGTGAAATTTGAACGCCGAGTTTAATTTTTTTTCTCTTTTTATATCGTGCCGAGATGTGTGACGTGAGAGCGTGAATCTATTTTAAAAAATCTTTTTCCAATTCTGTCAATAGATGCGTTTTTAAAGACGTTTTATTTAAAGGCATTTTCATTGATTTTGTGAAAAGTCATTCCAAATATAGAATGATTGCAAAAATTAGGAACTACATTGTTCTATAATCGTTATGTTGTATGAGACGCGCTGTCGAACAATGGTAATATATTAAAGGAAAAAATTATTGGATTATTCACTTTCAAAAGGAATTAATTTCCACTATAAAACAAAATTTATCATCAAATATAAACGTAACCGATGCAACAATGTGCTGTCAATGTAAAATTAATTTATTGTCTTTTGTTCGCTTTCGATTATTCCAATTGATAATCGTAATACAATGCGCAATATACTTCTCAGATGTATCCAAAATATAATTGTATAAGGAGAGAAATAAATTCTGAAAAAAATCGTAGCTTGAAGAATGAGTCAAGCGATTATTGCTACTCTTAAATCGTTTGTAGCTTTGAATTAGAGGGAGAATTGATACAAATAACAGCAGCATATGGATCGTTTCTTAGGTTCATTAAACTTGTCGCATTTTTAGATTAATTATTATATATTATTGGATTAGTTGTGTTGTCTTTGTACAACAGTGCGATGCTCTAAATGCTATTTTAATAGCAACTGTTCTCTGAAGATCATAGATCATCATTAGGAAAACAAGTAAAAGGGATTCCTCATGTAATGAAAAATTACGGGGAAAACATAGAACTCAATCAATTTGGCGCTCGCTTAATTGGTCCTTTGAAATTTTCAAACGAATGAATTTCCATTAAAACGTTTATCTTTCTTTTTCATTTCACCGAAGCCCTTCATCGTTCTCCAAATAGTTATTTTCAAGCAGGGTTGAAAAAAAAAGATTTAATGAGTCATAGCACTTGTAGCACCTGCACAATTGATTTTTGAATTTTATCGTGCGGTTGGCTTTCGCCGACTGCACATAACTAATTAAAAATGACGATACGCGATAGTGAATCCGTATTGTCTAGTCGGAACAAGTCCTCGCTCGAATCAATCTTTTAAATTTAAAGTTTAATGAAGGCAGTTTGTAGGTCGTAAAATTTTACATCCTCCGTGCCGAGTGTCCAAAAACTTACGACATTGCAATACACAAAACCACATTGGGAGCATTACAAAAGCTCGCCGTTTCGCAGTGTACGCTCCCGAATATTCGATTTGAATCTTGTTTTTAGTATAAATATCACTTATCCGCGTGCTAGCGAGAATTCGATAACCAATACTCGTTGCTGATGCAAACTTTTCTGATTTTTTCTCCCGATTGTTGGTCCATAAATATCAATGCAAATGTGAAATTTGAATTTCCAAAAAAGCCAACTTACGAAACCATTTTGAGAATAGCATAATAAAAACGATGAAAAATTATTTTCAGCCTTACTGGTCAATTTTATGTTCGGTTCAAACCAAAAAAATTGAATCAGAGCTTGAATTGAAAAATTTGGTCACACGTTGAAAACAGTTCAATATCTACTAGTATCGACGCTCATTACCTTTATCTCTTTGAAGGACTCGATCATCCTGTTACTGGTATAACTAAGCTTCAAATATTAGTTTTACGATTTTATTGTGCGTGTCAAGAAGATTACTCGTACTAAGCTGTAAGCTGAGGCTAGCAAAGCCGAAGCTTGCTTCGATATTTGAGATGCTTTCACAAGTGAGTGGGCACAAAGAGCTCATTACTCATATTATTATTATTATTATTATTATTATTATTATTATTATTATGAATAATTGATATTATACTTTAAGGTTATTATATCAATTATGTGCACTCGCAATGGGCCGAGAGAACCTTAAATGATGTGTGCCATTATCGAGAAATTTTTTCCTGTATTTTCCATTTTAGCTCGTGCACTAATGCCTCGTAATACTTGGAACGAAAATTCATAAGAGAAAAAAAGTATTCCTTCGTAAAAAAACACGAGCCAAAAGAGACGAAACCAAAACCAATTACATTAGGTGGTGTTGCCTATCTGTATAGAGCTGAGGGGATGAATTATAAAAGCATGATAAAATATGCGAGTCATGCGGAATTTTTGGCACAGTGTCGTATAACTGTAGCCGTGCTAAGCTTTTACTTCGAGTATAAGACGAAATGGAATCCTCTTGTCTAACGCGATGCACAATAGATGTGCCGATTGTTGCCTACTACGTATTGTGTATTGATTCCAAGCCATTCTCCGAGGTAAGCGTCGCGTAGCCGCACGTATTTCCCTTTTTCACGGGCTTTTCGCGTTCGCAGGCGTGCAATTCCGAAGCGCATGTCGCGAAGGGAGCGCGCGTCTCACCTACATCGAGCCCTTTCAATATCCATCACATCTAAGACTTCCCAATCTTTGCCTATAATGCTGCAATTCTCTTTGATCTTTTAGTCAGACGTGTATTATGCGTCTAAATATACTCAATCATCTTTATTACGTCAAGTATGTAGAGTAAATGCAAATTACCGAACTCTGTGTACTTAGTTTCATTCACAAATGTACACCTACTTACTCGAGTTCAATTATTGTAATAGCATGTAAACTGCATAATTTCTAACAAGAGAAATCGTTTATATTTCACTGAACTCGTCCAGATGCATTTCAATTGAAGAAAACCGGCCAATTTAATGAATCAATTTTAATTTTATATTAACCATTCAATGAATCGACAAATGAAAAGTTTCAAATTATTTACTTCTTCTATAATTTTTTACTCGATTTTAATTTCTGAACCGTTCCATACATCTCTTGTGAAACGCGTTACAGAATATATGGATGTACAATAGCCTGCGCACTCATTGCTAATTTCTCTTATCGATGAAACGTAAAGGAATTATGATTGTTTGCAAAGCTTTTTGATTGAACGATGATACGTATGAAATTCTGAAAAATTATTGAATGAAAATGTATCTTTCAAAGGTATTAATAATTCAAAAATCGAAAAAAATTGAAAATTCCGATCGGAAAGAAATTAGAGCGAGTCTATTTGCTTTGTGGCTTTTCTTCTATATACTCGACCTCGATACGACTCCTTTATACTAGAGCGTATTTGCATCAATAGCTACCTCTTGTACAGTCATTAGATACATTTTTTTATGTGTTAGTGTTCGGTTAAACTTGATTACAAAAGATTATAAGACCAGTAAACTTTACTACTTTTGAAAAATTCAAGTTTAATAATAGAAAAAGTCATCTGAGTTGCACAGCTGCATTGGTACATTTTTACTTTTCAGATCTGTTTGATTTATAACTGAGTAAATGTCTCAAATAAATTAAACAACTTACGGATTGAAAGGCAATATACTTACAAGTATTAAAGCTAAAAAATCTGCGCACTATTGTTGTAAAATGTAAGTTCGAATGAAGATAATACCTCATTATATTATTATGTGTCAAAAGGAATAAATTTTCGCAACGTGTAGGCACCAAAACCCTATATTCAACTCCTTTATTCTGAAAAGATGTCTTTGTTCTACTATATAATATTGGATCCAAATAGTGTCGTGTGTTAAACTACAGCTTCATGACATCAAATGTCAAATACATGTACGTATATCCGTTGTGTAGTTGTTTTTACAAGTATACAGTTAACTTTATCTTAATATATGGGCTATTCCACAACAGGTGTTGCAGGCCCAAAAAATGAAGTTGAAACTAACCATTTACTCTTCAAGAACACAATGAAAAATGAAAATCCTGAAGAGCACAGCCCCCTAGGTCCAACCCTCATGGATCTACAGGGGCT